AAATGCTCCTTGAGTAATGATACTTATCGGTCATTTATATATTTATTAAGCATCATTAGTATTTAAGTGCCTGAACTGTTTTTAAACTAGATTTAATGTCAGTGAACCTAATGTCCTCGCTCGTTTACTTTGAATATTTCTTACTAACGTGTTTTTTAAATGATTCACAATGACAACACTAACGAATTCGAAACCTTGAACCTATGTTTGGCAATCCGTACCTTAAACGTTTAGCTCATCTTTTTTGTATCTAACAGACTCTATCTATAGCTTTATCCTAATAGTAATTATGTTAAGCTTCATTACCAGAACTAGTATAGGAATGTTAATACATGTGTGGGTGGAATTAAAAAGCGAAATAATAGGAGTTTGAGGCTACGAGGCGAGATGCGCCGCTAAGATGGCTGGCATGGTGCGGGGTGCGGGGTGCGGGACGGCGCGGGCGCAGCGCACCTGCACACAAACTGGTTCCGAGGCAACATTTCACTCTCCCGACATCATCGCCCGCGCCTAATTTACTTGAGATTCAAGTATACCATGCCTTTTTTGATCTCATCTAAATTTATACAACCATCTGCCGATCATTGCAAACGTGGATGTTTTTGAGTGTTTTATTTACAACATTGCATTTGAAGTATACTACCAGGATTCTACCTTTTGTTTGTAACACGGCTCTTTGGAAATTAAACTTAATGAAAAATTAAGTAATTACTATCTCAAATTTAAGGAGACGAAGAAGAGTCACCTCAGAACATTTTTTTAAGCGTGCATTTCACCAATTAAATTCGTTAAATACAATAGATGTAATGCAAATACGTAATTTGCACAGATACATTTGGTCTTAAAACAATGATATGTTACTTATTAATCAGTGTACACATATGCTCTTTGTCGGGACTTTCAATAAATATAACTCGCCATAAACACCCAAGTCATGCAAAAGAAAAAGTCGTTGCGTATCTACGACAAACGTGAAAGATCAATACAGGTTTCTAGCAGTTGCTTACTTTCATACACTAGTATTTTATTAATAGCTTAACTAATAGCGTGAAGTTGTATGGTTTATGCAAACATACGAATGCTACGTAACAAATTTCACGGTGCAGTGGCATTCACGACGTAACAGATCCGATCATTCGAAGGAGAAACTCGACGGGAAGCTGCGAGCCATCCATGTGACAGTGAGGTTATGTTACATCAGTGTACTAAGTTACAACGTGGTGGAACAAGCTTCCAGTATTACAAATTTTAATATCCAAATTAATTTAATTCGTTAGGTTCTAATTAATTAATTCACCACCAATGTGAGGTAAGTTATGTATTTTTGGATGAAAAATCGATGAGTAAAAACGCATTACTAAACAACCAGTATTATTATAAAAATCGAAAATGAAAAAAACATTCGCTGGTCATTCGTACATTTATCAATAGGGATGTATTATTACTATTAAAGGGTTGTGCCAATCTGTCAGGCATAACGGCGCATCTTGCACCTTGTTACCTTATCGGGACATACATAGATATTTATGGACCCCAAGAATCAGTTACGATTCGACGCGCACAGCGGGTTCCCATCGTTTTTACTACGGTAGTAGAAACGTACGGGTCAGGATTCGATGTTAATTGACTAACGTTGCTTATTAATATACACCCAATCAATTAAATTAACCAGTTTTTGATGAAAAAGATTTGCAAAAGAAAACTAACTTCATTAAGCTTAAATAGACCAGACGAACTAAAGTGTTCTGTAATTCACAGTAGTATTTTCAGACTGGTTTTCTAATCTATTCTAATTTCTGTTGCTGCTACAGGCTATACCACTATTCTAGGCAGTCAAACAGTGATAAAGTTAGAATTAAAACCAGATAAATCCAGATACGGGTACCCCAAATTCGTTGCAAGCCTGCCGTGCTAGCGAACATAAATTTTTTTTTTAATTCGACACAATTTTTTCTTCGCAAGTAAGGAATGTCTTTGTTCATATTTACGAAAATAATTTACGGGAAAATTTATTTGCGCTAAATAAGTTTTTGCAGTAATTATTCTAACGGATTTTAATTTAACAGTCTTGTGAGAAAAACGGATGTTCTTTTTATTTCAGAGCGGTTCTTTTTATTAAGATGGCGACCTCAAAAGCTTTGGAAGAGAAGATTTACAAATTAAAAACCCGCAATAGTTGCGCTCTTGATACAAATATAAACTACTGAATGAGATAAAACACTTTTAAGTATTAATGAGACGATATTTTTGTGTATTGCATGTGATGACGTCACGTAGACGCGTGCGGACATAGAAATAACCATTATACCACATTGTTCGAGTTCTTGAAAACTAAAATAAGCTGTTAAGCTTTTAGAGTTATCTAATATACTGTGAATATAAATTTAGAACAAAAATATTTAGCAGTTAACTATAATACTTTAGTTATAATTTTATTTTACCTTCACGCGTTTTTGAGAAAAGTTGTCTTGACAGACAGACGGGCGGACAACAAAGTGATCCTATAAGGGTTCCGGTTTTTTCCTATGAGGTACGGAATCCTAAAAATGAGAAAAACTCATAGCGATTGTAAAACATTGTAATAGAGAACTTAATTGTTAATAAACACAGCAATCCATTGTTTAAAAGAAAGTCATTAACCGTTCCATTAAAAGTTACGCAACTAAAAAAACTTTGCGCTTTAATAAGCATCTATTATCGATTTGTCGCTAAAATTATTTTATTGTTCGATTAATTAATGCGTTACTAAGGTTTTTGCTGAAAATAGTACCAATTAAATCAATTGTTAATTACAACGTAGATTAACAACCCATTAATAATTATGGTCAATTTGCAAATGCTAAATGCAACTAGAGCTCTGAGATTTACATTAATATGACATGCATTTATGTTAAATTCTATCCCAATCCAAATGTACGCCTAAAAGTGGTATACATATAAACGTCAAGCAAACATGAGGGCATTACACTATTTTATTGGAAAACTAGCTGTCGCAGGCGCAAGACCAAGATAACATAAATCCGATCAGCCGTTCTTAAGCTTCAGCGAGACAAACCGATCGCAATTAATGTTTTTTCAGTATTTACCGTTCCATTTGGAACAAATACACGCAAACAAGGGATACATACTAATGTGGAAAACATGGCGTCGAACCAAATCTCTTCATTAAACACGTTAATTAAAAACTTCCAATGTATTTCCTTCATCAAAGTTGTAGTGATAGCCGTTTGTTCTAGGTCATAACTTATGCATGGCTACTTAAAACTTTAGTAGCTACATAAAATCTGCAAGCTTAGCCTAGATGAATTCACCTACGTTGATTGTATGAATAACGTAGCGATGACGTCACAAAACGTGCAGAGTTCAAGAGGAACCTTCTGTAATAGCTATTTAATACATAAGCGAATGGCGCGATTAATTTTCTACTTGAAAATGCCTAACCGAGTATTTAAGAAACCATTTTTCGACTTTGAAGTCTGTCAGTTTATTTAATGAACGATTTCAAAGCGTGGGATGCATCGACATAGGTTGTAGTAATAATTTTCAAATATAAATAAAGTTACCTGGACGATACTTTGTATGTTTAAGGTGTGCAACTTAAACTACTAAGCTACGAACATTTGCACAGATTAAACTTGGCTACAGGCTTTGTATATAACTTGAGCTTGGCTTTACGGCGCTGCTCTGAGTTTGAATAACTTTACGAGAATATATTTCAGTTATAATTCCTTCATTTGGTTACATAGCGGCTGTTTGTGAGCAATATTAAAAAATAAATCACATCTACTTCAGAGACAGACTGTCAGTGTGAAAATTCTATGTTCATCAGATTCTCCAAAAGAATATCTTGCAAATTTTTGACAAAGACTTTCTAAATCGAAAATATTTTCGTTAGTAAACAGAAAACAATAATTACAATGGATCATTGTCATTAGATAGAAATTCCCCTTGGCCTGGTATTTCGGGAAGGTCTTCGTTACAAATGCTCCAATCAATTTGTACTATGGCTATTTTTAATAGCTGAAAAAGTTATACAAGAGATATATGTAGCTACTGTCGAGGACGTTTATTTCCTACCCATTAATGTAAGTAATTTGATGCTTTGCAACTAGGTCCAAAAATTGGCTTTGCAACGTGCTAAATTACAGCTCTAGAGTCAGATTGCTACACGATATTTGATCTCAAGTGGTAAGCAAATTAAGTTCTTTAACTGTAAATGTAAATATTTATACTATACGAAGATTTCGAACTGCCCACGCGCTGAGCGTTGGTAAGAACGCAACTTGTTTTAAGCAGAGAATATTGAACCAGCGGGCTTTTAACTTTACCAAGAAACTTTACTGCTGAACTTTTGCTGCAATACTGGCTATATTAACTTAGGCAATCGGTTTTTTCTTGTAACACAATTTAAAAGATAATTAAAGTATAGAAGAAAGGAATGTTTTTAACGTGTTTACATTTCTCCGGTGAGATTACCCATTTTATACTCTACAAAAGTGTCTGTACTTAATTTATTTTGCATTAAAATATTTCATTGATCTTTAGTCTTTACACATACATTACGTCGAAGAGAAGGCAAGGACAGGAAGGTGTCTTTGTGTTGCGCCGATACATATTATACCTAATATAATGATTTTAAATGATACAATAAAAAAAATAACATGCAGTCGTTTAACTAAGTGGATTAAAAAAGTATCCTCGTAATTGTGTTTCATTAGTAAACTTAATTTTTTAATTTTAAAGAAAGTTCTTAAATCGGTCAAAGCTACGTCCGCATGGTTAATTATTTTAAAGTTTAAATCCCCGTAAAACATTATCTTAAGAAAGGCATGCGATAGATTCCTGTATTATTTTACAGACAATAACTAAAGAAACACAAAGCAATCTAGCTCACAATACAATACCAAGAACGAGTCGAAATGACCACGGCAACGACAGCGATACTGGAAAGGCTCGTGAGCGCGACGTGAGTCAGAATGTAGGCAACTTGGATTGCTTACCTGCACAAAACAGCAGCAAAGTAAACGGTGAAAGCAACCGGTTGAACTCCATGTTGATACAGCAGAAACTTTCTAGTCACTTCTTGTCAAATAACAAATCCTAAGCTTCCATCTTCTTACACATTTTTTGTTTTTATTTACTTTGAAACTTCTTATCTTCAACTTAACCGTTACACACGCGATGAAATTGTTGAATACGTTTCCACTAATAAAAACCAACTAAAATCTTGTCTTAGGACTAATTATTCGCATAATAAATAACATTAACTACACTTTAGAAATGTGTTATGTGTCATTTTGAGTTTCACAAAGTAAACTTTCGCGCGAACAAAAATGTTTTACAGCGACACGCGTTACTACAGCGCAACGGTTTGTACGAAGCTGGTCGACGACTGAATAAAAACCGGTTTCTAGTGTTGCCCGTTGAGTTCTCCACTTACCCCAAAAATATTAGCACAGTGATACCATATAAATAATTAACTTTTTCTCATGGAACTTTGTTGTTTTTAAATTTTTAACAATTCATAAGCGTCATATTTTTAATAAAAATATATTTATACAATAACTTTAACTTAATAAAATAGTTCAATAAGATGTGGGTACGAAAGTAACAAAAATAACTAAAGCATTATTAATTTTCTTACTACTTAATTGATTTATCTTTATCAAAACAAAGTTATTCTAATAATACATGATATGTGGATGGCATGAAAAGTATAGTTTAAATGTTATGAACCTGAGTAATAGAACAATTATAAAGATTCAGTAAATTCAAAATGTTGTATGTTTAATTGAAAATAGGGAGTTAAAACGCTTTTAAATTGTATATCTACGGAGAATTCATAGCAACACTGTTAACGCGCCAAAGGAAGGAGACAGAGGGCGTCGGCGTTGTTGCGTTGATGTTCCTTTCCCGCTCTAACTTATACAAGTAAGTTTTGTTCCGCTAACCTGCTTTGTCTACCTTTGAGTATTTTATAGTTTTATTCATTTATACGTTATTCAGAAGTTATTCTACATTACGAACTAAATACAGAAAATAGACTTAGTCAATTAACGTTAATACTGTTTTAATTTCCTCAATTATCTTTTCTGTAGTTAATTCGTTTAATCTTAATATGTTCTTTTTTACCGCTAGTGCGGAAGTAAAAAAGGGTTTCTACTGCTCGCCGTTTCTCGTTTCTAATTAGCCAAAGTTAGAAGAGTAACAATTATTTAGTTTGACTTTGGTTTATAAGAGAAAAGGCATTTTGTTTAGAGTATAGTTATAAATTAAACTCTAAAAATGAATATTAAGGTTCTTGCTTATTCAGGTTTTATTTTTAGAATTTGACATCATGAATATGGATACGCATTTTCATCATTAAGCAACCGTTAGTGTCCACTACCATAATACACAAAAACATTATCCTTTTTATATTTCTGTACTTCTACGTGTTTCGTCAGTGGAAATTCACGATAAGACAGTCATGATTTTATTCACGCCCTGCCAATCACTGTTTTAAAAATATAATAGACATAATTTTAAGATGTAAGATTCTAGAAGAAAACTAAGTGACATTAAAAATATCCGTCATTATGATCATCAGCCGCAAAAGTCTGTGTCAGTCCACTGCTGAACGTAGGTCTTCTCCAATAATACTTATGCAGTCTTTCGCTTCCATTTCTTACAAGTACCTTGTAGTATATGCAAGGCCATTTACTACTAGATAAACATAAAATATCTATTTATACACCCACATTGATATGTCATATAAGTACATATGTTGAGTATATAGCAAAATACTTTAATTATTGCACCAGCGCTCGTTACGCGATATAAATAACCCTTATATGTTAACAACAACCGACATTATGGGAACGTAATTAAATTACGAGTGGTCCCTTTGACTGGTAACTGATCTTAATAAAGGCGTAATAGTTATTTTTGGCGGAGGGGTCCGGTGCGCAATTTCAGTGATTGCTGGGGATGCGCGAATCGCCCGAGGCGCGTGCCGGCAGCCGACCCCACTACAGCAATGGCGTGGTGTCTTGCTGGCCTAAAACTTCGACCCTCCCTTTTATCATTCTATATCAAATTGGCCAAATTTATGCAAGTGCCGTCTGTGTCTCGATCCCCACTAAAAAGCGCATCAAATGTCTACATCGAAGAGGGGTGGTCGTATTTGAATAATAGATTACGAATAGCAATATTTCGCTTGACGGATTAGAATTGTAACAAAACGCTTTTATATTCTCGTAAGACGATTTCAAAATGTCCAATTGTTTTAGCATAGTTTATGGATTAAATAAGCTAAAGATAAAACAGGGCGGGGATTAGCTATTTCTTACTATCACAATTGTGTCTGAGATTTGAAATGTTCATTTAAATTAAATTTAAATGAACATTTCAAACTTTAAATTCGTACCCGTTACAAAATAAGCTTGATAATTAACAATGGTAGAGACACGGACTGATTTACATGGAAACACCTTTGTTACACGTCGACTTTTACCTTTAAACTGAATGGGAAATGGTATATACCATTCTTAGAAGATTTTTTTAAAACTTTAATACAAAATAATAATATAAACTTTACGGTGTAGACATCGGCGATAAAAGGAATATATTCTAGGTATCTACTCATTTTACGACCATAAACAAGACATCATAATTCACACGTTTATCCCCGACGCAGTTTGCTGCTTCTCTTCAAAATACAGCTTGAATCTAATCTTTTTATCACATGAATGATTTTAATATTGTGTACCTACAATTTCAATATTTCTAAACAGTTGCCCGATCCTATCCCTTCCTAGTCCCTAATATTACAGGATTGAGAGAGGGGAATGAGTTGTCGATATGCGCAAAACACGGCTCACCCCAAGTTTTAACGAGACGGGCATGCCTAGGGTGTTCTGTCTACATCCATTGTTTGCTTTGTACTGCCTATGTCTACATTCTAATAAATTTCCAGCGTTTTAATGAACACATTACATCATTCTAATGAATATCTTCCAATTTTAGAATGTTTCTTTAACCGTCAATCCTAATAACAGAAAATGTTTAGTCAGTTAATTGTTTCACTCACAATTCACATGAGCCATTCATATAACTAAGTCTACGGTTTTACATTTCGCAAAGATTATTACATAAGTGAGCAACGTGTGTACAGTAACGCAGTAATATCAAATGATCTGAATACAGAAAGGAAACTATTCATTTTGTTTTCGTTGTCTTTACCCATCTTCTCGTTGATGTGTCTAGGCATTACAGTATAGAAACAATAATTAAATCAACTGTTTGAATGGTGGACAATTTGAAGACATCTACTTTTAAGAGCTGTTTGCAAATAGATCGGTGGTCCAATCAGGCCAATAGATTTTTTTGTTATTGAGCCAATCGATTCGAATCAGCAGGATTACATACGGCCTGTATGTAATCCTATGGAAAACATATCTACATTATGTTATTTGATGTCGAGTCACGATCATCTACAGAATATAAGAGAAATATGTAGATATACGTATAAGATCGTAACAATAAGAAATATGACGCATTTATTGTCGAAAACAAATACGTTACTGAAGGGAGAAAAGGAAAAATATTCCCAATTGAAATGATCAATGATCTGGGAAAGCAGTCGAGTGAAACTTTAACGTACTCCCCCATGAGGGAAATTGTTATTGTCTACGCCCCAGCGAGGTGTTTTTTTAGGGAACACCGCAACAGATAAATTGCCTCTAGCGACGCGTAAAAAGCAATGAAAGCATTTTCATTCCTCCGGCACCCCTTTGTTCCCTGCGGAATGCTGAACTGTATCTACAACCAGAGCAACCCCAAGGGTGCCGGTCCCATTTGTGGGGTATTTTATGAAATGTTGATTGAATAAGAAATCGATCTAAAGTACGAGATATTATCTTGCGAAAGATATCTTTTTATTTCCTTTCAGGACAATGGTTTCTTAACTAGTAATGAAATGATTTGAGAACGGATTGGCATTTACCAAGGTTTAGGTATCAGGTAAGGTATTTTTAAAAAGAACTGTTTTTTTTTTAAATTATACAATTTCCGTGTTATCATAAGTATACATTTATCTTTTTTTGATTTTAGGATTATTGCATGTCTCAATTTAGATAATTCTTATCGTTAGCTAATAGGAAGATAATATCGTCAAAGAGTAGTATCATAATCGTTGTGATGACAACGTTATATACGTTTCACGTTTTGCTCAAAGTCCTAACTAAATAGACACTAAACAAGCAAATTATCAAGAAAACCTTCACAATAGTTTTCACTTAGTTGCTCTAATGTTGTCTTTGATGTCACGCGCATATTTATAATTAGTAAGTATATTAACAGTTTCTTTTATTGTGTGAATCAAAACTATTTAAAGCCATGTTTCTTAGTAGCAAATACTTAATAGGTTATTACGTTTGACCTTTAAGATATTACTATCAAATGAGTCATCAATCATCATTCGGTTTTTAATAAATAACGCACTTCTAATTTTAGTACGAATTTGTGAATATTTAAAAATATACAACGTTAAAATTAAGTAATGCAATAAGGCACTAAAAAGTTAGCCATTATCAAAATGCGTACTAAATTAATTTCATGATTCAAATTCAACCTGATAATTTTTAATAGCGCAATTATTTGAATGTTGTTGTTTTTATGCTATTTTTGTTCTTTATTTAAACATATGTGAAATCAAGCAGAAAAAGTATATAGATATTTATGTTTTTAAGTAAATTTTTCAAGCTATATCAATACTGTATTATGCATAATTTATCAATTGACGGAAAACTGAATTAGCATTGCCGAATTATATGAATAGAATTAATTTGTACTTTTTTCGCATGTTTTTTAATTTCCTTGAAAAATTAAACATTTAAAGTAAATAAATAGGATCTCTTTTCATTTATTCACACGGTGTCAAACGTTTCTATCGTGTGAAACTTTGAGGTTATATTTAAACGCTCAAATATTACAAAATTAATATTTGAGCAGTGATATCGATACGTGAGTTGTTGGCAATTATTCAATAGTCATTTTATTTTCAGCTTTTCACAATGGTAATTGTAAAAATTGATCAGGGTGATCTAAGAGGAGTATTGTGTAAAAATGGAAATGTAGAATATTGTGCATTCAATGGTATTCCGTACGCACAGCCACCGATTGGGCCATTGCGATTCAAGGTGAGTGGTATTACACACGACAGTGCAAATAATCTGTAGTTATTTTTCAGTGTGAAGCCCTCATCGATATAAATATTCTACTTTAGAACAAAGTTCACAATAAATTATTGAATAATGAAATAAATATAGTGTTCTGTCAGTTTACTTTACTACTTCATAAACTTTATATTATAACTACCGCGTTTCGTTGACAAATTCTCTATAGTAACTACATTCTTAATAGAAAACAATGATCATCAATTATTTTAGGAAACATTCCACAAGATAAATATTTATAAAAGTTTGTAAGTACTCAAACGTCCTTGTTGCAATTTTTTGAGAAACGTGATCGTGGTGTCGTGCACCCGTGAGATAAGAAATGTACAATGGTGGTTATGCGAGCCACACGGCCACGTGACTGCGATAGCTAATTGCTAGCTTTTCCATCGACGCGGCACGGGGAGCGAGGGGAACCGGTTGAATTTGATATGCGACAGTTGACACTCTGCTTATAACAACTAACATACCTTGCTATGCTAGTCTCGTAACATAATATCAATAAATATTCTTATTATATATTAGTATTATTATACCCATGGTAGATTAATACTCTCCATGCTCCTTAAAATTGCTATTTTCTTGTTTCAGGCACCAGAACCACCACGTCCTTGGACTGGGATTCGAGATGCATCGCAACACGGACCTGTCTGTCCGCAGTACAACGAACGCATGGACTGCATCGAGGTCGGCAGCGAAGACTGTCTCTACATTAATGTATACTCTAAATCATTGACACCTCTCCAGCCACTGCCAGTTCTCGTTTGGATCCACGGCGGAGGATTCTATACAGGCTCTGGTAATTCAGACTTCTACGGACCGGAATTCTTTATGGAGCACGATGTTGTTCTTGTCACATTTAACTACAGACTTGAAGTTCTAGGCTTCCTTTGTCTCGATAACGAAGATGTTCCCGGCAATGCCGGCTTGAAGGACCAAGTAATGGCTTTAAAATGGGTTAAGAATAATATATCCGCTTTCGGAGGTGACCCAGATAACGTCACAATTTTCGGTTGCAGTGCCGGTGCGGCTTCCACAAGTTACCATTTGACGTCTAAAATGAGCAAAGGTTTATTTAACAAAGCAATATGTCAGAGCGGTGTATGTTTGAATGAATGGAGTTACAATTTATATGCTAAAAAGCGTGCATTCCAACTCGGACAGTTACTAGGTAAAGAAACCGAAGATGAATTGGAACTATTAGATTTTTTAAGACAACTTCCAGCATCCTCATTTGTAAATATTAAATTACCCGCTCTAGATGTTCAACATAAGGATATGGTAGATAGCATTTACTTCGGACCTGTGATAGAAAAGTCTTATTTAAAAGTTGAGAAATTTATAACAGAATCACCTTATGACGCAATGAAAGGAGGAAAAGTTGCCGATGTTCCAATTATAGTTGGATATACATCGGCCGAGGGTATTGAAAGTGCAAGAAAAATTAATGATTTACTAAAATATCTATCTAACGTAGGCTCTATTGTACCAAGAGAAATTAAACTGAAAGTAAACTCTGACGTAGTTAAATGCATAGATCAGAAAATACGTGACAAATATTTCAATGGTAAAACAATCACAAAGAACATGTTACAAGAATTAACAGATCTCTTTACTTACAGTTTATTTACTTATAATATTTATAGATTTGCAAAGTATTGTGCAAAAATAAATTCTAATCCATTATATTTGTACAAATTTGATGCGGAAACGGAAAGGAACTATGCAAAAGGCAATTACAAGATGGATCACTTGAAAGGTGTTTGCCATGCAGATGAATTACCGTATTTATTCAACGTTACCTGCCTTGATATTCCATTAACTGATAATTCCATACCTATAATAAAAGAAATGGTTGGTCTGTGGACATCTTTTGCTCGAACCGGGTAAGTATTCTTTCTATAGTTAACTGGCTATCGCCAGGGCGTCCGTCCGCGCGGAAATAAAAAAAAAATGAAGTGTACATGTTCTTCCAGACTATTTTCTGTATCTATGCCAAATTTTAGCAAGATCCGTGTAGCCTATCTGACGATATCTTCAAACAAACATCTATCCATCCATCTAAACATTCGCATTTATAATATTAATAAGAGTAAGATTATAACACAAAACAATAATAGGATAGACGTTGTCATATATCTTGAGGGCTCGAAACATCGTACAACAGACCACAATTTTCGGCGTAGCTCGTTGTAATGGCACAGCGCAGCGTATGATAAATTTGAGCTGACAATACATTTGAAAATATGTTTAAGTAAATCGTAAGAATAAAATAATGACTAACAAATTGAATTACAGGAATCCCACGGAATCGAGAAATATAACATGGAAACCTTATACTAGTAAAACAAAGAACTGTTTTATTATCAGCAAAACATGTGTTTGTTGTGAAAACCCAGACTCAGACCATATTGACTTCTGGGAAGAAATATACGCGAATGTGTTTGACGGAGATACGAAATGTAATATTTAATAGATATAAAATAAAAAATTATTTTTTTTACCAATTGTTTTCAAATTTACTAAATATATTGAAATATCAATTCAGTAAATCAATCATCTCATTTTCAAAAAAATATATTATTTAAAAATAATAATAAATTTGGTTACGATAGAAAAAGAAAACCATATAGAAATGAATGCTTATATTTATATTTAAAAGTCGATCTCTTACAAATATAATAAAATTACTCCCATAGCGCCTGCATTTCCATACAAAAATAATATTACTATGAATGTGGACAAAATTATACAACAATATTTTTTCTACTAATATTGTAATTAAAATGTATGATAAGACAATACTCTACAACATATTATTTTAGTAAAAGAATCATTGTTTCAGTTAACTATTGCTATGATTAATCCATTGGATCTTTTTTACCTTTAAAATTAAAACTTTTATACTTAATACCTTTAAAACCTTTTTTACCATATGAGATTTGATGAAAATAAAACGTAAATTAAAATAAAATCATACCTCTGAATGGATTGTTCACAATGTTCACTTACAACTGAAAAAGCAGTAATTTCTAAAGTGCCCAAATAATCAATGTTTATGTATAATTTATTTTTTAATTCTCCTTGTACCATAGAATACAATAATTCATTCTGAATTTTCTCATCAGGTTTATGTTATATTTAAAATATGTCTCAATGAAAAAATATTTTTGATGTATTTCATATAATTTAAATGCTAATACACAATAATTACTTATCATATGATTTTTTCCATACTTGCCGTATGTATAGAAATGCAAAAATGGCGCTAGTGTAGTACAGTTGCTACTGGCGAGTGTTGCCAGCTGTTGGCGAGCCAGTGTTGCCATCTGTTGGCTAGTAGCGTCCTGAGCGCGAGTTGCGCGGAGGTTCGCGGCGACGTTCGCGGGAGCGTGAGCGGCGGCGGCGCTCGCGGGATCGGCTGCGTGAACGACGCCCACTCTTACCACGGGAGTACAGATACCTGGAGGCATTCAAATTAAAATAAAAAAAAGCTCATTTAGGCATTATGAAAATATTCAAATTACAAATTGCTAACCGACTATTATCCTAATCACTAGAACAAGGTTATTTCGGTTCACTATTCCGGTTCAAGAACACACAGGCTATAAATTAAGGTTCTATTTGATTTCGCACGGACGGAGTTGTTGTAAACTTGTTATAAATGTACAAGCAACATTTTTTTATTTGTCCAAGTAGATTTTATCTAATTGATGGAAAATTACCTTCTTAGTTCTCGGGAAATAGGTTTCAAGTGCATGAAGTTGCAGAAACCACTTCTTGTGCACTCTCCCATCTCGTATTGGCGGCAGCAGGCCTCACGGAAATCTGTCACCGGCGAGAGCTCAGCGTAAACTGGTCGGCCACCAAACCAGCGGTTGTTAAGGTCACTTACTGCTTTCTCTGCATCCTCCTCACGGCGGAACTGAAAAATACAAGTATACAATGTTAAGTGACAGTTTAAGAAAATGCTTAAATCTTGTAAGTTTTTTAAGATCTGCTACAGATACTTTCAATACAAGAAACAGAAAATTAACATTTATATTTTATAAATCAGACATTATAGGAACTATTTTTCATCACTATTTTAGCATGTAGTAATATATGTATCTGAATAGACATGTAAGTTGCTTTCAATCTTTTTTCAATGACTAGAGTCAAACAAGTAAGTAGACTGTTGGTTTCTGAGTCACTAAACCTCTGTATAATCGATATTGTCACGCCTGTCTTTAAAATACAGAAATATCACCACATTTTAATCAGGGATTTTGGTCTTGGAAACACACAGTTAATAAAAGAAGACTTATGCCTATGGACACCGGTAAATCTAAAAATCAGAGGATCCATGGAGAAATAAGTTAGTAGTGAAAGTAAATTGTTAAAAACTTACCTTTATGTAAACATTTCCCACTAAGTGATCTCCTAAATTGTCACAAACATTCATTTCCTCTATAACTCCATATTTGTCTTCGCATTCAACAAAAACATCTTCAAAGAAGTTATCATAATGCTCCTGCATCTCTTCATCAGAGACATTTGCAACAACCACTGTAAATGTATAAATGATACATTTGATTACAAAAGCACAAATAACATCAAATATTACATGTAAGTATTAATTTTAAAATGAATATGTACTTAATTTTATTCACATTACAGAAAAGTTAATGTGAGTTTTTAGAGATATTCTGCTATTTTAAGAGGGTCTGTTTAAAATCATAATTAAAGTATTAAAGTGCTTTTCATATTAACACGTTCAGCATCGCCATTTCATTTCCATATGAAAAAATCATAGTGGCATGGAAAAAACATGCTATGATTGATCTAAGATATCTTTTACAGTGTAATGGATTATCTTGCAAGGAATATTTTATACTCACATGCCCAGGTATATAGAAACATTATAATGAACATAGGACAAATCAAAGTGCACTTAAAGTGCCTCATTCTTTAGTACTTTGTTGGATTTTATTCCTTCAATATACATTTTATCTTATAGTATTTAAGCTTAAATATTCATTAGTATTCCGTCAATATAATGTGTTTTATAAAGGTTCACTTACAGTGACTGCCATCAGCCGATTTTGCAGAATTTTGAGGATTGACATAGAGATTTTGCAATAAAACCGTTTGGGAAAACGTTGGTTTATTATGAATTCGAGAGCAGCGATCTCCATGCCGACATGCTCCTATCTTAAAATAAAAGGAGCAGTTTACTCTGAAAATTAACAGATTTGTATTTTATTTTTAGGTTATAATCTAAAATTGAAAAACCGGCAAAATAATAATAGCGCAGCAAAACCTAAGATTTAGTTATATTACAAATATGGCTCAATTACAATGAAATTTAGGCTCAATTCAAGATTTTTATTGAACTTTACTTAAAACATAACCTCCTTTACTTTCAATTTTTTTGTTGTAAACAATTAATGACAAATCCAAGCAGAGAAGAAAATTACTTAATTGTTACTTATATTTCACTAGAACATTTTACTTACTTATCCTTTTCTGTACCAAATATAGCGGCTAAATATTCAGCCATTCTTTAGTTTACAGAATCAAACTTTGTTACACTATTTGTTTACCCACAATAACTTATGAGGAATTGTTATACATTTATAAAGACACTTATTCTTGAAGAAAGTCTGTCGTTTGTCTGATATTTAACATTAGACAAATTATTTTAAAACAATTTTATAGATTCGATCTCTTTAAAAATCTAGTTGCCAAACTTGCAATTGACGCCATTATCATAGGAATAACCACAGAGTATTCAAATTCTCTATGAAAAATGCCAAACTAAGTAATCATAGATAAAAATATAACAGTTTTCGTGAGCAAGTTATAACATGGCTATATTAATTATAACTAATGGTTAGAACCTGCTACTACACTGATTGCAAGTTTCTTAGTATTTTTTTCAATATATTTCCCTTACCACCACCAAATAGATGTTTTTTATGTGTATGGTAGTAATCTCATTATAACAGTAGAAATAAAATAAAACAAAACGAATTTTGAATTCAATTTAAGTTAATTTGTGAAGTTAGTATAAATTATTTACCATACGTTTGATATCAATACCAAGCTTTATAATACATACCTACATTACGAAAATTTTATTCTTCTTCCTGGCCTTAATACTCTTATAAATATGTTATATTAATTTGGAGATTTAATAAAAAAAAATTAACAGTTGATTTAATAATAGTTATAGCAGTGTTATAATTTCATCAACTGTTTTAAAACGGTCCTATTTTCGGTTCAGGCAGATTTGGCAGATTCAGGCAGTTTTCGAGTCTTTCGAATAGTGGTGGGGCGGAGAAGTGGAGTGTCTTGTGGTTGTGTATACCGGAGACTGAACGTTCTTTAAATGGTCTATTTGTTGGATGAAGTTGTAACCTTAAAAGTTGACGTTAAAGTAGCCGTTAAAAACCATGTGCAAATTGTCTGTCCCAACCTGTAAACTTCAAGTTTTTAGTGTTTAAAATAAAATATATGTGTATCAAAACTAGTGAACGTATTTTTGATTGCGGCGAAAGGATGCTGATAAACTTATAAAGCCGTTCATATAAATGTTCAAAAAATACCTATTAAGTGAGACGTGATACGTTATAACATAATCGTGATAATGTCTTACAATTCTTCACTTGATGACTTCTGCGGATCTACATTTTGGGTAAGTAGGTCTTTGACCCTGGCTACCTACTATTACGCGTAATCCGTGAAGCTACAAAAGTCATAAGTAAGGTTATAGCAAAGTTGGTGTTTTCTTCAAACTTGTACTTTTAAATTTACTGCCATCGTATTCATTCGTGAAATTATATTGCCTTAGTGTTGTTACAAAAACAAGTATCAATAATTATTATTTATTTTATATGAATAAATTAATAATAATAAAAAAGAACATCTTCTAAATTAAAAACCTTGACATTTTCTGACATAAACTTGATTTTGCACTGTATTATTTTTTCCACTTTGCATTTTAACATATCAGACAGAATCATAAAACTGTAATAACTTTGTGGGGGACCGTGAATTTCATGGATCAATGATAAACAATTGATTTGTTATATTCTTTGTAAATGCCTCAATAATAATATAAAAATAGTTTTTTTACAGTAACCTTTTTTTACTACTATTTTTGCATAAACATATTTAGTAAAGTTACTATTATTGTAAAAATAGTAAATAATTTTAATGTTTCTGTGTATAAAAATTTTTACACATTAACCAAAGACTATGCTTAATAATCTTTTCTTCTCATAGTTATTTGTAGCAGGTTAGGTTAAGATAGCAATATCTTATGTCCAAATCAATCTCAACCATTTTTCCTTATGTGAGGTATTTTTTTTTGTTCAAATTTTATCTTTTTAAGGATTGCAATAACAATAGAAAAACCTAATTTATTATTCAGCCTGAAATGAAGAAATAATATTAATTAAAAAAAGTGTACGATAATTTTTTTGAAGGTTTTCGTATCATTGTACATTGCCCTCTTTTTTATGAATGAACACAATGAACTGTGTTTATGCTTTGTACTATATTTTATTTGCTTTTATTTAATGCATGGCAAGGTTTCATACTTGCCTGGAGTAGTTACTCCAACCTTGCCATGCATCTCCCCATAATAGTGAACATTAGGCTAGATTAAATGATAGATTGGGAATTTTTTAAAGCATTTAAAATTAAAAAAAAGGATTTGGTTTAACACCGATGACCTTGAATTTTAATAGAAATTTTTAATTTATAATTATATTACATCAATCAAATTGCAATACTTGTTTTTAAAGAATATTAGTTCCAATTACACTTGTACAGACAAATTTAAAAACATTTTTAGAAAACAATTCTATTCTTTTTAAACCTTAATAAATGTTCAGTGTTATTAACTAAGTTTGTTTCACTTCTGCAGAAAACATCAATTTTGCTTACAAAAATTTGGGAGCCCAATACTTTCCAACCACTTAACCAAAGGAATGACTAATGGCTATACAGTTTTTAATAAATTAATGTTTATTTTTAGGATAGTAACTTAACTTGGTACACAGATAATCCAGAATTTACACCATGCTTTGAGAAGACTGTTCTTGTTTGGACACCTTGTCTCTTCTTATGGGTCGCAGCTTTATTAGAAGGTTTTTATATTTTAAACAGCAAGGAGAGGAATATACCATGGAATATACTTAACATCAGTAAATTAGTTATAACATGCCTTCTGATTGTGTTAAAATTTGTGGACTTGGGTGTAACAGTCCATAAGTCCTCAAAAGATGAGGAGGTGTTCAACGCTGATTATTACAGTCCCATTATCAAGATACTCACATTTGTAAGTAGCTCTGATTTAATTTATTATCATTTATATTTAGTCAAAAGACTATATACATTATCTTGTTTGTAAATGTATCTACAAGAATTATTTTCGTGTTTGTGTTGTGATATTATCTTTTACCTTGTTCCAAGTGTAATTTTAATGTAATCTTTAGTCAGTAATTGTTATTTAATGCTATTTACATTTCATTATTGTTGTAATTAAATTGAATCCAACCTAAGGGCATAAACACTTTCCTAGAAAGTTAACTTTCATACAAAAAACTATCATCAAATATTCATCAGACATTTTAATAGACAAATTTGACGAACATGTAAAATGTGATAAAAAATTTATTGTTTACGCAAAGCGCCTGTAACTCCAAGACATTCTATCAAAAATGAATAGTCATGCACTTCAGTCAGTGTATCCAATAAGATGTTTTTATATCAAAGACACTAACGGATGTCTTAGATGTTGTTAACCTTGAAATGTTATGAAATACTGGTTTGGTTTCTCTACCAATTTACTATGGGTCTTGTATTCCGAATTATCAATTCTGAGTTATTATTTTTTAAATATATTTCTCACATTTAAAGCTGCACTTTTAACAGAATCCTCTATGTATAATTCTGAATACCTACTGCTACTTATAATACAAATTATTTGCCGAGTTTTTTTTTTAATCATATGACGCTAAAAGCATTTGGAACGAGATTGTATTTTTACTTAAAAGAAATGTTGACAATTTTAAATGATATCAGCACACAAGACAAAGAGAGTAATAAATCAAAGAATACATCAGCAGATTGTGGCAACCTATTGTCAATACTTCTCAGAAATATGTCGACGGTCTCGTTGTTTACACTCGTCTTTGTAAAAGAGTCCATAACTATTTTATGTATATGACATCGACGAATTGTGAACTCTGTCCGTTTATAATTTGTCTAGACAACTTCATTGACAAATTGCTGCGGTATTTTCCGACACTTTGCAACGGTGACATTAAATTTTTGTAACGCCAATAAAGTGTCAAAGATAGGATGGTACTTATAACCACTACCATTTGCCTAGGCAAATTATAAACGGGCCGTATTCGCGATCGGACGGCGACATGTACACAGCATGTATCAATCCATTAAATGATAATGTTTTTTTCAGGCACTCTCAGCAACTTTGTTATACTATAATAGAAAGTTCGGTATGAGAGCTTCGGGTGTTTTGTTCTTCTTCTGGTTACTTTTAATCCTGGCAGGGTTACCACAACTTAGATCTGAAGTAGTAGCACATTATAAGTTGATGGATGATGAAAATGTACAATATAACTTTGTCAGTTACATGATATACTATCCTATGATTATTTTGATGTTCATACTAAATTGTTTCGCCGATTTACCGCCAAAAGACACGCCGTATAAATATGAAAAGGTAATATACATTTATATATTCGAATGGATGAGTCATCTTTATATAAGATCAAAATATCGTCATGCAAGCTTGAAATATATAAATTACATGTAACCTAAGTCTCACTTGTATAGATTTTCTAGAAAGAAAATTAATACTAATAAGTCTGAAATCCATACAATTTTTAATACTACACGGTAAAAAAAGCGAAAATGTTTGTAGTTCCACTTTAATATATGTTGTAGCATACTATCATACTCTGAAACCTTATAATAAATCTCCACTAAGGGCCCCCTTAGTGATCAAAACACACTGAGTGCGGCAGATGTTGTCAAATGTTAGATGGTATATTTTATATGTAAATCTCCACCAGAACCAATGTCCAGAGGGCGCCGCCGGGTTCCCAAGCCGTCTTACATTCAGTTGGTTCGATCCCCTCGCGATCACAGGTTTCCGACGTAGTTTAACCGAATCCGACCTTTGGGCTCTCAATCCACCGGACTCGTCCAAAGAAGTTGTGCCTAGATTCGATAAATACTGGGCTAGAATACTACAGAAAAGAGAAATGTACGTATAAATTTAATATCTTTTATCTACTTGGCATTAGAAGAAAAATTGGAGTGAATTTACACGCGTATAAATATATAGCTACAAGTAGATCTTGTTATTTTTTCTTTTATGTACACAGCGCGAATGGTACAAAAGCCACGTACAGCAAGACATCGGCCAGTGTCAACTTCAAGCCAGAGAATGAAAAGAAACCAGCCTCAATCCTGCCTGCTTTGTGTCTCGCGTTCGGCGGGCAGTTCCTCTTCGGTGCCTTACTCAAACTCTTCAATGATACACTCATGTTCCTCTCGCCGCAACTGTTGAAGTGAGTTTTATTATATCCAAATCGTTAAATATTTTCATTGTAAATATTGCTTTTTAATAGCAATGAAAGCCTAACTGCTATATGTGTTCACAACCGAAGGAAATTTGTATGATTTTTAATAATTTCAAATGTCTGTTTATTAATGCCAGTATAAGTTAACAAGTTGGATGGTTATTGCTGTGTTTTTCTCCACGAAATTTCTTGCGTCGTTATGATAACGGTTTATAAAGTGTGTTAATTAAATTTGCAGTTTAATTTTAAATTAAATGGATTTTCTATCTACATAAACTTCTAGGCAAAAACAAATATTACGTAGGTAAAACAGCCTAAATCTGTTTGTGTTATCATTTACAGCTAAACATTTTAATTTGTACGCTACTTTAAATTTATAATGAAAACAAATTATCTTTTAGGGTTCTAATAGAATTCGTTAAAGGTGACGAACCGGTATGGAAGGGCTACGTATACGCCGTGGGGCTTTTAGCTTGTGCTACGGTACAGACTATGTTGTTGGCGCATTATTTTACGAGAATGTACTTTGTGGGTATGAGAATAAGGACCGCACTCACCAGCGCCATCTATAGAAAGTCTCTGCGAATGTCCAACGCAGCGAGAAAGGAGTCCACCGTCGGAGAAATCGTTAACCTGATGTCGGTTGACGCACAAAGGTATAGTTATATATATAAAAAACATATTGATATCTATACTAATGTTACTAGTATACAACCACAAGATTAACACATTGACTGCCACCAAGTTGACAGGATGATTCGTTTTCATACAGAGAAAATAGTGGCATGAAATGTAATATAATTCAATGTATTGTTCAGGAATAAAAGTTAAACCTCCGGAAATGATCGAGATATTTAGTATCAATAAATGTTGCTCAAAATTACATATATACACGAACACACATACATTACATATATATAAAATACGAACACTATAATAAAAACAATTCATCTATTCAAATTGTAATAGAATGTAACAAATAGAATGAGATTTTTGTGCTATATTGATGTTTAACGTGTTGTGCAACATGATATAATGTTTGAGAATTTATTAATATTGAAACTGTCAAGGTGAACTTCATTAAATATTTGTATGCTTTTATTTCTTTAACATCGATATAAAATAAAAACTAGTATTACATCACTAGCAATTATAAGGGTATGTCCACATGAAACTGATCGAGTACTACCGACGTATTCGCCAAATCTGACAGCAACCTTATGGAATGAAAATTTGATGATTATTAAATTTGCAGGTTTTTAGAGTTAACCGCGTATTTAAATATGATTTGGTCTGCACCGCTACAAATAGCCTTAGCCCTGTATTTTCTATGGGGTATTTTAGGTCCGTCAGTACTAGCTGGGCTGGCTGTCATGATAGTACTTATTCCCGTGAATGGTTTAATTGCGAACAGAGTTAAAACATTACAAATAAAACAGATGAAATACAAAGACGAAAGAGTCAAGCTGATGAACGAAGTACTTAACGGAATTAAGGTGGGCTTCCATTGAAATAATATTTAAGTGTAAATTCTGATTTAATGATGTTAGATAACATTGTTTTCTCTCTAATCTTTGAAGGTCTCTTATCTTTTTTTGATATTTTTTCCGTGTTATCGATATGTTATCTTTTTTCGAGTAGTTTCGCCTACACATAGGAAGTAAAAATTTAAGATAACTTATTTAAAAATGTTGACGCATGCTTAGTTGTCCAAATTTTATTTCTGAAACACTTAAAACGGTAATATCAAATAGTTACTAAAATAAAACTTGGAAAGTCATTTTTATGGATTTTTTTTAAATATATACTTACATGCTTTTAGTATATCCGTGTGGAATTCTAAAATATTTATACAATCTATCTATAATTTTTATAACTATTATTTTATTTATATACATATTTTAAAGCTATGTACATTACATATATAATGTAAATTAAATGTCTACAACGATTTATGAATTGTTTCTTGCATACAAATCATTGTTCATTGTAACAAATGTCATTATGTAGCTACCGAATTGCATTAGTTAATGATATAATTATATCATTGTTATGTTAAGGTTCTCAAAATGTACGCATGGGAACCGAGTTTCGAGGACCAGATACTTAAAATAAGAAACAAAGAAATGGTTGTTTTGAAGCAAACTGCATATCTTAATTCTGCAACATCTTTCATATGGTCGTGTGCTCCGTTTTTGGTAAGTACAATTATACTATCGCATGATATCAATTTCATATTAATATTTGTCAAGCTATTTATATACTATGATAATATTTTATCTATATTTATAAATACAAATTATGTTTTAATCTATATTGATAACTTTGATTTGTCATTATCGGTTTAATTTTGTTTTGACAATAAATGATTGATGATTCGTAATTGCGTGTAAATGAAAGTTAGTAAATATTTTATCATTGACATTTGTCATTTATGTTATTAAGGTTGAAATTAAAGAACAGTGCCTGAATTACATTTGCGCTTAAAATCAACGCTGGTATAATGTAAACAACTCACTGAATTAAGTGAGCATTAACAGTCCATGCTAAGCCAGCGCTACTGTAGTACTGTACTGGCATAATGTAAACTTGACATTCCAAATCATTTAAATGTCAATCTCTCATGATTTTGATGTTAAACCTAGCTGGACATTTGGTTTTAAATATCTTTGCCTCGAAATGTCTTTAGTCATTTCTAATTGTAATAAAAAAACATAACAAAAAAAACGAAGGAGTACTTACTATACTTCGGTTTTTTAACACTCGCAATTTTGAACTCTAGATGCAATTTTGGTGCACCAAAACTCGTAGGTAGCGACCTTAGGTCTGTTCGCTATTTTGGCGAATCAAGGTGGCCGCTTGCTCGCTTATACTATAGAATAGCGACTGCATATTGCATTTCTCTTCGTTGTAACCGGAAATCATGATATCAGTAATCAAATTACTTTATTATGCGGTAATTATTATCAAACCTTTTTCATTCTTCTAACATAATAACGGCTCAAATGACTTTGGCCGGTTGTAAATCAACTGTTATAAAACAAATTAATGTCGGCCATGAGCTTAATTGATTAAGTTGAAAAGATAAAAATAACTATGCATTCAAAAGGGCTTTTGAACCTTGAAATATCTCTAATTTCATGGCACATCTAGAATTTCAATGTCTTTGTTTAATTTGTACATTTTGTCACTTCTTAAACTTTTGTTTAGTGGAAGCTATAAAACTCCGAGTTAGAAAGTTTTAAAACACGATAATATTTTCTTCCTTCAAAAAAGTTATTTAACACAAAGAAAGAATTCTTTATAAAGTAAAAAGCGAGATATTGTGTTAAAAATTTCATCAATCACCAATTAATTTTTGTGGCGAGAGTCAATGTGGACCAAGGTCGATGGACGCATTTGACAGATTAAAGCAATCCAATATTGCTAGGCTTATCGGCTTCAAGTGCTCTGTATTACGTATTTTAGTTTAATACATTTCACAATTAATTTTACCCATTTTCAGACGAGAATTTAGTAGTCAGTTAATAATTACATACTCTCAATTGAACCAATTTGAACGTCCTAGTTTTTTCATAACAAATCGTCTCAAATATTGGCTGAATTATAACAAATCTGGTGAAAGCAACAATCCAATTTAACACGAAAGTATAAAACAATATTTAATAAATGCAGAACTAACTGTAAATTAAACATATAAATAACGAAATTACTTTGAATGAGTACAAAAAAAAATCTTTGTTAGTTTGTTTGAAAAATGCCAGTCTCTATTGACATTGCGTTGTGGATGACGTCAAATCCTAAATAATGTAATCAAGCTGTATATTTTCCTTATAACTATTAATATGTATGACAAATCAAAAAGAAAAAAATGTGTGGTCTGTTACTAAGGTCGAAGCAATTTAAAAAGATTTTTTAGTATTTAACAAATTCTTATTTTTTTACTGTGTCAATCTCTGGAGTTATTATTCGTACATGATATACGATGATGTAAAAATATCGTATTATTTTAATTTTTTTTCACTATTTATCTATGCATTAACAGGCTAAATAAAATCAACATCGAAACTTGTTTATTTAATCTAGGAAACTGCTACTTTATTCTTAAATGTAGATGTAGATAAGAATATATGTAGGTATAAGGTATACATTACTATGTTATTTTTTAAGCAAAAATTACATCATGGCTTATAATTATTATGCAATTAATGTGACATTACACGAGGACTTTGAAAATTTGCGGATCAAAGTACAATTTGTTTTTCTGTTCAAGGTGACCTTCCTTACTTTCTTCACATATGTGATATCAGACCCTGAGAACAATGTCCTGGCCCCGGACAAAATATTCGTGTCGATGTCCCTGTTTTTTGTAATGCACTTGCCGTTAGGTCTGCTGCCGCTCATCGTGGTGTCAGTGATCGAGGTAGTGCCCTCGGTTGTTAGCACGTCTCTATGCTCCTAGTCTATGGTACTCGCATAACTAACATGCCCGAACCTTCATTGGTGGTTTTCTTATATTTAATATGCATCATATTTAAAATTATATTCATTGTACCAAGGTGTACGGTTGAATGCTCGCGCAGTATTTATCGGTTTATCGATTCGTTCGGTTTTCGTTGATTTGAAACTGCAACTCATATTTTTTCGATCGTAATTTTGCGTAATGATTCCTCACTGTCTAAAGACCTTCCTTTTTTAACATCCTAAATGTTTATTTATTGATTGTTTTAAAGCACACAACGTAAAATGGTCTTAGTATAATCAAAACTTTCAATAATAACATACTTTTTGCATAGTAAAAAAAAACTAATGCATTCGTTCTAAACAGTTAACCAACATTTTGTTACGTAGGCGTTGGTTTATTTTAGCTGTCTTATGCAAAGACCAGCTTAGCTCCGATAAACGAATGTTTATAGTACACTCAAACCTCAAGTTTATTGATAACTGTAATCTGGCTGTTGTGAAAAGATTTCATAATCGGATATTATTTCCTAATTGTGAATTATATTATGAAATATTGCTCAAGTATTTTTCAATACATAAAAATAAAGAGAATGTACTTAGAAACATTTTTAAATAAAAGAAATTATGTTTCACTTGTGTTTGTTTAGTTGCAGTTCCGAGTAGCGAAAACATAATTTACTAACAATACTCTAAACATGTCATGTTTTCTGGAATGGTCTCCTAGGTGTCGCTGATGTCATTCGGGTGCTTTGTACTGGTAAATGAAACAGAAGTACTGGATTCTGAGAGGGCTTTCGTAGCGTTGTCTCTTTTCAACATCCTGCGTTTTCCGCTATCCATGCTGCCTAACGTTATCTCGAATGTTGTACAAGTAAGTTTACTATAGACAATAATGTCGCTAAAATATATGAGATTCTTTTTTGACAGCTGTCAATTTGACGTAATTAGAGATGTATGTACGATTTTAAAATCGATTTTGATTTGAAAAGTTACATTTTAATTATATTGATTCTCTGTTTGATGTTGAAAAGAGTCTTATATATTTTTGGATAATAACTATTCTATTTAACTTTAGCATTACATTTAAAAGTAATAAACTAAAATTTTTAATTCTAGCTCTGGTTTTAACATTTTCGGTACAAGATCCACCATCATTTCAGTATTTAGTTAATTTAAAATTGAGTATAGTTGGTGAAGGCTTTCTTTAATAATTAAAAGCATGTTAATAGACAAAATTTATGTACAGTCAAAGAGTATTTATATTTTTATTGCAAGTCTATTATTCTTTTCCTGTACATAAATCTACAAAAATAAAATTTACATTTTATTCTAAAGCACTTTTATTTATTTTAGACGTCCGTTGGTATTAAAAGATTAAATAAGTTCATGAACTGCGACGAACTCGACGTTAATTCAGTGGAACACGACAAAAGTGAACGTAAGTACATACAATTTATAATAAACGTTACAATTGACTGTGTGTTTTCAATGAACAAACAATCGTATAATGGTATTGCCATCTCTTTCATTCTCTATGAAAAAAAACAAAGACAACAGTATCATTTTGCTTACAAAACTTTTAAGAGCGACATGTTTAGTCTCAAGTATCATGACTTCAATCTAAGTCGATATTAATAAATCATGTTGGGTGTTTCCCTTTGGACTGTTGAACCCACTGACCGATTGGTCGACCCATTGAGATTTTTTGCCATTGGGTCAATCGAATTTATAGCATCAATTTGCCCAGTGGGAACGCAAATTCCACAAGACCGATCGGTCATACGGGAAACATCCGAAATGTTATACATGATGTTAATTTTTACATGATATAAGTAACAATAGGTAGAAAAGCTCTAAATATGTAGAACTTCCGACCATGTTAGTTAATTGTACGGGTATTTGTGAACACCATTTGTATCGTTCATAATCAAGGGACCGAGTCATTGTGCCACAAGGCAATAAACGCTTATTAAAATTATTTAGTGTGCACGTGTTTCTGATATCACGCATAGTTTTCTATAAAGGGTAGACAGGAGTACAATATTCCATAACGATTATTGTAGATTTTTTTAATTACGTTACGGTCTTATAGTCGGCCACTAACACTTAGATTAAAAGGAAAACATAAGTGTAAACATAATGTTTATAAATTATGTAAGAGGTCGCCGCTAATTATCAATTATTTAACAATATTATGATGCCCTCGCGTGATCACAGAGAACATAAGCAAAACGTAATTCTGATGATTACAATTTTTTGTTTATTTAGCCTTCTTTTGACGAGCGCGATGTTGTCATGTGAAAAATATTAGACTTTTGTTACTGATGACTGCACATATAATGTCGATTTAAAAGTATTGATTGTTACTTTATAAAATTATTTGAATAGCTGGCCCCGCGATTCCATCCGCGTGGAATTTGAAAAAAACTTAGTGAGTAACCTATGTGTTCTCTAAACTATGTTCTAGATCCATGTCAAATTTTGTCGAGATTCGATGAACCATTCTGGTGATACCTTCTAAGAAATATCCATCCATACATCTAAACTTACGCATTTATAACATATTAGTAAAAAATACTAAGATAGTTTCTAATGTAACTAATAAGAGTGATCGAGTCTTTTCTTTACAGTCCAATGGCGTTATCATCTTATAGGTCAATACTATTTATTTGTTATGAACTCGGTTTAATTATTACTATTTCTTACCATGGGTTTCTGATACCAAAATGTCCGTTTGAAACATATTGTTGTCTCTGTTTTGTCAAAGATAATGACAGAGATGAGAATATGTTTTATATAAAGATTTTGGTATCAGAAACCAAAGTAAATTAACATTTGCTCTCTCTATCTCTAGGATAAGGTCGTAATAACCTAGTCAATTACATCTTGTTGAACTTGAACTTTGTCATGACTTGGCATTTTTAAATATGATTGTATATTGTTTGTTTTGCCAATACTATACAATTGCATAATATGTCGTAATTATTTTTAAAATTTGAGGGTTTACTTATAGTATTTATAGTAGAATTCTATCTTACTAATATTATAAATGCGAATGTTTAGATGGATGGATTGATGTTTGTGTGCATGTCCAGAACGGTTGAACGGATCTCAATGAAATTAGGCGTACATATAGAACAGAGGCTACTAATTATGTTTTATTTTTCTCCGCGCGGACGGATTCGCGATCGACAGCTATGTTATAATAAGAGTGGGTTTTCTTGAATGAGTCTTTATTAAGAATCTTTTTAATTTTATACCTTATTACAAAGATATCATAAAATAAGTTTAAGTAATTTGTATCCTCTGTAACCGAATGTAAAATAAAATACATTCAAATGAACATAACCTGTTATGTTTTGTTTGGTTAAAGTCCGCGCAACCTCAACTATTTATTTTGATTGTATCAAATAAAGAGTCATTGTGTTGTGTTCATGAGGTTTGTTATACAGTTACATACAGTGGCGTTAGCTATCAGATCCGGAAATGATTCGTCTGATTCACCAGTAGGTATAGTCCCCTACTACCTACTTCTAAAATATGCAGTATTTATTTGCCGAGAGACGAAATGGTTGTTAATATTATTTACCAAACAAATAGCTCAGTTAGATTATACTAATATTATTGGTGGTATAAAGTTAGTTGATCTTCTGCCACCACTTACAAGATCGTAGATATTGTTAAAAAAAAAAACATGTCAGACAGAGACAGGGAACTTTGCTGTGTTAGGGCTTCACACGTAATATGATGTAGTGAATTCATAATTCGACTATTGTTTACAATTTTCTTGCAACTGTTGAGTTTTGGAATATCTTTTTCTTAGAAGATGCCAACGCATTTGCAGTTTTTCTTGTGTTGTGAATGTATGTGTGTAGATGATCACTTAACCTTTTGTCCCTAACTCGTTTGCCCATTTATTAAATAAGAAAGCAGATTTACATTTGGTAGGATTATAATTTTCTTTATTGTATGTTAGCGGACCCTCTTGTGATCGAAAATGGTCACTTCTCATGGGGCGAGGAGCAACCGGTGTTACGGAACATCAGTGTGCGCATCCCGCGGGGCTCGTTGGTGGCTGTCGTAGGCGCTGTAGGCTCCGGCAAGAGCTCCCTGCTCGCCGCGTTGCTCGGTGAGATGGACAAGATCTCCGGACGAGTTAATACACTGGGTAAGTTCATTTATCGAATATGAACCGAAATTAATATTCTATCTCGAAACATTCACAATAGCATTAAAAACACAAGGGTTATAAAAAAAATTGTACTTCGTCCCATATAACATACACAGTAATTAAAATATATTACGGATTGAGCACAAAGATCCATTGATTTCGGCTAAAATGCCTAAAATAATCATTTGGTTATGTTTGTCTATGTATATTATAAACAAATCAATAAAACTTTTTCTACAAATTATTCAATAACTCACAGGCAGCATAGCATACGTACCGCAACAAGCTTGGATACAGAACGCGACTCTACAAGATAACATACTATTCGGCAAACCATTAGAAAAGGCGAAGTACAGCAATGTAATCGGCGTATGTGCTCTCAAGCCCGACTTCGACGTTTTGCCCGGCGGAGATCAGACAGAGATCGGAGAAAAGGGTAAGTTTTGTTTATACCTTTTTATCGATAATTACAAGTCAGTAGAAATAAATAAAACAGACGAGTTATCGTTTATTGATAAAACTGCATAGTAATAAGTTATTGTCAGGATACAATCATAAATATGTTAACTATGTTGTGATAAACCCTTGGTTTCTGAGACTAAATTCTCTGAATAAAACATATAGTCATCTCTTTACATTACCTTTAACAAAAGAGAGATAATAAACAATATGTTTTAAACGGGGATTTCAGTGTCGGAAACCCACAATAAACTTACAACTTTTGATAAAAAAACTCCACCTTACAAAATATAAGTTCCGTAGTAGTAGTGATAGTGAGTGACAGTTAATTGACTGGTCCAATATTATTGTGAAGAAGAAAAAGATTTTTTTTTTGTGTCCAGGTATTAATTTATCAGGAGGTCAGAAGCAGCGAGTATCACTCGCTAGAGCAGTGTACCATGATGCTGATAATTATTTCCTCGACGACCCTCTCAGTGCTGTAGACTCGCATGTTGGCAAACATATCTTCGACAAGGTAAGAATATCTTAGAAATAGTTAACGTTTTAATTTAACATGCCCTTCACTGTATAAAACACCTTCAACAGACCATTCTTTTTTTTAATGTCAATGACCTTTTAGCTTTTAAATTTTATTTCTTACTAGCGGTCGCATGTGACTTCGATTTTTGAAAAGTATCTTGTAATATTCCCACGTGCATTAGCTTTTTGACGTTTTTTTCATTAAATATTATTATAGCAGGTTTGGTTAATTTACTAATATTTCTTGTACCATTCCAACTAAGCTCTATGCTTGTGCTAGGACATGGTTTACGACAATAGACCCATAACCTATTGACTATAAGCGTTACATTACCTTCCCGCAACATCCCGGTACAGCTGTTCCGGAGATCATACAAATGCGACCTAGCTGATAGACAAAAATGCTACAAATTGGATTTTCGTTGTCAACAACGCAATTCAAATACATACAGACACTCCAATTTTATTAATATGTATAGATAAATTTAACGGTTATAAAAATAGTACATTGTATATTTTCAAATTCTATCTAAAATCTAAAGGTATAAGATCGATAATCCAATGACATGAGAAAAGAAGACAATCTATAACTACGGCAATGACAAGTCAAATTAACCTTGGTTTGTCATCTTGGGATTGAGTAGGGCCAGTTTTGAGAAAAAAAAACAGATAGACGATGAAATTACACAACACTTACCAATGTTGAAATGGTGTAATTTTAAAATTTTGTTAAAAGTATGAACATGGTTGCGACAGGCATGTTAAAAATGGAGTTTAAGATCATTGAACTTTGGATCGCACTCTCGTGAGATCAAGTTACCGGATTTTATGGTATTTTGCTAGCTCTTACTTACTAGAAGGTTAGAAGAAAAGGTTTACGCTACAGTTTGAGCCAGCCTAGATTTTGACACATGTGAAAGAAGATGGCTGTGGGATAAGCACTACAATAAAGTCCTTTTTATTTTATTACAATATTTGTATAAAATAATTTTTTAGACTGATAAAATAACCTTTAAAAATCTTAAGATTTGTCAGATAATACCATAATTTCTTTCATTGACGATATTTAAGTTAATTAGGCTACCAAGGAAGATCTTAGTGTGGGCTAATAATAGAAGTTTACACAAAGCGACTTTAAACCTTTAAAGGATCAAGGTTGCAGCAACAATTACAGGCCAATGATATTACTATTGATGTTTTTTAGAAGATATCAGTCGACGCATTCCTTACGCGAATCTATCGATACGTGTACAAGTCGAGTGGGCAGTGGGTATTGGGTACTCGCAGCCGAGCCATCATCCAGTCAAACTAGTTTTTATTGATAAACAGGCAAACGTTACTCGTACGATGTATGCAAACGGGTCTCACACTCTTAACTTTTATTTTATATACTCTATAACTTTTTTTCACATATTTTAAATTCTGTTCAAGTACTGAATTTTATAGTGTAGCCTTTTGAGTAATAAAAGTAAAAGATAGGGTGATGTTTAGTGTATTTTTTTATTTGACGCATAATGTTCTGGAAGGCATAAACTTGTTTTACACAATTTGTTAGAATCATGATTATTCGACTTGACATGATACAAATTTAATACATACAAGTACATTTTCTGATTAATTTATATTCACATAATGATAACGCAACTGTAACCAAAATAATAAACATGTTCCAAACAAATTGCGGTCCCTATATTTTGTAATAAATGTACTCGTGTTGTAAGAGAATTATTAATGAAGGCATAAGATTTAAAACAACAACAACTTTTAAAACATGTTACACGAATTTGCAGGATAGCTTTCTTATTTACTAGACCATAAATTAAAAAATGTTGCAATTGAAACATTGAAAAAATCATCTGCCGTAATGAAACCATCAAAAGCCAAATTACTATAATCTGAGGAAATAAAACTGATATTCTTAGTTATTTACATTTATAGACGTTATTTTTTAAAATATTTTAGTACAGATTAAACAATTATAGTCAATGTATTGTATTTGTTTTGAAGGTAATAGGTCCGAGTGGGCTACTGAAGGACAAGACTCGCGTGTGGGTGACCCACAACGTGACGTACCTCGCACAGACGGACCTGGTGCTGGTGCTACGTGACGGACAGGTCTCTGAGGCGGGCACCTACCAGCAGCTGCTGGAAAAGAAGGGTGCCTTCGCCGACTTCCTGCTGCACCATCTCAGTGACGCTGAGAGGACCTCGCCTGAAGGTAAACGCTCATGGTTATAGTTACGGTCCGTTGAGCTACCACGTTGTGGAAAGAAAATAATTGTTTACGTGCCAAATCAAATGCCAGGCAATTTTACGAATAATGTTTATCTTAAAACTTACAATGTAATATAATTTCAGAACTGGACGAGATCAAGCAAGAGTTGGAGAGCAAGTTGGGGTCAGAGTTCCAGAACAAGCTGCAGCGCGCTCGCTCGCTCTCCGAGAGCGCGTCCGAGTCGGACCAACCGGCCGCCGGTATGTACATTCAAATAATTTATTTAGCTACCAAACTTTTACTACAAACAATTCGTTATAGTGATAAAGTCAGAAATCTACCAAAAAAACTGTGAATTACTACGGCAACGAAGTCAGGCACAAAGTATAAAATTTGGTGTTTTGTGTTGTAAGAGTATTAATGGTCTAGAACTAGTCCTCAAACCCTTCCCATCCTTAAATGATAAGGAAATCTTGAGGAGGCTATCGATCATAAAAGTTTTGAAAGGTTTATAATATTGAATTTTAGTTTTATATTAAATAGTAAGTAGTACGTATTATATACGTGGTATAAAACATAGTATGTAATCTATTTTTGTATCAATAAAGGATAGGTGATTCTGTTACAGGTGATAGAACCGGCAGCGTGAAGCGACGCACGCCTGAAGAGAGCACTCCCAATGAACTTAAAGAGAAGAACAAACTTATTGAAGTTGAGAAAACCGAGACGGGCAGTGTACGTTTTCCATTACTAGCATTTTAGCTATTTAACATAGTAATCTCTTCTGTTCTTAAATATTGATTTCATAATCTCTGTCTACCCTGCGAAGTGTTCACCAGATTGTAGTAAATGTGATGATGTGGGGATGTGCAGGTAAAATGGACGGTATACAAACACTACCTGACGAGCGTGGGCGTGCTGGCCTCCGTGGTGACCATCCTCATGAACCTCGTGCTGCAGCTGTTCCAGGTCGGCTCCAACTACTGGCTCTCCGAGTGGTCCAACGATAAAACTATCATCGTACGTATACATTTGTAATATAAAGACCAAACAAATGTTGATTAAAAAGTAAAACCTCTTAGTATCCTGGCTCGAAGGACCATTCAATATTGTTAACGTTAATTGTATTATAGTAATATTTCATAAACAATATTAGTTTAATAAGTCTTTAAAAGATTATTTTTCTTTATCTCGATAATTTTTGAAGTTATAATCGTATTTTTTTATTTATTGCTTATTTATTATTGTCATTAGTGTAATATGTTATTTATTACAATGTTATTATTAATTCCAGTCAGAAAATGGTACTTTGGACAAGAGCAAACGAGATCTATATCTGGGAGTATACGGCGGTCTCGGTGTTGGACAAGGTAAGTCATCGCTATAACATACAGGGTGTTTACAAACATGTTTACTAATAAACTCATGACAAATGCTTTTACTAACACTTTTATGGTTGTTAAGGGAGTTATGTATTATTGTGGGAAATAATTTATTAGGTATACTAACAGAGGACTCCACAGATTTTATTAATGGAATCAGGAAATTAGGATAAGCAGTTAGAATGATGAATGAGACGAGAGTGAATGAGGAATGGTGTGAGTTAAGTTCAGACATTTTACAATACATTTGCGAGTATTTGACCTTGGAATGATTCTAATCTGGGCTAGGTTCAACTGAAAATAATGTTTTAACTCAATAGTATATTAACATAGAATACCTTATATTAATGATGAATACATTATTTTATTCTATTTATATTTGTTTCCTATATAACAATATTTAACTCGCAACATATAACCATGAACAATCATTGCATGTTTTTAATAAATCTTTAATATTTTACAATTAACTGCATGATAATTTAAATCGATTTACTGTCGATTACTGACACCTAAATCTCTGCATAAAATATATCGTCATCCCTGTCTTTCATATTAGACAAAACAGAGATAACAATATATTTTAAACGGGTATTTTGGACTCAGAAACCCACGGTTAGTATATGAGTTCTATATTGAAATAATTTTGCATGATGTGTTTGTTTATCTTAATAAATACAAAACAATTATTTACTATGATAAAATGTAGGCTTTTTTACTTTAATACAAAGATCCCAATTTTAATTTTAAAACAAATTCGATATCCAAAAGTTGAATTTGGCTTCTTAATTTTATAATATTGAAATCGACATTCACAAATGTGATTTTGAACAGAAAGACATTACAGAATTTCACTGTCAAATATCTAAACTTAAAATATAAAAACATATATACTTTTCAAATATTATTGTCTAGAATTAAAGTCAAACAAGGATATCTGAACCGATGATGGAGGCGGTGCTATAGCCTTTGGTTCTGTCAGAATATATATAAAAGCTACTTAGGACAAAGATAATATCACATAACAGCTACAGTACAAAGAGGATTTTGTGTCGACACGAGGGCGCTAGTGAGCCGTCGTAGTTTAGTTTGACTTATGCCCACCGGTTCAGATTTCTTTGTCGGGTAACATAAAGCGAAGTATTTATAAATGCGAGCTTGTCGTATCGTTGCGGTGAGGGAGGTGACGTGAGACGTAACGTTGGGAGAGTGAGAGACGAGACGTGATGAGGTGATGACGTGAGACGTGAAGTTGAGGGGTGTTGCGCAGTGGTGTCAGTGTCGGTGTCGTCGCTGGCGCTGTACCTGGGCACGCTGGCGGCGGCGCGGGCGCTGCACGCGGGACTGCTGGCGGGCGTGCTGCGCGCCCCCACCATCGGCTTCTTCGACTGCACGCCCGTCGGCCGCGTGCTCAACCGCTTCAGCAAGGACGTCGACGTGCTAGACAACGTGCTGCCCATGACGCTCCGCGGCTGGACCTCGTGCTTCTTCTCGGTACGAATGATGAGTGCTTCACACGATGCTCTACATTTGTAAGCAAGAGTAAAAGGGCAGCGTGTTCCTCTTTATCTAGGAACATTTTTATTCTAAAGCTGTTACTTGTTACTATCGAACCAGGGAGAAAATCCTTAATTAACCTGTGATGAATAGGGATCAGTTTACGAATATTTTAGTATTTTGGTATATATTGTGTGCTTTTATAATTCGATAATGTAGCGTATTGTGGTTTGTCAACGGTGGCTTGCGAGGGGGTAGTTACAGATTTGTATTATTTTGACTACGTTTGTTGCATGTCGTGATATAGTTGTGTGACTAGAGCACTTTGCACATCATCGTACGCCCGCAAACGTAGTAGATTTCACTTGTATTCACTAAATAGCTTTTCTTAATTCTTTCATATCATAATAAAATAATGTATTCATTATTCATATTACGTATTGAACTTGCGCCAAAATATTAGATATTAAAGCTAAAAAATCTTAACCCTTTCTTCATTTTAAAATAACCACACTAGAAGTTGTGTGCCGGTGACCGCGACCTGTCCCCATTGTGTTGTCTCAATGACCGAATCTTTCCTGACCATTGTTGCAGCGCTAGCGTCGTTTTTCGCGGATTTATTGCCTTATTTGGGATGTTGGCGGGCGGCGATGATACTGCACGCTCTGTTACTGGAGAACGTACTAAAGGCGCCGTTGCAATTCTTCGAGGTGACGCCCCTCGGCCGGATCCTCTCGAGGTTCTCTAAGGACGTTGACGTGCTCGATACATTGCTACCCTCGCAGGCCTCTGACGTCATATATTGCGCCTTCGAGGTAACACTCGAGACACAGTTTATTTTATGCGATATTTTGTGGACGGCACATCACTACTATACGAATTATTATTTTTTGTCAATAACACGAATAAGAAACAAACATTAAATCAAGTAAAATTTTGTAAAAAAAAACATATTATAATTTTAATTAAAATATTATTGGTAAACTGATCTCAACATTTCATAGGTAGAAAATTTAAATGGAAATATCTTATTTCTAAGATTATATTTTTTTAATATTTATTTCATTTGAGGTAAAGCGTCATTGATATATTTTATACCAGGTATTGGGCACGTTGTTTGTGATAAGTTTCTCGACGCCGATCTTCATGAGCGTGATACTGCCGATCGGGCTGCTGTACTACGTCATCCAGCGCTTCTATGTGGCCACCTCGCGACAGCTCAAGAGGCTGGAGTCTGTCTCCCGCTCGCCTATATACTCGCACTTTGGGGAGAGCATCACTGGAGCCACTACGATACGAGCATACGGTGTCACCAACAGGTAACGCTTAATACTAATGTTCACATTTTAGTTGAATCGAATAAGAAGTGTGGCATTTTCTCTACTTCTTATAAAAGGATTATTTTTTAAATCTTTACTACGAGATGATGAAAAAATTTGCTAGTGATAAACTAGACAATATTCCATTATCACATGCATATAGTCTACCGCAAACTGAAGCAAACGAAGCTCATAGGTCTGCAGTGCGTGAAATTGTCTTTTATAACTCGTATAACACGGTTTATAGAAAATGCTCCATTTATCCATTCTAATGTAATATTCTTTACGTGCATAGATTCGTGGAGGAGTCAGAGCGGGGCGTGGACCACAACCAGTCGTGCTACTACCCGAGCTGCATCGCCAACAGGTGGCTGGCGGTGCGGCTGGAGATGATTGGCAACTTCATCATCTTCTTCGCGGCGCTGTTCGCAGTGCTCGACAGGAGCTCCACCAACCCCGGACTTGTCGGTCTCTCTGTTAGCTACGCTCTGCAGGTTAACATCTTCATTTTTAATCTGTATTGTAAAGAATACGGGTGATTGCCGTGAATTTATAGAAATAATTTATTAAAATGTTTTTGAGATTTAAAAATATGTTTGTAGATTACACAAACACTCAATTGGTTGGTGCGTATGACATCTGAGGTGGAAACAAACATTGTTGCTGTGGAGAGAATAAAGGAGTACGCTGAAACTGAACAGGTGATATAATCGGTTTTAATTCAATGTGATTTTAAGATTTCTCTTAATAAATATTATAAAAAAAATTTAATGTATTGTTTCAGGAGGCAGCATGGACGGTGGGCAACGGACCAGGTGCAACGTGGCCGGAGACAGGAGCGCTGCAGCTGGAGCGGCTGACACTGGGGTACCGCTCGGGGGAGCCGGCACTGAGAGATCTCACCTGTGCCGTCGCGCCCAGGGACAAGCTCGCCATTGTTGGCCGCACCGGCGCCGGCAAGTCCACCCTCACACTGGGACTCTTCAGGTCAGTCATGTCACTTTGACATGGACAACACAAACGTGGACGTCACAAGACAAACATGCACTTTATAAAGATAATGTGTGTCGTCGCATTACTTTAAACCCATTAGATCATATACACGTACAGTCAGTGTAATAAGCTTGATTTTAATAGAACCACATTATCGGAAGTTCTAAAATACTATTCTTATTATGATTATCGTTTACGCGTCGTTTATAATACAAACTTGTACATCCCTACAGGATAGTGGAGGCGATGAGCGGCAAGATCCTGATCGACGGCATCGACATTTCCACTATCGGGCTGCACCAGCTGCGGTCACGTATCACCATCATCCCGCAAGACCCGGTGCTGTTCTCGGGCACGCTGCGCATGAACCTCGATCCCTTCGATGCCTACACCGACGAGGAAATCTGGCGTTCGCTAGAGCATGCGCATCTTAAGACCTTTGTTCAAGGTATGGGTGTTAAGTCTGTTGAAGACCATCATAAACATTCTGTATAATCTTAAAGTTGAATTGTAGTACCACAATGTAGTAGATCATTATTGGTATCTTTGTTTTGTTTCAAAGAGATTGAGATGGAAAGATTTATTGTTGTAGTATAAATAGATGGTGATGTTTTGAATGAAATCAAAAAGGTTATACTGCAAATTTTCAATTTAAGCTAATCTTTCCAAGGGCAAAGACATAAAACAAAACTGTTATACCTAATTTATTTCATATTTTTGCCTAGTCTCTGAATGTTTATAACCAATGTAATCAGGTTTGCAAGCCGGTCTCCGGCACGAGATATCTGAGGGCGGGGAGAACCTGTCCGTGGGTCAACGGCAGCTGGTGTGCCTGGCGCGCGCGCTGCTGCGCAAGACGCCGCTGCTCGTGCTCGACGAGGCCACCGCCGCTGTAGACCTCGAGACTGATGAACTTATACAGGTATTTATACACATTATTACAGTTGTTTAATAAATAAAAAGTATCTAAGACTATATTTATGAACAAAGATGTTGCGTTATCAACCTCTGTGGAGGAAAATATGTCTTGCATACCAACAAGCAGAAAAAGTATATTTTTCTTTCCTATCAATATTTTTACACGTTAACTCTTTGATTGTTTAATTAATTTCATTAGTATCACTACAATTTTATATTTATCCTAATATAAATAGTTTTTCCAACAATAAATTAATGTTTCAGAAAACAATTCGTTCAGAATTCGCTTCATGCACGGTACTAACGATTGCTCACCGTCTCAACACGATAATGGACTCAACACGCGTGATGGTGCTGGACAAGGGCCAGCTGGTAGAGTACGCGCCACCGGAACAGCTGCTGCAGGATAAGACCTCCGTCTTCTATGGCATGGCCAAGGATGCTGGCCTCGTCAATTAAACTCAGTTTACACACATCTTGATGCAACGACATTATAATAAAAAAAGTCCAATCCAAACTTATTTTAGATATTTTGTAGTCTAGAATGGCTACTGTTCAAAATGATGAAATAAACATTTTGATAAAAAATAATAATTTAACAGTTTACTATTCTCACATCTTTTTATTGTAAGTATCAGGGATTGTGTGTTTTAACGTAATTGCACATGTAGGTAATAAAATTAAAAAAGTTTGGATTTATAATTCAAGTATCAAGATGTGTTGAACTACTATAAGATAGCTTCTCCTATAAACTTGTTAAAAAAAAGTGTTTAAAATATACATTTAGATGTATAACTAATGCTCGAAACAGATCAATTAACTTTATAAAAGTATTATTTTTGTATGATTAGACGTACTCGAGTACAAAACTATATCTCGTCATCGAATATCGCCTTAACATCCTTTTTATTTTTAAACAAGAGGTTTTATGAAAAAAAAAACTACCGTTAGAACTGTAACAGTGTTAAATAACAGCTACATTTATAAAATTTAAATCATCAAAAATATTAAAGTTTCAATGTCTGGTTTACATTATGCCAGTACAGTGGGACAGTAGCACTGGCTTGGCATATACTGGTTACATGTAAACTAGACTTATCTTTGCTGCCAGTGAAAAATCTTGTGATTTGTTTTTATAAAACCTCATGTTATCGTGAAACAGACTGTAGTTACCACAAAGGCCGCCCCTATACTTAATTTATAGATGTAGACCTAATTATTTCGAATCGAATTTTACAAACAACTCAATTTTTTTTTTCGGATAAATGTTAAATATGGTTGCGAATATAATTCTCGAATTTTCTGAATTTGTGATAATGTAATAAAAATCTTGTACTTATTATAAAGTTGCAGCGTTTAAGCTTTAAAACTGCCTTGTGATCCCAAGTGGTATCAAACTTAATGTCGTGTTTAATTGCCATACTAACTGCTATAGAGTTGATTAATGTTTATTTAAGCAGTCTCGTACTGTAGCTAATCTGCAATTTTTACTAAATTATCTTCAATCCATACAAGATTGTCAGCAATCTACACTAGATTATGTTCAATCCACACTGGATTATTTTCTATCTACACTGGAAGTGATCCTTAGCGACTAATTAACGATTTTCAGTGTGGCAGAAGACGTCTAAATAGTTACTTAAACAGTTCCTTAGTGCTTACATTGAACCTAAGGGTATCCCTTAATGATGATTTAAGTGTAACAGTAAGTAATCATTAAATAACTCTATTGCAGTAAGTTTGCTTTGGTACTAATGTTATTTAAATATAAGATATATATGGAGGTTATGCAAAGTGTTGAAGCCCGCTACATCACAATTTAAGTTATATTAAGTTACTGACTTATCACAACATTGTACTTAGTTTTATTTCCAATTATATGTTTTATTTTTATGTAGTTGTTATTAGTTGTACAACTTGTTAAATATACACAACCAGTTTTAGAGTAAATAGATAGGTATATAAAAACATATTTGTTCCAGTTAAATGCATGATTGAGTACTTATTATGTTATATTTTTATTTCTTTTGATATTAAGTCGACCATGTTTGTAGTTTTCCTTCAACAGATTATAAACATTTTTTGTCTGTTAATTAATTCAATATATTGGTAGTTTATGCAATTGTAAATTTATCTTTTATTTTTTCAATTTCTGAAAAAACTTTTACCGATTCTGTTTGTACCCATAGAATAGATACGCTATAACTTATAATGTCTACTTAATTTAAAATAATATCTAATGGTTGCCGCGTTACATATAAAAAATTGATAACATTGTAATATTTTAAAGCATTTAGTTTTATTACAGGACATATTAGTTTTTATATACAAATATATATTTCACTTACTTTAATGTTTGTACTGACTTGAAATCTAGATGTAAAATGTGTTAACTCATTTCTTACAAAGCAAAAGAAAGAGATAACATGCTTCATGTCAATATTTTTTGAGTTTTAATTCACATTATATAAAACCCAGCCAGATGCACAAACTTTTAAATTGAAACAAAGATCCCGATTTTTGCCGCAATATAAGTTAACTTTATTTATGAGTTCTTCATCTGTGGTTAGATCTTTTCTTATATTGTCCATTAAGTAATGACAATAAATGTTATGTAATTGATTTTTTTCTTCTTTTTTGTTTATTAGAAATAGTACTTGGCGCTTGAGTTGGCATGTCAAATAAACGCTTGTCTTCGACATGTCAAGTCTAATGTCAGGTACTATAATTTTGTTTGCCATGTAGTGGTCAGAGATTTTTTTTATAATTAATGTAGGCTTCAGAGATTGTTTTTGCATTATTATAACAGTTAATGAATGATTGCATCACAATTAGAAATTATAATTAAGTTCATATCCACTATCTTTTATACAAAAATTATTTTTTTGTGGTACTTGTATGTAATAATTTCGGACAGTTACAAAAATACTTTGTGTGAATACTTTTATAAAGACATACTCAACATTATTAAAATTATTTTAGGAAAGACTTTTGAATGTGTTCTTTATTTTATTTTAATTTGACATTGTAATTATAATATTGTTGGAAATATCTTGTGTCATGTTAAATACCATGTAATGTTAACAGCTTCTTACTAGACATGTCTTGGGGACTTTCTTGAATAGTGGAGTTTTGTTGTATAATTTATTTTTTAATCCATTAAAATCTTGCCTGTGTTTATTCATTCTACAAATTACAATATAGAGATTAAACGAATTGTACTATGTGGAGAAATAATACATGTTTTTGTACACTGTAAAGAGATTATTGAACTTAGTAAAATTTGTTTTAATTTTTATATTTTTGGTAGCTATCGTGCATTTGTGAATTGTTGAAAAATCTCGTATGCACTACATGTAGGATGGTAAAATGCTTAACAAATGTTACAATACTGCATTTATTAGTAGTATATTTTGTAAAACGTCCTTCTGCCTCCATTTTATACACGGTGTCCTTGTAAATATTTTTACTAAGTGAAGTAATAATATGTTAAAACTTATTTTGTTTTAGTTATTAATCACAATACAGGAATAAAGTTATTTGTACTGTAATGTTTCCTTTTTTGAATAAAAATTTCCTTTCATTATTCATCTAATTATCTAAGTAGTGATTTGAGAGAACAACGAATGTTCAAAGATATGAATTAAAAAATTTGTAATGTGAAAGGGGCAAACTATTTTTTATAGGTATTTAGATGCATTCTGGATTTCAAGCTAAACATATAGGTTTCCGTCGTCGAAACACTTGTTTAATAGAAAATTTAGAATATTGCTACAAGTGAACAGGTGGCAGTCGAATTTGCAAAAGATCTTACCTTCGATTATACTACTCGATAATAAGAGTCAAAATGACGTTCTAAATAAATTATTTATGTAAGCAACACTTTGGCAGCACTGTAAGTTTTAATGTCAAACTCAAACTGACAATGACAAATCAAACAAATTGTCAAACTTAAATAAATATTGTTGTTAATTTAGTTATGTATTATGATATTCTAATACATTTATAAATAAGTTAAATTTAAAGGCATATTCTCTTATTTTTATTAAAAATTATGGACAAGCTATTCAAAATACCTTTGCTCGATGATTTCAAACAAGTAGGAATACGAATTGGTTACATTTTTATGTTTTGCAAAATGTTATGATTGCTACAAAGAGTAAGTTATTTATTTTCTAGGTTACAGATGATTTAATTAGCAATTTGTACAATTCGGAAAATTTTAAACAAGTAAACATATTGTCGGAAGATGAATCAACGAACGCGAAGGAAGAAATTAAGAAGTGCCTTTTGGAGACAAATTTTGATTTTGATATCCTAAACAAATTACTAGAATCAAAACAATACAATGAAAACAAAATTAAACATTTCATTACATGTTGTAAGCAAAGAAAAAGTGAATTACTTGTATCCACAGTGAGGCATGTTAACAGCACTTATGGTGAAATTGTGCAAGATTTTGACTGGCTCCTGAAACTTGTTATTGGCACAAGTGACCTAAAAACAATGAAATATCCATTATTACAGCTTTTATTTTTGACTGTAACAAAAACAGGCAAAAAGGATAAGAGGGTGTATGATGTTAGCAAGGATGTGTTAGATAAAATGATAAATGTACTTGAAGAGACTATAAACACTTAGTTAATTTACTTGTGTTTTAATAAATCCCTTATTATATTAATATAGCTATTAGCTAAATTTCTAGATTTCTGAAAAAACAGTCAACAAAGTATTGTAGTAAAAGTATTCTGGCAGAGGAATTTAAATTTAACTATAGTTAATTTACATTATTTATCATGGTCGGTGGCTCAGTGGTCTAACGCTTGACTTGCAATCTGCAGGTCCTGGGTTCGAATCCCGCCATGTACCAATGTGTTTTTCGATTTCCGATTTACATATGTACATTTATCCGACGTTCTTACGGTGAAGGAAAACATTGTGATGCAACCTGCACATATCTGAGAAGAAATTCAAAGATATGTGTGAAGTCAACCAACCCGCAGTGGGCCAGCGTGGTTGACTATGGCCTAGTCACCCCTAACTTAGGGTAGGCTCCGAGCCCCTCGGTGGGGACGTATAGTGAGCTGATGATGATGAATTTACATGCAAGTTAATATTAACAATTATAGGTAACATTGCAATGTTGTTTGTGTTTTTTTTGGGATTTTTGTAGAAATCCTCAAATAGAGAATTATTAACATCTCTAAAAATATAGCTGACTCGGTTCACAATAGCCTTTATATTACAATTTATGATATGTTTGCTTATATTGGTCTAATCAGGTCAACATTCAATTGTTGTGATGTAGTTTGCATCAAATTTAGATTGCGGCAAATTCAAACCATATTAAGGTTACCACCCTGCAGACACTAGATAAAATATATTCTGAAATTTTTGACAATCATAGAATACCAGTTTTGTGTATAGAAACAGAGTAGCCAAATCATTTTAAGACTAAGACCAGTCTCGTAAGATTTAAAATTTAAACAATGTAACGAACTAGTAACTTGATTCGAACATAGACGCAAAACCAGTTTGACAATATGCTATGCTCAAATAGACCTTTTTGTTAGCTTTTTCTAAACCACGTGTTGTCTGATAATGCATAAATAATAATAATTTAAAAAGATATACTTTACATTTAGGTGAAGTTGCAAGAATTTTTAATTGACTAGCTATATAACTATTATAAAGACTAACGATGTATTTAGTTTAGTCTGAGTGAATCCACAAAATTACCTTGAAAATCGGTAACTTTGCCAGCCGTATATCAGACTTCTACATAGTTTTGTAATTTGATAATAGACATCTCTTCACTCCATATAAAAGAAAAAGGGTTCGAAGTATTAAAAAAAACACTAATTGTTTTCATAAATTTATTTATTAGAGACATTCACACATCAACATGAAGTTTGAGTAAATTGTATAATATTCTAATTAATATTGTGGAACGAAATAACTAAATTAAATACAATTACATATGTAGCGTCTTTTAAAACTTATTTTTTATAGAAATTCGTTTGAAAATATTAAATTGATTAATCATACCAGAAATTCAACTAAATAAAACTTGCAATAGGGGATAAAGAATGGCAAAATAAATGTACAATAACTCCTTATAGATATTAACATTACACATTAAGACGACGTACAGATGAAATTTTATCATTAAATATTCACTCCTTTTTGACCATTCGAACACCTATAGAGTTGAATTAATATACGAATGTCATTATTTCGACCTAACCATAGCATATTGGCCGTAGTTTATTTTACTACTTGAAAAGAGACAAAAATTAGTAACTAACAATTTTACACGCAAACTGCGATACTAATTACGTTTGAAGCACATATGTATTAGATAACTCGAGCGGTTTCAATATCGACATGAACATTTATAATTTCACATACAATTTGCATTATCTTGTAACACAACAAATAAAAGACAATACACACAGAAAATGATTAATATACAAAAAGGTGGGATCATGGAACGAGGAATTTAGTCTTTGATATGGAATGTCTCACTCACATTAACTGCTAATATATTCGGGAGCTTCGTCCCGTTAATGCTGATGTCACTTCAAATTTCATTAAAAAATTGTATAAAATTACAAAAATGATTATGAAATCATACATGTAATAAATTGGACGCAGATTATAGAAAAATGACACAATTGTATAATAATATCAAATCTTATGTAGGTATGTGGTCGCTAACTCGTTACAAACTCTACAATTCTAAATATTATCATATAATTAATTGTATGTATATGCATAAAAATGTATAGGATAATCAAAAACGTTGGCCACTGCAAGTGCGTCGTGTGAGTGCGCGCGCACACGACACTAACAATACCATAACCTTACATTACATTTACGTAGTTGCCTTATTATAATTTTGAGTCTAGACAAAGGAGCGCATTACCAATACTACAATTAAATTTCATTTTCGCATTAAAGAGAGCTCGAACTAAATTTTTACAACTTAAAAATACAAATAGCAAATGTATTCAAGTCGACAAACAAAAAGTAAATTTTCGCACACTCTCAACAATATACAAAGTAATTTTAAATTCATATCGACACAGAAAATTGAAAGCCCCCGGAAATTCAATAATTCATATATACATAATAATAATATGTCTCAAGTACTAAAAACCTATGATAATAATCGTATTCGAGTGGTATTTTATAATCAGATTTGACGTTCGCGGGTAAAGATGACAACGACTTTTGGGGAAAAGCAATAGCATCTCGTGCGGTGCGGGGAGGAGACAGGAGAGAGTAGGAGAGGCGCGGGGTGTACGTAACCTATCAGACTTGAGAGCGCGGGGAGGGAGCGCTCGCGGTCTACTACCCCTGTAACAATGGCACCAACTGATCAATCGCACCGTATACTGCCTACATAACTTTGTTATTGTAATATAATATGAAAACTCCGTCCTAGCGAATTAAAAATGTATAAAATCTTAAGCAAAGCACTCTAAACTTAAACTATAATCATTCTATGAGAAAGGTCACGTGCGAAACCAAAATCCGCTTCTCCGATATTGACTCATCGAACTTAGTTCGATTAGCTTAGCGCACCAACAGCTGACGGGAAATAAATTAAGGGCTAAAGAATGACGCGGCGCTGAGTGCGGCGCAGTGTGCGGCGCATGGTGCGGCGCATGGTGCGGCGCATGGTGCGGCGCATGGTGCGGCGCATGGTGCGGCGCAGTGTGCGGCGCATGGTGCAGCGCGCCTCTAGTTGGCCACCGCCACGTCGCTCGAGCTCTCCTGTCACAACCAAAACATAACATTAAACTCCGAATACAAAAAAAGCACAATTCAATGAAATAATTTTAATTGATATTATGAAAAATCTATAATTGATAAAATGTTACAAGTATTAATAAAATACCATTTCAGTTTTCAATTCCGGCACAACAGGAATTTCAGGGATCAAATCGGCCATCTTGTCTGACACGGGCAGCACATCCTGGAAAATTACAATATTTTATAGTGATTGAAACTACACATTGAGCATTCTGTGGTCATTTACAACAAGCTAAGAGAATAAACAACAACAATAATACAGAAAACATTTACAAATAACACAAAAATATATGATTTTATTGACTCTTGAAAAACAGATTCAATGAAATGGTAACAATTGAGAGCGAGAAATATCTACAAAGGTATATTGTATGTGAATTAAAAGTAATGTCTACACAGATGTAAGTAGTAAGCGGCCAAGCATGCGGGGTACAATGACGTCCAGGGTACAAAGCGAGGAGAGGTAGGGGTGGGGTCGGGGGTACAGAAGAGCAGTCAACTGTAGGCTGCGTGCGACGGAAGTGATCGGTGACGAGGCTCCAAGTCTTCCCGTTATTGACTGTTCAACGACATGCTGGTATTAAATGCACATGAACTAACATATTCTGAACTCTTATACTGTACTAATATCCTCTACTGAGCTAGTCCGGGCGTATTCACCTGTGTGGCGGGTGTGGCGGGTGTAGCAGGGGGTGCGGGAGGCGCGGGGCAAGGCTCGCAGGGCGGCAGTGGCAATGTCGCCTCGGCCTCGTCCCCTTGCGAGTCCAGCGCGGGCGGAGGCGGGGGCGGCATCGAGTCCTCTTGCGCCGTCGCCTCGCCCGCGCTTTCCGCAACTATTTTATCAGCTGGAGTTATTTCTGCCTCGTTCTTCTCCTCTTCAATCGTCCCGTTGCATTTCTTCTCCGTGACGTCTTCTTCGACGACCTTGGCGGAATTTTTCAAGTTCTCAATCTCCGTGTTGGTCGCGCTGCTAAGTTCGGTGGTCATAACTTCTTCGATCTTTTTGTCTTCAACAATTTTCTTATCGCTTATAATTTCTTTGTCGCCCGCTGCGTAAGTATCGTCATCCTGTTGAGTTTGATCGTCAGTTTCGTCAGGGTGCGTCAAGTCTTGGGTCGGTTGTGACTCGTTTATTACTATTTCAGGAATTCCAACATGGTCAGGTACAACTGTTAATACCGGAGTAGTACCTTCGGCGACATTTTCAATTTTGGTCTCATCGGAAGTAGCGTCAACGTTACTGTCATTGACTCCATTTTCCAAGTTAGCAGGAATGTTTACTTGTTCAGGTTTAACGTCATCGACTTCGATCGAAGCTTTGATTTCTTCTACAGTTTCAGTAACAGCAGAAGGAATCTCGGCGACGGCTTTCTCAGCGTCGAGTTGAGCAGTATTTGATTCTAAAGCAGCCCTGTCAACAATGTCAGTGTCGGGGTCTGTGGTAGCGATCGGTGCTGCGGTGGTGGTGACATCGGTGGCAGTGGCGAGTGAAGAGTCTGTCAGTTCGGGTGCCATGGTGGTCGCAGCAAAGGAAGCCACCGACGAGGGAGGAGGATTTGCGGGGAGTGGGGGAGGCGAGGGCTCTATCAAAGGCATTTGTTCAACACAAACCTCTTTTGTAACAGGAATTTCTGGGACCGGAACCGATTCCGATGTCTCTGACGTAGCTTTCTCAACGCTACTTTCCTCACATTTCGGTACCTCGGGAGCCTCAACTTTAGGTTCTTCTAGGGAGAGCCCGTTCACAGGCAGTTTCTCTGGCTCGGGCGTGGCAGCTTTCGGTTCGGGCGTGGCGGCTTTGGGTTCAGGCGAGGCGGCTTTCGGTTCAGGCCTGTCGTTCTCCTCTGGAGTTTCGGGGATGGGTTCGTCGGTAGGGGAGGATTCTGTTTTAGGGGATTCGGGTGTATTGCTTCCGTTTGTGATGGGTTCGGTAACCGGAGTTTCTGGAGTTTTTTCATCCTTAGTTTCAGAATCTGATTTGGCCTCCTCTGCTACTTCGTTAACCGCATTCTCAGGAACTGATTCTGCCGCCTGTAAAAAAGCATCGCCATTTTAAAACGTTTCATTTAGGGCATTTATATCGATGGGTAAAAGGAAAACATGTATAGCTTTAAAGTATATCTAACAAGGAAATATGGATACACTCAGAATACCTGTAAGTGGGCCATTACAAAATCTGAATTTTTACAGATGATGTTTACAATATTTGTTACGACAGACTGAACGGATGCATATGGATGCAAGAGGATTTATAGAGCTTTCGTAACGGATGACTGATGGACATTTCGTTGATATTCATCCTTCAGCGCCCATGAACGACAAAGTATTAAGTTTCTACTGCTAGGGCTGTGACTTCACATTTGATGAATCAATGAAAAAAAAATTAGTTCCCAGCAATTATTCGAATTTTTCTCGGAACCATCTTTGAACTTCAACGAACATTTAAAAAAAAGAATTGACCAAATTGGTTCAGGCGGTGTTGAATTATGCGCTTACCAACACATTTTGCGATTCATTTTTATATTATAGATATTGGAGTAAAAATAATTTATAATTGAAAAAATCTTAAAAGCTATATTACTTTTATAGGTAGATTTTACAAATACTTTTCACTTTACTTGTTCATACTTTTAATGATTGTATTATAAATTAATTACAAATTCAGCCAGGTGCCTGTTTGCAAGGCAGGAGACGACGTCAAAGTGTGTCATCTTAATTATTTTTGTATATGTAAATTGTCGATGGTTCAAAATAAATTTAAAAGCAGGTGCGAGCCCGCGGCATCGATAACAATAAAACGATACTCGTATACAAGGCCGCCTTTGTTTACCGATGTAAGCAGATACATCGACAAAACATATGTATGTAACATATAATCGATTATTATTGAAATAATCATGTCAATAAAGCATTCGATTAATGTCATGTCACAAAGTCTTTTGTCTCCGCGTCTTAATATGTTTAATATTTCTTTGTGTAGTGGCACATGTTGTGCACATAAAAGCGTTTACAGTAAACAAGTGACAAAGATAAATATTAATTGTCCTTAACAGTGGCTACTAAGAATAGTATTAAAATTATTTTTAGTCTGTATTTGTTAAGCACATTTGTTTACTTATATGACAGGATGTTATTAAATCAGGTAAATTTATTATTATATTGAACATAAACAAGAGATTACATTTTGTTTATTCAGTGTCAGAATACCAGAGCTATTTTAAGGGAATTTATCTGAAGATAAAGAGAGACAAGCTCTCAGAGTTAACTAAAGAGTAGATTAGAGTAATATATATTTTTTTATATACGTAGGTTTTATTTTGTATTTTTTTCTGGGATACCGATTTTAATGATGGATCTATGAAATCACATCTAAATCTTAAATGCAATTAAATACTAAAAGGTAGATAAGAGTTTATCGTAAATAAGATAAACTTTGCTATTAAACTGATAACAGGAAATCAAAGGTTGTTTTAATAATTTTGAGAGGCAAACGGAAACGCTCAAACAGTAATAATAAAAACTGTGTAAATTAATCCAATGTCTTTCAAGCCTATATCTCTGTTTACAGTCGGCGTTGTTTATGCGGCGTGGAGCGATAAATTAGCGATTAAAAACGAGCAACCATTGGCGTCATGTGCTTTGGTATGGGGGCTTCAGAAACCCGGCTTACAAACGAACGTTAATTGCAAGTGTTAATTGATACTGAAAGAACATGTCTCTCAAACCTATCAACAATTCAATTACTGTATGTATACGTTGATTCACGTTACTGTTACGTTTATTGTTTACGTTTTCGACACCAAAGATACTATTGCAAACCAATCAATCCACAGTTTCGGTGTTATGAATAAGAAATCGGTAATATTTTTAAGATTTTTTTTAAACTATGTGGTCGTGAAGACGTGCAATATTTTGTATTATTTCTATAATTTTTTTAAATATTGATTATTTTGATATGAGCTACTACAACTAAAACGTCTCGATTGTATAGGATCTGAAGAACAATGGATTGAAGAGACATAATATAATTTTCTTTACAAACTACAGCAATGTTACGTAGAGTGGTGTCGCCAGCGTCACCAAATCGGCCTTCGATTAGCCGGTGCAACGGTAAACGCGCGCCGCTGACTCACAATGCCAGTTAAACTATGGAAACGATTTTCCGCTCCGCAATGCCGCACTCTCGATGTTTCACTCTACAATTATGTCCAGCGGAAATTGTCAAAGAACAATAAGTGGTCGTCGGTTTTGTGGCCGTCACCCGTGAGCACGTACGCGATAAGCTCGCCGTATTGATGCATCGGGGACACAACTAAACGAGAAACAATGCAAGTGATTGTTACGCACGCGCAATTAACTACGTTATTTGAAAATACGACATAATTTCGAATTTGTTATAATAAAGATAAATGTATTTCCAGTACCCAAGGTAAAATCAATTTTGTATTTCTAAATTGATGCTATGTTTCTCAATAGAAGTAACAGTGACATCAGCAGTTTGGTTCTCTGTCACGAACTGATATGATTTTGTTGCGTATGAGATGCCGGTCCGTTGAGATCTAAGATGGTTTGGCCATTTGACTATCTTTTATAGGCAGATTAACGATATACTAAAGAAAATTTGATCGAAGAAAATGCGAAATGGTTGTCAGGATCAGGAAGAAAATTGTAGTCCTGTGTCACTAAACAATAAGTAATGTTTACATTTTTAACACAGAAATTTACGCAACAAAATGTGATACTATAGTGTGTAACATATACTGATCGAAGTTTACAAACATCGTGTTGTTTATTTTGAATATTAACAAATAATACATGAGGAGGCACCATTCATATGTTGAGTCAGTGTGAGTTCGGCGCTACTCCTCGTGAATCACACTTCCTGAATTTCGTATTCACATCGTGTGACGCATCGATAACGTTAATTAACTCGTTTGGCTTACAAGTGCGTTGTTAAATATTCGTCACTAGTAAGCACCGAATTTGTACCTTTCAATCACACTTTATTCATTGTTTACTATATACATACACACACGTGGCGATTGCCTGAATTTACTGCACAAGTGATTTTAAAATTATTTAATTTGCTTGCCCTGTTATCTTTAGTTTTATTGCTTTATATTTATACTGGAAAACCTCACATACTTACATAATTACATGCATAAATCCTTCCGGCTGTATAAATGCACTGACAGGATAGCATTGGTCAGTTCAGTCACTAGAGTCTTGTAATACATGGTAAAATTAGGATGTTAGCGAATCATGGGCACTACTTGTATCTACCTACGCCCAACATTCTTTAATATATAATGCAATGCAAAAGAGCAGCGCAATAAGATAAACTCCAGTATCTTTAGCGGTCCCAGCTCGGCAGTCTCCACTACATACTCATACATAACCCGTTATCAATTTTATGCTGAACTCCGTGCGCTAGAGTTCATAGTGTGATCATTCAATTGCTATTATTATTACTCAACAAAGCAGCAAAAGCTATTTCCAACACAGGCTTCGTATAGTTGCAAATTACGTTCACTTAATCACGCCAAACTTGCGAAAAGCCAGAGATTAGCAACCAAATAAATTGCTGTGCAATAAGTCAATGGAAAATTATAGAATGTCAAACGGCATAATGTTTACAGACTGAAGTGTCATGTTTAAATAATAAAAAACGTCGATTGTAGTCAAATGTTATCATTATACCGAACGTCGTTTCATAGTTTATGTCATTTAGATTTTTTTAACTATAGGTAAAGATCAAATGCAGTACAGAGAATTCAAGGGTAATACTGTTTTAAGGAACATCCTAAGACCATTGCACACGAGTATTCATGTTTAGTGTCACATTTATAAGCATCAATCTGCCTTAACTTCGTAATATAAAATAAGATAGAATAGATATCCAGGGCTCTACTTGTGTAATTCATTAATGTATGAAATGATTGTGGTTACCGTGTACAGTATCAAGATACACGACTATGCAAGTTAGTCGCCAAGTTTGCAAGCGTAATGATGTAATACGAGTATCGTCGCCGTCGCATGCGTAATTTGCATAGATAATGGGGCGGCTAGAGGCGTGCGTCCGCGGCGCGTCGTCGTCGCCGACTGCGTCTACTCTATCGCCGGTTGAACGCCCTTTCTTGGCACCAATTGCTTCGTATAGTTATGATAGATATAGAATTACCTTCACTCGACGAGAGCCGCTTCAATAACAAGCCTATAAAACGCATAAATATTTTCACGTCTATGATACCGAAGGAGCGGGCGCTACCACTCCGGATGTTGACTGTTTCCGGCCGACCATAACGCACTATTAATACGTTGGACAACTTAACAACGATTGTTACACCGGTTTTCACGTTAAACATTAATGAAATTAAACGAAATTTTATAGAACGGAAAAATATATTAAATATTTATATTGACTTCGGATGTTGCTATTGTTCGTTACACGAATTGCGATAAAAAGGATGTTATTCTATAAGCTAACAAACTTTCAACAAACAAACATGGATCGTCAGATAGGAGATTTTTTTTACGCGATTTATACTGGTCTCTTTTGCGTATATCAAAGTACAATGACATCTGTGTTGCATGGTGCGGACAATATCAGCTGCCAACAGAATTAACGAGCAGTCCTAGTGCAATGCAATCGTTTAAGCTTATCTAGAACATAAAGGCAGCAAACAAGGCATTGCCGCGCGCGGGCATATCACGTACCTATACCTGCAACTTTTCCATCGACTCATCGATTACAGTTAGCGCATAGGAAACAGAATCCTTCCTTGTTGCAACGCATCAGCCGCGTAAGTATTATGGAAATATGACAGCGTTCGTTCGTAACGGCGCCGGGCTGCTGATAAACATGTAAGACGAAACGTAACACCAACCGTCACATAGTGGCATAACGCGCGGACAAACGGACAATGGCCGCCATTGTTCACCTGACGCCGCGTGACAGACGAGATGGATCCCGTGGTAATGCCGCGGCATTACCACGGCGATATCAACAACACAAAACCATAACACTACCCGATAGTAACGGTCTTGGGAAATTTTATCATAATACGTATATCAAAAGTATATACAAATGATCTTATGATCATAGCACATTTCTTTGAGTTAAATCATCGCAGGTCAAGTTCATCTTAACATCTCTTGAACTGTACAATTAATCAAATTGTTTAAATCTATTCAATTTATAAAATTAGTGTACTGTTTGATATATCGACAAAAATATCATATTTCGTGAACAAGATGTATTTCCATGCAGTTGGTTTTTGCAAAGATTAAAATAATTTTACTTTAAGCGGTAGACATATTCAATTTAAACGATTTCAAAAATTTTGCAGATGACGATTTGCAATTATAATTTAGCATGGCGAAAATTGTTTGCGAATTACGAGGATCGAGCGTTGGGCTCGTATGGATGAAACGGCAATATACACTTTGATGGAATAATTCTGCATATCAAAAGATCATGTTGAGGCACGGATATGATAAATTCGGATAATTTACGAAGGTGTAGTCGGCAGGTAGAGGGTATCACTGCCTTCCTACGCATCTGTAGCGAACGGGGACCAGTCTGGTCGCGGCCGTGCCAGCTAGCCTTGGAAACCTGCCCCGCAGCGCTAATTTTATTTTGCGCATAAACATGCCTCGCGAATCGTTCGCTTACGCCCCGGCCACTTCTAACTCCTTTTGAATTCATTACTGACAAAACCTACCCAGTTTTATACGTTATTATAAATTATGTTTATAACAATAGGTATTTATATATCTAAATGTAATGTAATAATAATTTTGTTATAACTTGATGAGTATTATAAAACCTTCATATATAGATTCATGTTATTTTGAGCAGGATAATTGATTAGTTTTAAATGATTTCATACACGTTTGAATTATGTCGGTATCACAAAGTCAATAAACGAGGAAAGACATAATTAATTATTGCAATTAGTTAATTTAAAATAATCATATTAATAATAGTTTGCCCGTAGAAGTACAAAAAGTCTATTTACACAAATTTAATTTGGTTCTTGCAAATACCAAAGCAGACTCTAGCTTGTTCTTTATGTTGTATTTGGGAACAATACACAAATTACAACATGATACGCGTGCGTGTATGCGTATTTTATAAAAAAAAAGTAATTATTACAACATATAATTTTTAAACGTTTAAATTACAAAATCAAACAAAGGCTTCAACTTGTAACACATTGTGTAAACATTTCATTGATGTGTCACAAGCAAATACTGTTAACAAATAAACATCTATTTGTTGGACGCAAGAATGTCATGATTAAGGAGAACTGACATGACCTAGTTTAGTCCTTCGGTCAGTCACAAGGAATAGCAATCATACAACTTGAATGACTTTTTAAAATTCTTGCATTCACGAAGCGCACACTTGTGGCAGGTGCACTGCATACTACTTCCTATCATATTTTTGCCCTTATAGATGTCAAATGGATGACTAGATTAATTTAGTTATTGTTATATGCAGCATTTTACATCTACTTTTAAATCTTTACATCCTTTAGAAACTATATTTCTACCATTATCGTGATTTTTTAATACCTACAACCATTACCAATTACCAAAAGAATATTTTAATGTGTGTAAGTACTTCATACGAACTAAAAAAGCTGATCCGTCTTTGATCAATATCACATATCTAGAAAATGATATATGCAGCGGACACAAAGGAGGGGATAACAATGATGCCAACATAAAGTTTCCAGAGTACACACATTGGTGTCTGCTGCGCTGTATGTGTGTCAGAATCATCTCGTTGTGGGAGGCTGAGTGCTAACGACCGCACGCCGGCGCCGCGCCGAGCTCCGCAGCACATGTGCCCAGACGTAAACATTCGCCGGACAAACTGCGCGCTCCACCAAAAGTACGCGTACCCCAAAATGAAGCGCACAATGAATGACGTAGCTAACTTTGCTCCTATTGTATGTAAAACAATGTTTTGTGTTGGCATAACATTCGATTAGATGTAATTATATTTCGATTTTAATAAACGCGATGTACATCCAATAATAATTAGTTGTAAGAGCGAGTACGTTGTATAAAAAAGATTCGATATCACGGCGAGACCAACACAATGTGTGATTATAATAACATTATCGTATTTTGTATACACGTCGCTTCAAAGCTATCCATATAACAGTAAAAGTGTATACACATTTACGCAGAACGGACAATGAAAGTATAGTTAAAAAGTCAAACAGGAAGTATAACGGATAACAAAGAGCGTACCGATGCATAGCCGGCGAAGGTCCGAGCGGCGCGGGTTGACATGAGCTCTTTGTTCGTGAACGGTGATCGCGGGGTGTTGAATGGTGGTCATCACGCGCCCTCAATGAGTTAGTGACGGAGGGCTCTGTCTCGTAGTGTCTACAATTGTCGCTCACGTTCGTCCAGCGCGGATATAGCACCATTTTGAATTATAATGCGTATTGTTCCCCGATAGGCGGGTGCAATGCACTGAGACGAGGCGAGATTCTCGTCGTAGAAATCGTTAGAAGCACAAGGTTGCGCCGAAACATTATGAAACAAGGCAAATGGTCATTAATGTTTTTCTTCAATAAACCGGATCAAGCGCTATTTGTGTAGATAAAACGATACATCGGGCGCAACATGAAACACTCGGTCGGCTATTTTATTAGAGAACATGGTCGCGGCCGCCCTCGTACCAGTTCTGGGCCGTGCGATTTCACATCAGCCAGTATTCGCATGGCGAGGTCATTGACTCGCAATTGTAAGCCTAAAATAGTTGTAGACATCGTAACGATTATAATTCGGCTCCCCTGTGCACACATGGCGGACAATGCCGAGTGGAAAGTGGGCTGAGCTGGTGGCATGATGGATAAGTGCGCGCGGACAATCGGAGCGGGCGCGCCGGGTCGCCGCTGCATTGACGCGACGAACGCTAACAGAATACGAATAAGTTAATGTCGGCATAGAAAACTAGAAAGTTATCGCTTTAGAGATCGAAGGCGGCGGGTTTGTTCAACATGAAAATGACGAAAAATAACGGCTTATAAATTTCAATATCTACTTAAAGCGCAAATATATATGTGTTATACGACGTTAATTTAATTTGAATGCGCTCACCTCTTCGGGCAGTTTCTCTGTCTCGCCGTTCGGTGTTTTGGCCTCGTCCTCCTTAGCTTTCTTTTCTTGCTTAGGTTTATCTTTTCTGCTGAAACTGATCGACCTGAGCGACCATTTCTTCTTAACCTGCCCGCGACATGCTATAGTTAGAACACTTAATGGCAAACGATCATGCAACTAGTCGGCGTTTTTGTGTATATAATGACTTCGAATTTAGCTTTAAAACGAAAAATGCGCAAAATAGCAAATAAAAATGAGCATTGATTATAATATAATTAGCGCTTAAATAAAAGGAATGCATTTAATTATTGCTTGTGCTTATACAAGTTACAATATACCTTTTCCTTCTTAGGTTTCTTTGCTTCTTCAGGGGTAGCTGCTGCATCTCCATTTTCTTCCTTCTGCTCACTGTCCCCGTTGGTGACTGCCGGAGTGTCCTTTTCTTTTGCCTCCTCTACCTCTTTGTTCTCCTTCTCTGTCGTGGCATCCTTTTCATTTTCAGGTGTGCCGCTATCTAACTGTTTCTCTTTGTCCTTGAAGAAGAAATTTGACATTATAGCTAATAATACGATGTATTTCGTACAAACCGTAGAGAAATCAAAACAAAGTGGTAGCATATGTCACCTATTGTCTCTCGCCATTTCGAGAACAAAGACTTTTGCTTCGGACTTAAAGTTATATGTCATGTCGTTTGTACAATAAAACTAGTTTAGAGCAAATATAATGAAAAATATGAGAAGTCAATTAGCAATATTTTTTAATAATTAGTTTTCTTCTCAAAACGAAAGGCTAAAACTGGTAATGCCAAACAAAATTTAACCTTCCCTAAAATTTACTTTTTGGGTCACAAATAACATATAAAAACTATCTTACGTAAAATAACTACAAGTTCTATGTAACCTATTAAAACGCTCAATATGACTCCCAACAAGACGGCTACATTAAAATTAAATGATACTTTAGCTGTTTTTTCAATTAACTACTTTACCATACAGCGAGATCATTGCCATTTCGATCTATAAATATACATAGTGTCCCCCGAAACCCTACGTCTTGTACATGCGCAAAAAATTTAAAGCCACACGCGGCGGGACGGAAGTCACGAAACTGTACGGTTTCTTAATGGCCGCTACTCGGTGAATAATACCAAACTCTTACAAATAAAAATAGGAATTAGTTTTGTTTACACACACATGTACGAAGGGGCTCAGGAAGAAGTGTTAGTTTAGGATAGTTATGTATTAAATTAAAATTCATTATACGTACGTAAAATACAATAGCTACGTTTCCTTGACTCGTATCCGAATTTGAAACCAAAAGTTAATTGTAATTTCGTCTCCAATATAGTTTCACACGGTTGGAAAACGAAGAACATATTTTATTAAATTATTTAAGAAATAGCGATAAGCATAAACATTATTAGAAAATTCTAGTTTATGTGATAGCAAAGCCTATATCTCTAATAGACCATCACAATATATGCAAATGTAGTCGATAGTGTTTAGATAAAAACGTTGGTATTAATTAAACGGCATGATATTGGTCGCCAGTCATTCATTAAACGCGTTTTATAAGTTCATATCGACCACTTCATTCCGCTATCAAAAAACTGTTTATGACCCACACCAACCAATAAATTTATAGTTCAGCATTTAACGCCGCAATTAATTGGAAGACATCAATCGTCAACTTCTAAAAATATATTTGGTGAAGTATAAAACTTTTTATTTGACTCGAAAGCAGGTAATAAACTAGTGGTTTATTAATACAAAACATCAATACATAGCTAAATTTAAAGGGCCTGTAGCAAATCAGTTTTTTCAGAATTTTAATACAACGACCACGTGCAGAAAAACAAAAAATATTGATCGAAAACCAATCAGTACTTTTTGCGTGATACGCAAACAATGAGACCTTAGCCGTATGGTTACAAAAACTGCTACTTGCCTATAAATCGAAAAAAGATCTGAGATTTGGTGAAATAACAAGCACAGTCAAAACAAATACGACTAGTCCCTTACAATGATAAGTAATTCTGGTCGAAGTTAACACATATATAAAGCCATAACGTCGCCGCATGCTAATCTACCTCCAGAACTTCGAGCTATTAGGTGAATGTTATAAAGCTTTTACACTTGGGAGAGAAATAAAAAATGACACCGAACACTTCGTCACGAATGTTTGTGTTTGCGTTCGTTGGCTGTCAGATTGGCAGTTGCAATATTACATAGGGGTGTTTCTTATTAAGAGGATAGTCTTCGAGTGGTGAGCACTCAGACACACACACAGAACTCTACTCACCGATGGTTCGTGTATGTGCGCGTCCCCGTTGAGCTGTGGCTTAAGGGGGGCGCCGGCGTCTGCGTCGGCAAGCTGCTCGAGACGACCCTCGCCTCCCGCGCCCGCCGCCGCCACCTCGGCTGCGCCAGCCCCCGCACCCTCCGCCTCCTTGCCGCTGATGTCCACCGAGCGCTTGCTCTGCTTAGCACCCATAGCTGACCTGGACAAAAAAGCAACTTGCTATACAACTTCTTTTGTGTTGGCTTACAACGGTTCTATAGTTTTTGTGTAACTTTCTAATTTAAGTTTAGGGCTAAGCACAATAGCGACATGAAATAACTCGGTTTGAACAAACAAATCGGCTATATTACAAAGATTTTTACCAACTTTAGTGTTATCTGTTATTAATGGCGATTTCTTGTGATGATTTTGTCACACGTTTTCAGGACATAATGATTCAGACCTAGACAGTTTCTTTTACAAAGTACATTACAAATTCTACCATCTTTTCTTATAGTTGTAGAGCCGCAGTGAAGCAACAGAGCGTAACATTACTCGTTGCAATTGAATACGACAAATGATTACACGCTAGATGTACGCCGATCGGAGCAATTAGCGGGTCGTTGTTACAGCCACCCTTTTAATTGACACGGCCCGCTTAAACGTTTCAATTAAACAACCGCGACAATAACACAATCCCACCCGTATTATCGCTTCAAGTGTTTACAGTCTAAATTGTTCACGGAATTAAAGATAGATTCCGCTTAGCGACAGTATAAAACAATTTGTTACATATTCATCATAGAAAGAACACATTATAATCAAAGGCAACATTAATTTCATAAAAAAATGTGTGGCTTTTTAGGTTATAGCTGTTGTCCGTGACTTCGTCCGCGTGAAATTTTTCTTTTTTTCTAGATCAAGACTATGGTCTACATCAGTGCCAAATTTCATCGAGATCCCTTAAGCCGCTTTGGAGAATCGTAGTTACCAACATCCAATTATGATTTGTGATAAAGCATATACAGCATAAATAATAAGTTACATGAAAGTTGCTGCACGACGCCTGGGTCCGTAACCAGTATCAAATGGGAATGCCTGATATTAGCTTCCAGAAATAACATTAAGATATATTTCCTTTAGAAACTTGCCATTGCAATTGTTTTTTATAAAATATAATCTTTAAGAAGAGCGTCAGACCGTTACAAAATATGTGCATAGATAAACAAAAATTAAGTACAACATGATTCAAAACGTTGGCCGCTAGCGAGGCCGACTAAGTAAAATTCAAGTTAACAAATTGAACAATAAATCGAAGAAAGTTATAAATATACGTACTCAATATCACAGTCATCTTGCAAAGCAACAATGGATAAAGAGTAACGGTTCAACCGACTGGCACATTTTTATCACTCCGGTACAAATTGCGCGCACATGTACCAAACTTCGTCTAACATTTAATAAGGATGATGAGGATGACGAATCAAGTAAGTCTAGTAAAGACGCTTTCTATATAAGTGTATCTAAAATTAACCAACACTACAGCTTATATCAAATACTCGTTTGTGAATAAGTACTTTCTCTCCAGTATCAACTGTGTCGAAAGGTTAAATAAGTGAGGAAAATGAGAAAAGTCTCCGTAACTGTACAAGTTCGAACAAAATTCCGTTTTTATACATTTAGTAAACACACACTAATGATTTTTGTTAATTGTAATATTTTAAGGAACATTTACTATCCTGATTGACTCTGGAATAAAATAGAAAAACAAAAAATTCTTAGGTTCTTTGATGACAAATAGCATTAAGCGTGAACCTATAATTTCCAGACAAGCGTCGATGTTAATTCGTTCGTAATAATTCCCACGTCTCGCATTAATGGGAATAAAAAAGCTTATCAAAGGTCAAGGTAAAATTCCTATTAACGCTATAACCGGACGAAAATAGGTGAGTCGAGTTTATAAGTGGGGCGTAGCAACGGCAGTGGGTCACGGTACCGGGTACAACCCGAAATAATCGTTAACACGCCAAAAATAGCTTCAGCGATGCATCGCGATGCGTGCGCTTTCACTGCGCATACGTAAATGACTAATACCGTATTCATTGTTTGTACATATTCATTATTCCAAAAAATAATATAACTGAGTCATACCTCAAACTATTATAGTAAGAGATCAACAAAGTACTATAAAAGAACGCGTTTAATTATTTCACACACTTCATTTAGTTGCGTTAATTAATATCACTTGTAATAAACAACTTTATACAACTTCATGCAAGAAATAATGTTATACGTTAACTTCTTACAAATACGAAATGGTCACCAACCTTTAGAACAATAGCCAGATAATAACACTATAAAAACACGCTGTTTTCACGTATAATAAGTACTTTAGAGGTAACAAAAACGTGCTACCGCAACGCACTGCTGTAACGAAATTGAGAGTGATAAGATGCGTGAGCTCTAGCAGAGAGACGGCGAACCAATTCCTTGTACATCACAACGTTTATCGTTCATTATCCGAATGCATGCTGTACAAATATAAATAGCGGGGACATTAGTCACGCCTAGTGCCGCCACCCCACGCCGAATGTGCCGGATATCACTCCATTGTCTCTCTCAGAGAGCATTTGACAACCTGTTTTTTTCACATTCAAATATTGGGCACTGCATCGATATTTTTACCATAAAAACAACTTATTCTACGACAAGCCAACTCAAAAACACACTAACTAAAAATACAAAATAGGCAGTCAGAATATCAGGCATAAGTAATCCGGTCCGCGTTTTTTTTTACATAACCAGCTTATGCAGACTCTGTATTGAATTTCGTAAAGTTAATTTACTTGTTTATAACGAAACATAAGATTGTCTCAAGTGAGGTATAATTTTTGGTTAAGTTGACCAATTTAAGTGGCTCGTAAAAATAATTATTTCGAAACCAGTCATCCAGAGATAGTCTCTCTTCTTCTCGCCTTGGACTATGTCCCGATTTAAATACAATTAAGATAGTTAACGTAGTTGTGCAGGACTCGAAGCTTTATCAGCGGCAAACAATTGTACATAAACATAATATTCTTCGACGAAGGCGTAACACAGTTATAAACACAATACTTCAAATGTTTACACTTAATTAACTAAATGTTAATACTCTTACAATAAAAGGCGTTTCAAAACGATTAACAAGAAATATAATAGTTATATATTTGGTTCAAACGACCAATTAAGCAATCGTACATGTTTAGGGCTGGAAATAAATAAGCCATCGGTGATTAGACTAGTATTTGAGAATAATTACACTTTATTATTCTGCCAAATACACAAAGGTTACAAGAAAAACCAGAAAAACATGTCAATTTCTTATAATAGCCGATTAATACAGACATATTAATTTTCTCGATTAATACACGAATGCCTCTTTATCCTATAAATCGCTACCTGATCTCATTTAAATGTAGTAGTTCATATTATAGCCCAAACATATTCATATTTCATCATTATTCTTGTGAAACCTCTACCGAAAATTTTAAAAATAAACGTGCAGTTTTACTTTTACATTTCCAAATATTCAAGCTTTCGAGGGTCAAAAATCGACATAAATTTCTACTTTTACAAATAGCCAATATATCACGGTATCTACTCACCACGCACAAGGCGACAAAATAACAATCAATATTATATCCGGTCAATTAATCGATCTTTTTAAACGTTACCAGTGACTATCCATCATAGTTATTTAAAGTTGATACACGCTACGAGGTGAACGACCTTTTTCGTTCCCCCACCACATGATGGTTTTAGAGTGGAGCCAGTCAACCCGATCTCATTGTCATTGGGGTTTACAATAGGAGGCACTATAAGCAAGTTAAGTGCTGTATCGGTAACCTTGACTGGACCGTTCAAGGTCAGGCGGGTAGATAATTCGTCGAACGAAATGGGCGCTCCCCCCAGGCCTGGCCATCTCGATACGCAATTACTGACAATGTTTGAACAGAATAAATTAGCCTTGGAATGAGTCGTAAATAGTTCATTGCGTGTAAGATAAAAAAAAATACAATTCATAACAAGTTTAACAAAAAATACAGTATAAATTATAAAAAGTAGTGCGCATTATTTTTTTCCCAATTATTGGAATCATTATATGTTTCGATTAAGAATATTACTTTTAATATTGTGTGGAAATCATGCATTTTCTTTTATATGACATATCATTCAAAGGCTTTAATACTGGTTATTACGAAATGCGGTTAACCTTTTGATTTAAAAGTAACTGATACTTTTAAATATTGTAATGCAATGAAGTAGGTACATTCAGCTCGAGTGAGACATAATTCTACTGCGAACTGCAAAGATCGATAAATACGTCGCAGCAAGCTAACAAAGCCAAGCCCCGCTCTGAAAGCTGTATGTATCGTGAGTACGTATAGAAAGTACACATTGGCGAAGCTTTTTAATACTTTAGCTCGTACAACCCGCACGCTGTCTACTACTGCGTAGTACGTAACGGGAACCGCATTACACCACTTTTTACTTTGCTCTCGACACCGAATAGAGTTCAGCTCTGCGTGAAATTAAACGAATGTTGTATATTTAATAAATTGATATAGATATACGGGTACGGAGCGAATCGACGCGTGTCTACTCAATAGGTGGAAAATCGATATCCAGTTGCGGACACAGACCGCAGTAACTTAGCACCAGACATATGAGCCGGCAGCACAATTTTACATCTCTATGTATAAGTACGTGACTCTGTTCTCGAAAATACCAAAAATAAGTAACACATTTAGTAACAGTTTCGAAAGTAAGTTATTTTTTACACGAACCGAAAGAAAACCTCCATTTTGCAAAATTACATAATATTAAGTTTTTCGGAGTTTTGAAAGCTGCACGTAGATTTTAGGGCAGTTCTAAGTAAAAAGAAAAAAGCTACGAGTAAATAAACGAATCAATTTTGCTCGCTAAATTCGGGAACCAAATTGTTTACTTAGTAGTAGCACCAAAATTGCTTTCTAAATTAAGATAAGGGCTATTTTTTCTTTTAAGGTAAAACATAAGACATTACACAACTAGGGGAAGATCATCTTGTTCTCTCTATAATGTTTTAATGTATTAAAAAAAGTTACGCGACTTTTCGCTACATAAATGAAATATGTGATGTTATTTTGGAATCATTGTTATAAAAAGTTAAAAATGGTAACACAATGTTACAAATATAAAATGAACTGCTACAAAATGTATTCTGTATTTTACATTAGGCAACAAAAGGGACCCCTATGATTTTATTAGTTCATATTTGGTAGGAAGCCATATTTAAATCATTTATAACTTGGTAGGGGAAGTCCTCAATTAAGTCATTGTAATGTAATTTAATCATACAATATGGTAATTAATGGACACAATCAGTTCTTAATTTCTTTGTATACCTATTTTGTTTAAATTGTGTTTGGATAATACATGTAGTAATAGTCATATACTTGTGTACATTTCTTTTTTAACTTAAAAGTACTTTTCACAAGTAAAAATAAAAATTTAAAACAATTTGTTAAAAATATAAAACTGCAGTGAAAGTCATGTAGTCAATAAATCTCAGATATTTGCAATTAAGTTGATAAATTCATTTAAATAATAATCAGTTTTTGCTCTCCTGCGCAATACTTGTTAGAAATATGTACATATAAAGTTCTAAGGATACCAGACAGTTTTGCCTAAAATAATAATGTTTAGTTAAAGTTTTTACACATACTTTAAAATTAGACTTGACTATTACTAATTGCTTAGACTTTTTACATAACTACTTAGACTTGGGCATTGCAGTTTGATATTAAAGTTAACACAGAAAACTTTATGAAATAATCATATTCAATTTGAATATCTTCATATATCAGCTGCATTGCTCACCCAATCAATATGGTAATCACGATGACAGGATTTTTTCCTTTCATGACCTGCTTTTGAAGTCATTTGAACATTGCTAATATATTTGTTAAAGTGATTGTTAAAAATATTGCAAATTTTTAACCAAACACACATCCTATGACAACTGTTAAACAAGATATATCTAGTACCAATATGAAAGTCTAGAGATTTTGCCACTGTACACAATTTGCTTAAATCATATATAGAAAAACTAATTACCAAAAAGAGAAATCTATAGATTGTAGGATCTAATTATACATTGATTATCCTACTTTATTCTTATTGTTTCTGTCGAACATGTGTTAACTTTTTTCAAATCGAAATACAACCCTATATATATTTTAAATCTAAAAACGTGGGTTGAACATAAAGGCTTCATTAAGTGCACAAAATATACGTTCCAACGGAAATACAACGTGCTTATGGATTACGGACGTAAGAAGTTTAAGTTAATCCACAAAATATACACTTAGTCACAGTCAATTATTTGGTAAGCAAGAGTTAAGTAAAAAAACCATTTAGAGTTTATTTAGTGTGTACTTAACGACCTTTGTTTAGCAGCTCTCACCGGGTAAGTTGCAGCGATGATTCATCGGCCGATGGGTACTAATGCACCGAGACTGGATTTCCCAGAATACGTTTAATGGTTATGCAAAACTAAAAGTTATACGTAAAAGAACCCGAATAAAGAAAAATGCAAAGCTTTGTGAAGTCAAAAATTTACAATTTTAAATTTTGCCATTATACCGATCTACCTACAATACAAAACGGACTATAGCATTCTCAGTTAATTTCAACTCGTGCTGATATTACTGAAATTTATATATCTAAAATAAAAAATTATTCCACCCCAAAATTTTAAATGTGTCGGACATTCGGTGGTAACATTTTGTATCAACGACTTTAGATCGATTTAACGACCCGGCGTATGTTCCCTAGAAGTAACAATGTGTCTTACAGAATATATTTATGACAAAAACTTATATTAATTAAGTCTTACCTTTTCAATATTCAATCCGTACAACGAAGACAAAGAATTTACACTACAAATAAAATATTTTTTCACTCCCAGCACTCACAGCCGAACACAATATGGCGGGCAGCAGAACAGAATCCCCACCCACCTCGAACAAATTCAAAATTGAATCTTTTCGTGATTGGTCCTTGGAATCGAGACGCTTCAATTTAGCCAACATAACAAATTTTTGCTCCGACTCCCGATTGTAAAAAATGCGTTCAAGAAACTAAAAGAGAGCCTTGAAATGTTTCCGGATTTTAAAGAAAAATATATTGTTCAAAAGTTCAAAACGTATTCAAATTCAAAAATGATTGCATTGAACATCAATATCAAATTTTGTAGTACAATTTAAGGATATAAAAGTTTTATTAACATCTAAGAGAATTTTCCTATTCGTTTGAAACAATTATTTGGAAACTTCAATAGTTTTTAACTGCAGGGGTTTTTAATTCGCCTGCCATTTCTTTTACTTATTAAAAATAAATATCTGAAGTTTAAATAAGTTTTAAGCCGTTTATGAATTAAACATAAAACAAGGTTTTTTAAAAAAACCACGCTCGTACTCTATACCATAAACTTAAGAATTTCATAAAAAAATGTTAATTGTCTATGATCGCATCGATATGTCGCGGTACTCGTGTTGCCCTTGACTTCGTCCAATTTAATAGTGTTTTTAAAGAATTCATTCAATGTATTAATAAATAATTGCATTAATATCGTTAATATTTGTCTAAATTGTGTTTTAAAAGGTGTTGTGTGTTTAGTTTTCATAGGCGCTGTCTATATTTTGCATAGCGTCACCTGACCGAACTCATTGTCATTTCCCGCCATTGTGATTATCGAAGAAACTAAATTGAGGTTTTTCGGTGTTAATTGAGATATTTAGATGAAAAATCGCTAAATCGTGTTATCGCGGCTGAGTAATGTCATTACACGGTAATGACGTTTGTTTGCTAGAAATAGAAGACTACAACTTATACGAAGAAGAAGCATCGGATCACGCTTTTGCCAGGTAAGAACACCCGGCGTGGCTTTAGTTTTTGACCAAAGTAAGACTTGCCAATATCATATTTTTATGTTAAAATATTGTTTATTTTTTTCAAAAAAAAGTACAAATAGGTGTAATGTTTCTGTCAAACACATGATTTCGCGGGTTGAGGCCGCTCCCGCCCCTTGCCGGTTTATAGTCAGCTGTTGGTCCGCCATGTTTGGTCAAATCAAATAGGCGTAGTAGGCGCTTCATTTACTAACGCGCTATTTCATACACATGTGTTTGTATACTACCGCTGATGATAATGTAGCGGGTAAATAAACATTGATTTTTTCTTTAAAATACAGTGTAATTTTGCATTTCAGAATAAAATCTGAAGCATGTTATGGTTGTGTTATAAAAATATAACAATATTTTTTTTTTTTAATTATTCCAAAGTTGAATATTTATAAACTAATTGTCTTATAAAAATAATTAAAAATATGTTATGCTAAAACAATACTTAAAAACGCAATTTTCAACATTTTTGGAAGTGCAATGTTTAATGTCAAGGGTGTTGTGTTTCAGGAGTGAGAAGCATTCAACGTCAGGAAGTAAGACAATGGAGGCAGAAAAGAGAATCCGCAGGGAGATTGCTAACAGCAATGAAAGGAGGCGCATGCAGAGCATAAATGCTGGCTTCCAAGCTCTACGAACACTTTTACCCCGTCATGAGGGGGAAAAGCTCAGCAAGGTCAGTTCTTGCTGATGTCATAAATATTTTATGAGATATAGTATTACAGGAAGCATTAGTTTGTGTATGATTTATATTTTATGATGAATAATTTCTAATTTTGGTTTTTTCAAATGATTTTCACAAAAGATAATTTGATACATATAAATTTCTTTATAAATAATTGTATGGATAACAAATATTTAATAACTTTAACCTTTTGCACTACTAGACTTAGGATGATGAGCATTTACATACTGAAGTATTGTGTATAAATTAGTTGACAGTTTAATATAATATTGTTACAGGCCGCAATACTGCAGCAAACAGCAGAGTACATCTACTCCTTGGAACAAGAAAAAACAAGGCTATTGTCACAAAATTGCCAATTAAAGAGATTGCTGAATCAGCATGAGGGAGGAGAAATACCATTGAAGAAAAGAAAAAGTGAAATTATTTCTCATGTACCATCTATTATTCCTGACTCAACTGATGACACAATCTCCAAGTCAAGGTCACCTGAACCAGTTGCTTATATCTCTGTATCAACTGGTCCCCAAAAGAAAGATATTGAGAGCACTGAACTGAAGACTCAATTAGAGCAGGAAAGACGTCTACGAAGATTGCTTGAGGAGCGTTTGCACTCTTTTGAGACACAGATTTACCCAGAAACAGGGAGAGATTTAACACATCCAGTTCACTATGAACAAACAGATGTTTCCCTATGCAAGCTTGAAGGTGATGAGATTGAAGCACCGGTTGTTGAGGCCCCTGTTGCACCTTTATTGGAAGCAGCTATTAAGGCAGAACCAAGAGTGGAGGTAGAAGTGTTGCCTGATGCCACTCATGATGCATCTTCACGCTTGTACCTAGCTAGCACAAGCCGTCAGAATTTAGAGACAATTGTAGAGGCTATTCGTCACTTGGAAGGAGATCATTTATTCCGGGAGGAGGCGGGAGACGCTCCGTTAGCGCTGACTAAGAAAGTGGAGCGAGCGCCGCCGCCCCCGCGACCGGGCGTTATTGTCGTCAAGCACTCGTGATTGCGCTAGTCGTACTGAGTTATTCGGTCAACGAGCACTCCCTGACCCTCCTCGAATATAGTTTTAAAAAATTTTAGTTGTTAAATTGTCTTTTCCAAAGTGACGAATCGATAAGTCTGCGTTTTTTATTTTTTTTACACATTGATTGTATGGATACGTGATTAAAAGGATGCATTGTGGTTGACAGTCGGCACTGTGCTTAGTTTAGTCTCAAATATAATGAAAATAACTTGATTGTAATTTTTAACCTGTTTGGTTTAGTGCGGCTTGCTGCAACAGTTTTGATGACTTGTAATGACTGACTTACATAGGATTAGGGTGAGAGAATAAGTAATTTGAATGCCGCGTGCCAATATTATTTCATGATATTGTTAAATGTGTAGGAGTAGATAAAGAAATGTTAAGACTAGAATTGTGTATTCAGACAGTTTAGATCAATTATTAGCTATTGATAAAAAAACAGCAAAAGATTTATCATGGAAGCAATAAGCAAAGTTGAGATTGATGCTTGTAATAGTAAAATGGTATTCTGGGTTATTATGAAACAAGAATTGTTTAGGCATGCGGCGATATAAGTTGTTTTCAACTTGCAATTACTCATTTGAAAGGTATATAGTGTGTAAAATTATGTTTCATAGACAGTTTTTATAGTACTCCCAAAGACTGGAAGTACAAGCTCGTCATATTCTCAATAAATTATTATTTATGACAGTTTTTGAACCAGTTTTTGCGGGAACTATAATATTTTAGGTATCTCCTTTTCATTCTATACAATTTTTGTATGTATTTTGAATGCTCTATAGGTTCTATTGGGTGTAAGGTTTGTACGTAAAAGTTACGTATGTATTACTATTTTATTGACTTACAGTTATTAAGTCAGTTGTAAAAAGAGGGTGAATAAAATTAAATGTTGAATTGATCTAAAATATTATGTCCAGTGTAGTGTTTGTGTTACAAGTCCCAGTGCTTTCTTTATATTCTATAATGATAGTGATTTATCAAGTGGCTTTCACATTGCCCTCAATGTTTGGGTCAGAAATTCTAATTAAGAGCATTCCATATGTTCGAATCTCTTCGAGCATAGTTTAGAGTAATACTTGTGAAGTGTAGTTTAATTGAAGCATGATTTATATGTTATATTTAATTCAAGTAGATATAATGCTTACAATAAGCATAGTAATGGTTTAGGACTTGGTTAAATATAAACACGATCTTGAATTAAATATCTAAAAAGGAACAAGTATGTTCATTATTCTACCCATATGTAAATTTAATATTGTGAAAATAGCAAATAATCGCATTAACTACTGAGCAGGTTAGAATGTGCTGCTCGGTGGAGTAGCATTGGGCCAATCGAGCGGGCTACGATTGACACCCGATGCCTCTTTACTTAGCTTTGATACTATCGATTTATAGTCAAATCTACAGTTTTTATGGTGATTTGATCATCGATTTGAACGATTGAAGAGTTCGTGAAAATTTTAAAATACTTTGAATAGATGTAAGGCCCCCGCGGTGGACCGAGTGGATCCATGTTTAACTAAAACGGTCTTGTGTTTTAATTATTGTTCGCTTCAACTTGCTGTCGTTTTTATTTTGTTAAAACTTAACCAGCAGTGCTTTTGTTAATATTTTTTTCTTCTGTAAGTTTTGAGACATTGTTTAGTTACGACTCGGCAACAGAGTGACTAATGACGTAGCGAAGAAATAAACCAGTGCCGTGCTCCTTTATCGGGGATCATATGAATTTGTTAAGACTGATCATTAATTCATTATTAAGTTACGCTAGTTCGAGCCACCATATTGGTAGTTTTAGAATGTGTGTGTATGTGTGTTATGTTGATGTAGCTATTTATGTGGATGTATGATGAAGTGACAGATGTATGAGATGTTGCTTATCCGATAGTTTTACAGAGATTCCTTCATTTTGACATTTAGAAATAATTAAAACCATCAATTTCATTATTGTATGTTTCGATCATTTGTATTGATAATAAGTAATTATATGGAATCTCTCTAGCTCTGTTGGATGCTGTTATGTTTACTTTGTAGTTCTTTGATGTGATTCGAGTTATTTATTTGTCATGTACTCCGTTCCCACTGGACTAGACAGTTCCAATGCCAGCACTGCACATTGAATGGTCGAGGCTAGAGTTGTCTGTTCAGTGTTAAAAATCTCACTCGACATGTCTTGTGTATTTTGCGCTTTATCCGCTTAATTCACAAAACACCGGGTATATGATTTAAAAAAAAACGTTATTGGGGTTATTTGTAAGATATTAATTTCTATAATTATAAAATCCAGTGAATTTATGTCATACTATTATTAAGCCCTCCCTTCTAGTTCATTGTAACACTCTGTTTCTGAGTCCATAGTTTTAAGGAGTTGTCTGCCTACCGCCTTTTACATTATGTCAGTATAGGATAATTATTAACAATGTAATATAATGGACTTGGTTATACTATTAGTGTAGTCAAAGTATCTAGAACATAAGAGATTTTAAGTCAAAGAAAGCAAGTTAAATTGTTTAAAATGTGTTATTATTTATGTCTTAAAGTATTAAAATGGTTATTTCTTATTAATTAGTTTGTAAACCACGATTATGAGTATGTTCATTAGAGCTTTTTTTTACTTTGACATATGACTAAAACCAATAAAACGTCTTTTCGACTAGGGGATGCATAATATTCCATAAAATAAACATTTTTGATAGCTTGTAAATGGGATAAGACTATGTTTGATCCCTGATAAAAGTAAATGTTAGTAATTAAATTTTATTGTAATCAGAGTATATGCAGAATTGTATGCACTTTTAAATCGTTATTTACATTTTAAGTGGGTATTTTGAAAAAGTTTAAGATCTTCATAATACCCACATTTGTCTGTTGATTTTTTGTCACCACATTTTTAAATTATTCATAAACAAAGTAAATAAGAAGTTACATAATTCGAATCTAATTAAATTATAGGGTGAACAGAGCGAGGGCGATTCAATATTTATGTTGAGTCGTTATATTGCAAAAATTTTACTCAAAACCAACATAATATTGGTACCGTGTTCTCAAACGCATACAATGCTACGTATACCGATGTATTCGTACTGTTTTATAATTTGACAAGTGTTCTGTATTTGTAAATAGTCACATCTTTATTATTTTAATTTCTCAAATGCCATTTTAATTGACTTTGCGTAGTTTCGACGGCGAGGAGTGACCTCGCGTGTTGTGTTTTATTGGTTTTCAGTGGCAATTGATGTGAATACGTACACAATTCCATTTTCTACACTCTATCGCGTGTTCTGATCACAACAAAGATCAAAGGTCCCCTTTGATATCTAAGATCTTTTTACAATAAAATTGTTTTGCATTTTTAATTAAGTTCTGTCCAAGTAAGTGGTTACTTTAAGAAGCTTTTAGATTCAGTTTAGCGAGTCTAAAATTAGAGGTGGGGTGAACATCACTATTGTATGCACCGAAATGTTTTATTGTAATTATATACGCAAGATTTTTTTTTTTATTTTGTAATGCATTCACCCGATCGCTAACAGACTCAAGTTCCTATACACGATAGTTAGTTATGATGTAATTTTTTACAGTTCGTAATTAAGATAATGATAAAGTGTAGAAAACAATGCAAGGATGTTTCCTTTTTGATATGAAGTTGATGAATTATATTTCCTCTCATTTTAATTGTACCACATTTGACCTACATTTGCGAATATTTATAAAATGATTGATATTTTTGTGTTTCATTCAACTCTCCTTACCCTTACCTTAAAACAATTTTTTTCAATATAATATATACCTACATGCTTTATTACGTAAATTTAATATTATTATGTTATTCTTCCTATATTAACAAATATTTCTATAATGAGGTCGTTGGTGATAAAAAGTGTGAAACATATAAATTGACCTTCATTATATAAATACTATCTCAAAGCGTATAATATGTGCGCACAAAAATCTTTACAATTGTTGTACTTAGCATACTATGCCTACACACTAGTGTACGAGAGTGAACGTATTTGTGAATGGGCTGTTTTTTTTTTGCTGTAGTGGATATTTCATTAACGTACTCGGTTAGGCTGTAGTGCAAAATGTATAGAATACGTTACTTCATTCATATCTGAACTTAAAAATATGGTAACTCTACTGAAATTAAATACTTCTGTATTTTGCGTTTTAACCAAATTGTGATTTGGTTTCATAATTGGATTGGAAAACAAAATCAATGCCCAGAATAATAACAAGGGAACGATGATTTTTATGAGAACCACGTGATACAAACTTAAAATAATATGATGATTCTGTGTAGTTTAATTTACGGCATGTTCCATAAAATTTTATATTAAAGTAACATATACATCAATATAATTATCGTCATTTGTAGCCTGTATCCTGGCTATAAGTTTCTGGCTCGCTGCCAGGCACGTTGCGTGCGACGTACAAGCTCATAATCAATACTGTTGAGGGGCATGCGTCCTAACCATCTGCACCCGCCCTAACTTTGACGCCCTAAATTAAGTCTTGGGGAATAAACATATTGCGTGGTATAATATTATTAGTTAATAATTTTATTCTCTCGTCTAAAAAATAGGTTTTTAAATGAAAATGTTAGGTACAACGGAAGTTGAAGCATTTCGTATGTATACAATGAGATTCACGTATCTATTATTTTCTAGTCTCATAACGGTAAAGATTATTGTTCTGGAGACGGAGACTTTTAATCAGGTAGGAAAAACTTAAGCGGATCTATTGTAAAGTACGTGCCCACGATATAATTAGCGATGAGTTTAAACCTTGACAAATCTGCTTTACTGTTGGATAAGAACATGAATACTGAATAATATTTCTGGTGTTAATATTATGCCTATAAAACAGCTTACAGCAAAAGATACTGAGGAAGGTTACTGCTTCGGCTCCCAACTTTTACCTACCATTGGAAGATAAGAGGAGGTAGAGGTAGGTTACCATAGTAGAGATCGTTATCCAACTCTAGCTTAGAATTAACGAACATAAAATTGAACGGATTCCGATAGAATGAGTCCCCTTACGGCAAGCTAGTCGGCTACAGACCAGCCGCGGATTTTTGAATCTCAAACCTGAATTTACTTACAACTGTCAATTTTATAAAATTACATTACAAGAACGAGTCTTTTTATAAATAATATTTGAAACCTATCAGGATATATTACTTAAGGAAACTAACCCGGACAAATCCGAGAAAAAAGGTTCACAAGATTATCGTAACAATGTGTGTAGTGCAATCTATCATCTATGTTCTATTACAAAACCCATTTGTCGTCATCCAAACGTTTGGGCAAAGGACATTCCCTGAGATGTTTACACATAGATGTTTGTCGATAAATTGTTTGAATCATTAAAATTTCTGAAAGCTCCCGTGTGTATTTACTCTTGATATGACGTGAGAGAATCGCACGCGACTGCTGTATCGTCACCTTTTGTCCCCATCACAACTCATCTCAAGGATTATTCAGTTGCACAACAGACCATCGAATGAGCAGTCGTGTTTAAATCACCGTCATTTTGCACGCTATTTACGTTTTGAAATAATGTATTTTTAAACAAGTTCTAGTAAATTTGGTTCAAATTAAAGTTATTTTAAGTATTTAACATATCCAATTGCAGATTTTGTAAGTATTTTCTTTCTGTATTGGTTTTTAAATTTTATTTTCACTTTACAATTTAAATAATCGTCTCGATCATGCGATGTGTGGATTCATTTACGGTGTTAACATATAGTATATACATGTTTATTTAAGAATAATACGAAAATAGACCTATTTTATATATCGTACCGTAATAAAATCATCTTATATTCTTTAATTCATTTAGTATGTAAATAAATTCGCATTGGCATTGCCGGAGAAAGTTTAAAATCATGTAAATATGAACGGATTTTGTTCGACTAAAACCACTGGAACATTAGGGAAGTGATAATTTTTGTATTTTTGGTGATGAGATATCGTTCATTAAAAACTGTTACAATGAAGCCACCGAAATCATTTTAAAAAGCGAAAAAGATTTTCCGCTTTGATTTAAGCGGCAAAAATTAATCTGAATTTTCTCCTTGAATTTTGCGCTTGATCACTTCATGGTTGCTTCAACATGGTTTTTTATATTACACCGTACTAGTTATAAAAAATATTTAAAATTTGAAGAAACATAAATATTGTAAACAGGATACAAAAAAGGTAAACATTTTAGAGGAGATTTCGGTATGGCTGAGGTCTGAGGTCTGAGGTCAAAGTTACTAATTTATCAATATACATAACAATAGTTTTAAAAATTAAATATTTGCCTAAATCATGACCGTGGCCAATATTAAAGTAGAGCGATGAAAGTTATGTAGGTGTAACAATTTTTCGAAAAATTCAAAAATTAACAAGGCTCTTTATAAAATAACTATATTTATATATCAAAATGATTCGTAAACCTAAAAGGCAGACAAATCTTTCTATTATATTTTTTAATTACTTAATTTCTTTACAGAAATTATCAAAATGCAGATATTCTTGTATTTGAGTTTCGTTGCTTTTACACAACTAAGTTATGCTCAAATGGATATTCAGTTACCAAGGTAAAAACTTAATATTTTACGCTAAAGAATAGCTAATTTCCTAATAGGAGTCAACTCTTGCTTAAATCAAAAAAAGAAAACGCTTTTCTAACAGTCCGAAAAACTGAAGAAATTTAAGATCTTGATCTTCCAACTTTTACGAAGATACAAATTAGTTCTCAATTTAAATTGTTTAGTCCAACGTAAGCTTATTTTGTAACTTTTCTTTTAGTTTCAGTTCTTTTAGTTATAACGAAGAGAGTAGTAGACTTGTCAACTCGATAAATGAATTCGGGTTCAAATTGTTATCGAAAATGATGAAAAAATATCCCGATAAGAACATAGTCATCTCACCAGCGAGCATATCTTGTAAGTTTTAAAATAGTTTTAAAAGATTTATAGATCGTAAGTGAATATAAATCTGTTTCTATCATGACATCGCTGACTATTACATTGTCCACTTGTTATTCCCGGTAAACAATAGAAACTAAATATTAAACCGAGGTTCCCAAACGTCACGTCATATAAATTGACGTGACCAAATTCACGTTGACGTGACTGATGTGGGTGAAACCTAATAGGAACCTGTAGTAAAAATTAACTGCTAGTTTATTTTATTACCTTTTCACTTTTATACGTCGTAAAGAGATTAATGTTTCATTAAATTTCATTGCCTAGGCTATGGAGTTGTTTTTTCCTATAAGATGTTAATATCGAACAGGTCTGCTGGCAATGACTCTTCTGGGCAGCGTGGGGAGGTCGTATGACGAACTTGCCGGGGCACTTGGATTTTCCGAAGGTAAAAGACAACAAAGGATGATGCGCCTATAACACTTCCGTGACATTTTCCTATAATAACTTTTAATTGTGAGGACAATTGAATTGCACGTTAAAATACTTTCTTTTTTTTAACTCCATTGAATTAGAGCTAACAGGTCAAAGCTTTTTATGTTGTTATTTAAACCGTATTTTTTTACACTAATCTGAAAAAAGCGGAGCTATATCGAATTTTTCGATTACGGGTGATTTAAAATTTAGTCAATTTACTATTTTAATAATTAATTTTACATGTAACAACAAAGAGGCTTAAAAGGGCCAACATAATGTAACAAATCAGAGCCATTGAGGTCTGTTTAAATGAAGTTTCTTAATGGAAAAATATTCAGACAAATTTACTCGTTCCTCAAATCTGTTTAAAGTTTTAAAGACTGATTGAATATAAGCTTAGAAAAAAACATATAACAACATATTATTTTTGTAGATATATTATTGAACCGCCAAAACCACGAATTGTTCGGTGAACTTTTGCGACATGTGAACTCAGATGATACTTGGAGTAAGACCATATTCGCTGACGCAGTGTTTGTGGACAGTCGGTCACAATTACGTGAGGCCTTCCGCGCTTACCTGGTTCGGGTCTATGGGGGCGAAGTCCTAACTGTCAACTTCACTGACAGTATGAATGTCAAGGAAATTATTAATGAGTTAGTATGACAGGTCATTGATTGTTTTGTATATTACTAAAGACGGTTTAATTAATATAATTTAAATAAAGATAACATTTAAAATGAGTTTAACTGCCACGCATTATTTTGGTTGTATAAATAATGTTGATAAGAAATTCGCTATGCAATTATAAATGAAATAAAAAAATAATTTTCAATTTAAAAAAACAAAACGAAACGGTTAACTAAATGTAATTTGATTTTTTTACCAATAATTCCTTTTACAATGTACAAAACCAAACATAGATTTGATTTGATGCAGATTTATATCGTCCTTGCTCTAGTTATTTTGTCATGCATAAATCATTTGAGCTAATTAAAAGTGTTTACAGTACAATTGATACATTAATATAAAAAGATATGTGACCCTGAATTTCAATGATTTAATTATACCTATTACTTTTTTCAAACTAGTAAACCTAAATAATCATAACCAACGAGTATCTTTCATTAAAAAAAAAACAATTATATTATAATAAATGTAAAAAGATGAAACAATGTAACAAGTACATTTGTTAATATTTATTTATGAATAAAACTTGTTCTTTTTTTCTCGGTTAACCGCAACCGTAAATATTAATTATCCAACTTTAAAGTTGTTAGGAAAATAATGCGTTGTTTTTTTTTAGTTGGGTGAGCACGCAAACCAAGGGCCAAATTGATAATTTCTTAAAGGAATCTTTGCCTGTGAGCACTAAAGTAGTGCTATTAAGTGCTCTTTACTTCAGTGGGCAGTGGGCGAGACCTTTCTTACCTGAGCACACAAGGAAGTACGTATTTTAATTACAACCAGTTTGCCTGTCACCTGGTAAAATAGATCTGTAAATATATAAGTTGCAATTACATTTACTCTGACTTAAAAGGAATAGCTTAATATGAATGTCATATTGATTGATGACCATTTTAAAACTTATACAGACGAGTATCATCCTTGTTCCAAAGAATCGTATTATATTAGTAAACTAATACAAAATGTCCGCTCATATACGTCCCAATCGAGAGGCCGAGTTGACTTTAAGCTTATTCATCTACGCCTGAAACAAAAACATAACTATTATTTTCTATAACTTTATGTATGTTACAGGATGCCATTCATGCGAGGGAAGGACAAAATCACTGCGGATCTCATGCTAAATTTGGGTCAATTCAATTATATTCATTCTGCGAAAGATGGTTGGTATTTTACACTTTTTTTATTTCGAATCTATTTTAAAGAAATAATAAACGAAATATTTTCTCAGGTCTCCACATGATCGCGTTCCCATACAATGATAGCTCAACGACAATGTACGCTTTAAAACCACGTATGCCTAGCGAATTGTCACTGCCAGATTTAATGGAGCGTTTGGATCACTCCAAGATTGATAGCTTAATAAACCAGATGACTAGGTTGGACACAGTTGTGAGGTTCCCTAAAATGGAGATCAAAAGCGATGTAAACTTAGAATCACATCTAAAAGAACTAGGAGTAAAATCCATGTTTGATCCACGCGAAGCTAATTTCGCTTTAATGATAGACACAAATACGATAGCAAACAGAACTGTCGATGAAATACTAACGAGGATTAACGAAGGCAATGTGGAAGAAAGAAGAGTTAAGAGTATAGTTAACAATCTTATGAATCCGGGAGTTTATGTTGATTCAATCATGCACGAAGTGAAAATTAAAATTAACGGTACGTATAAACATAATACAATTACTTCACTTTAACACGATAATGCCTTGTATTTTATGTAAATTAAGTAGTAAAAAAGCGATGAAATCTAAGAAATACCTTTTGGTACACAATTTAACTATATGTTAACTTATAGTTAACTTGTTAGTATTAAATTGTTTAAACGTAATAAGAATGTTAATAGAGCGGTTAATTAACGCAATAATTGCAATATTACGTAAGTGTCTATAAAAAGACAAGAGAGTAAACCTTTTAACATAACTTGAACATTATAATTATGATATAAATTAGATTACCATTTGTTTCTAACAGACATAATTCTTAGAAATGTTCTCTAACTGGTCTGTATACCTACATCCTCAAGACCACAAACTCCCGAAAATTTTGCCAGATCGTTATTTTGTCTATTGTCAGGTGCCCACGAACCTATTCTAAAGATGTTTAGATTCATGGCCTTAAACCTGTAATCTCTATTCTAATCGAATTATTTAAAAAGGCAATATAAAATTGTGACAGTTATATTTTTTAAAAAGAGCAAAAAAATGTTAGTATGTAGCTACATTTTTAAACTAGACCTTTAAAATTAAATATTGTACACAATATGGTATACAATACCTCGGTTTTTAGCGTTATACCAGAAAACATACATTTCAGGTACTTATTATATCGCTTAATATTACGTGTGCGCACTGCAAATGATGATATTTGTATGCGTTACGATCGTCTACATTGGCACATTACTTGTCCAGTATCCTTGTACCTGAGTAGTACCTTTACTTTATACTAAGAATATGTAGAACATATATCTTATGATAATCAAGAACTTGGTAATTTTATAATAATATATTGTCGAATTGCTTGTTTTCCGGAAAAAGTATCAAGTATCCCGCATTCCTTTATTTTACTACGGCATTGTGTGCAACCAAAATTATCTAATTTATGCGATGAGTAATAATGTCAAGGTTTTACAACCACCATATTATTTTTGGAGATAACTTTGGTTCAGTACCATTAAAACTTAATGACGGTTTACAATTACGTAAGAGACGCAGAAGAAAATATTATAATAGCTATCGGCGGAACATTTATTTCCACCCGCAGTGGACCTGCGGCCACATACAAGCCAATTTTGTTGAATATTATATTATCTGTGGTTATAAATAATTGCAGAATACGGTACGGAGGCGGTGGCAGCAACAAGCGCTATTCTGGCGCGGTCGTCGGAACAATTTTACGCTGATTCACCATTCTTCATGTTCATCAGAAACGAAAAGACAAAACTCATCACATTCAGTGCACTTGTGTTTGATCCCACCGTTTAATTTATATTGTTAACTAGTAATAAAAGTATTTTTGTTATCTGTTTTTATAACATTTCAACTATTACCAGAAACTTACATTTATAAGGTCCCCCTGGCAAAAGCTAGTCTGATCAGGCTTTTCCGTGTAACCTCTAAAACCCAGGATAATTAAACATCCTATTACGGAAATAGATCTTATAGGTTTTTTTATTTATCGTGGATTTCCACTGACGAATTACGTGTCCAAAAATATAGTGTTAACTAATATTTCTGTATTAAGTGTTTCGGCAGTGGAAACTTGCGTTTATAATGAAACTAATATGGTAGTTCCGTTTCTGTACTGGTCACAAACGGATAAATAACTTATGGTTATGTAAATGTCATTGTACTGAATATGTCATTTGATATTAAAAGTTCTAATACATATGTTAATTGGAAAGTTCAACAAACCGTTTTGAAACATGTAAACACAACACATGACATTTTGTGAAGAATTAGGTAATGCGATTCTGGGATGCAAACATAACATGTTGCATTTTTGCAGGGATTTGAGATAAAATTAAACTTCAATAATACTTTAACTTTATTTTTGGAATTTTCTGATAAAATATTAAAAAAGCATACTAATATATAATAGCAATTAGAAAGTTTAAGTAATTAAAATTATTTACTGCTAAGAAAATATTTTTTTAATACATAACAAAAACCATTTAAACGGTGCTTAGATAACTTACACTTTAACAACTATATTTTATTATTATAATATACAGGAATGATAGGGGTGGTCACAAGGGTCATCAGAAAAATAAAATAAAAATTCCCCTCTGGGTATTAAAAAAAAATGGCATTTTTTAAAAACTTAAAAATTTAACACCTTCTGGGGCCATTTTAATTTTCTTTAAAATCAATAAAGGGTTATTGACGATAACATAATAGCTTTTTTAAAAATGTATTATAGCAATATTTGTAGGTCGTTGGTTACAAAATTGCCCCAGGTGTAAAATTTTTATATTTTTAAAAATGTCCTTTATTTATTTTTAATACCCAGAGGGGAATTTTTATTTTATTTTTCTGGTGACCCTTGTGCGCACCTCTATTATCCCCCTTCCTATGTACATAACCTTTTGAGACATCCTGTTAAATTTTAATGTAAAATTATTTTTTTATAAACCTTACATTAAAACATGTCTGTTTGAAGAGAATGTAAGTGCTGGCAATATTATGTTATACAAGTATTTTAACTGTAGAAAGTTAGAATAAAATATTAAAATCCATAGAATCAATCTGCCTAATTAAAAAAATCTATATGTAGCAATTTAACTATTATTCCTTAATCTCTCTAACCTATCATTAAGAGTTTGTTTCCATTGTTCTTCTGATATACTCTGTGCCCACTCTGGTATTGATGCTTCTGGTAATGCAAAGTTAGCCATCGCTGACATAACCTGTGAAATTAAAAAATGAGTTTATTTTTATATGTGAACTTGAGCAATACAAACATTTCTTCTTTAATATGTGACATGGTATGTTTACCAAGTATCTTATTTTATGAATATGATATTTCATACAACTTATTAATCTTTTGAATTATTTACATAAATGTTGAAAAAGACATAAGTAGAAATTAATTGATTGATAATAACATATTGTAACTTTGAAATAGGGGATTATGGTAAAATAATATAAGTGATGAGCAAAGCCTGAACATCCCAAAACAACAACAAAAATTCATTTAAAAAATAGCAACCTCTTGTGCTCTTTCATTATCCATTTGTATTGAATCTGTAGATCTAGGGGTGCTCCAAACTTCTCTAACAAGCACATTTTCTATGGGCTCTATTGCAGGCACATCTTGTGAAGGTACTTCCTGATCCTCAGCATACTGGAATAAAGTATAAAAGTTTCTTATGTAGTCCTAGATTTATGTAATTATTTCACATATTATATAAATAACAAACATATTATTTTTGAAGTTTCAATAGTTAACAAAGTTTTAGATTTGTTGGATGCTTATGTACTTATTGCATTTTAGTACAAATAATTTTAATTATTCTTTAAAGTTTATAATAAGTATTAGAAATGATAAACTAACTATTCCCTCTGTATCTTCGTCTCTATCATCAATATCAATGATGGCACCATCAGGACCTTGTGGTAGCGGCTCGTAACCGAAGTATTCAGACTGCTCATCATCACTCTCTTCATTGTTGCCATTTATAAGCTCATGTCTGGGAGGTGGGGTCAAATTATTTGGAGAATTTTCGGGTGGATCTGGTCCGTCGCACACCATGTTTATTTTAATGACAGTGAATTGAAGTTAATTTAGTATTTCAATTAGGTTTTTCCTACAAAAGCAAAAGGGTCAAGCAATAAAATCACTTTAACTGTTGATAGTCATTACACACTCCATTCGATGTAAAAGCGTAAAGAAAAGTTTGTGCCCAAAATAAATGACAAAAATGCAATCCGACCAACCACAGAAATTCCTTTATTTTCTGTTGAATTAAAATAATATTTTTAAAGTGCTTTTGTATTTTTGTATACTACAATAACTTTAACTTAAAGTCAAAGTCAAATTCAAAGAGTATGTAACCAATTCGTAGTAGGCAAATTATATCAAATAGAATCTAAGCCATAAAGACTATTTTTTCAAACAAAAGTTGTAGTGGCGTTATAGTTTGTTTCAGTTTGGAGTTGAACCGTTGGACCCTTGTTTAATTTAGTTGACTCGTAATCCGTTATTAAAGTACCAAGGTGCACTGCTGGCACTACATGCAATAGTCGAATCTTACTAAACAATATGAAAAATATAGGCTTTTTAGTTTTATCATCTAACGAATAACCAATATTAATTTCTGATAAAGTGATTTGGTAAGATATTGTCGATGAGGCTGTCATGTTATAAACAGTTATAAATTATAAACTTCAATGTATATTAGCAAACTTGGTGTTGCTTCATACCTAAAGTTTGACATTGATAGATTAATAGCATAGTCTGCGATCTGCGTCTACTCTGTTCTGTTTGTCAGCAAATTTGCTGTCAAATTTTCATTTCAGTAAATAAAAACCGTAAAAATTGGACCTTTATGGAATAAATCTTCTTTACTTTTAGTCTCAGCTATAATTACAGTAATGGCCTGGAGAAGTCATGGTGTAAATAATGCAGATATGATAAGGAACCTTCGAGGTATATCTGATTTTATAATATTGTATGTAATATGTTATTGCGCATACCCCTGTTTAGATAGAAAAATTAATGTTTTTATTGTAAAGTATTCTGCCAATTTTGATAACTATTTAAATTAATTTTTACATCTTAATCATACAAAAATCATGTATTATGCCTAGGAGATTTTTACTTCACTTCTGTTTTGTACTTTTCAGCTAATGGTATTATAAAAAACGTCGCTGTAGCTAATGCAATGAATGCGGTTGATCGTAAATTTTATTGCCCGTATGCGCCTTATCAAGACTCTCCACAATCGATAGGATATGCTGCTACCATTAGTGCTCCACATATGGTAACAATCATTTATAATTAAAAAAAATAATTTAATAGTAAACGTAAAATGTAAACACATCATTGACGTTATTTTAAAAATGTTTAAAACAATTGTTTTTTAGAACTCTAGCAAAAAAATACTCAACAAAGTAAAAAAACCATGCACTTTCCACATATGTTTAGTATAGTATGATTTTAAGTATTTAAAAATAGTAGTATTATTGGAACAAATAACATTTGTGCATTTATTTTATTTATTCTGATAGTTTTTTGTTAAATATAGCATGCTCATGCTCTTGAAAGACTACATAACCAGTTAGTTCCTGGTGAGAAGGCTCTGGATGTGGGATCCGGTTCTGGTTATCTAACAGCTTGTATGGCAATCATGCTTGGAGATAACGGCAGTGTAGTAGGAATTGAGCATATACCAGAACTTGTATCGCTTGCTACCAAAAACATACAAAATGGCAACCCTGATTTACTTACATCTGGAAGAATTAAACTTATTGGTAGGTATTATTTTTGTTTAAAAAAATTCTTGTATCAAATTATATATGATATAAAGCTTCACCTATCATTAGGCTTGTCATGCATGATAACTTAGTGATTTTGCAACAAACAAAACTTTTTTATGATAATTTATAAAAAAAAAATATTGTAAAATACAATTAACAGGGTTCTCTCTACTAAACACCACTCCAACCAAGATGAAGTATTAAAAAATTTGATGCTCATCTACTTTTTGGCTATATTTTCTAAAAACTGATATTTTTTAAGCTGGCGATGGAAGAAAGGGATATCCTGCTGAGGCACCATATAATGCTATTCATGTTGGGGCAGCAGCACCAAGTCTGCCGCAGGCTGTAAGTAAATATGATACTAAATATATATGTCTTAATTTATAACAGTACATAACGCACATAATGTAATTGTGTATAGTAATTAAAATAGCAAGTTAGTAATGCAAGTGTGCTTTTTATTTTATTCTATTGGAACTACTTCAATAAAATAAAATATTAACAAAATGAAAAATGAAACTATAACAAGTTGAACAGTGTTACAATAATGTTATTGGAATTTTGCTGTGTTATGTATTATGTTCCCATACATGTTTACAGTTTTATATACCTATCATATACTTTTATGTCAAATAAATGTTTAATAATAATGCTTCATTATTTAACACCTTGCCTATACTGTTTGTGTAAGTATAATTTGTTATATTCAGTTAATAGACCAACTAAAACCCGGAGGACGCCTGATTGTGCCAGTAGGCCCTGAAGGAGGGGAACAACATCTTACACAGGTATGAAACAAAATATGGTATAAGTGCGAGATATTTAACTCTAACTATGTTGCTTTTAATAGCTCTATACCCGGATCACTTTTTGACATAGAATTTATTACTAAAATGAGGTACTATCTTCTTATGTAATACACTTACAGGTCGATAAGGCAGCAGATGGAACAACATCGGTCAAGAAACTAATGAGTGTGATCTATGTCCCGCTGACAGACAAAAATCATCAATACCGTGAGTGACCATCACTGTACACAGTATTTTATGTACTGCTCATAATTATCTTAGCAACGGTTCTCATTTACTGTCTTTTCAAACGCTTCCGACGATCATTCAATATATAAAGTATGTTTGGATAAAGAACAGTGGTTGGCAAATGACAGCTTGTAAATATAAATTTATTTTAGATGACAAAAGGTGATGACGCGAGTAGATGAATTATTTCTTTAAAGAAAAGAATGTGTATATAATCTTAAAGCTTTATACCTTTTTATGTAACATTTATCAAAATAAATGTCAAAATACTATTAGATGTTAGTTTTATAGTAAGTCATAAGAAATTTCACTCAAAATAACACACAATCAGATTGTGGCACAAAATCTATTTGTAGGTTTTGAGTAGCAATGTTTATTATCATAGTTTGCTATTTGTAGTGTTATTAAGAGGACTTTGTGATACATGGTTCGTTATAAAACTCTTGACTTTTTCTCAAATATTCATAGTTTGAGTTTGAACTTATTGTAAAGAATTTGCCGGCCGCTGATACATATTGAAATATTTTATTATTTATAAATTTTATATCCACACACTTATTGTAAAGTTTTTATATTTTAATTACAGATAAATATTTGTACAGTTATACAAGATTTATGTGCTTTGTAAAACTCTTTTAATTAATTAAAATAGAAAATATATGTATTGTATTATGTATCATCATGGATATTAATTAACTGTTATATATTTACTCAGTATCATTATTGGGATGTTTGTGTTTTTAATACAAGGGTGCATAACTTTATTTTATATAGTTAATAGGTAAATAGAAAAAATGAATTCCTTATATCTTTGGTTTCTTAGTTAATTTTATATAAGATTGGAAAAAATAATGTCAGTTTTAATTATCAAGGTAAAACTTTACTACCCTATGTCGATATTTTTTGTATGTTTAAATTGTTTTCACAGTTGATCCATTGTTTTAGGTTCTTGGCGCTAAACTTTTCATTTTATAGACAAATATTTTAATTTTCAAATATTTAAATTGACTCTGATATGCCTTGTAATTTATTTTTTGTGCCTATAAAAAAGGTAAGCTAATATTTTAAAAGTGATAAAAATAATGACGAAATAAATAACCTTCTAGAAAAATTTAATAATTTCTTGATTGACTCTTTTTAAAGAATAAATAATTGATTCATTGTTTTAGGTCCTTGGCGGTAATTTTTCGCTAACCTTTATTATTTGAAACGACTCAGAGCTATAGCCTTGTAATTTATGAAATAAAAAATGAAAACTACAATAACATTTGCGTTTTATTTCGGTTCTAATTTTTTACTTTTGAATAATTTTCCTGTAAACTTTTTCTTGCCGTATGGTTTCTCTTCCTTACTTTTATCGGACTTTGGTTTCACGTGTAATATAGAATACAATAAATCTGCTTCCGCTTTATTTTCAACGATGTCAGCTATTTGCTCCTGAAAAAAAAATGATCGTATATTTTTTTAATTGAGGAGATAAAAACGATCTTAGTATTTAGGGAGCCTTTTATTTGTTTTTAAAATACATCAAAAGTACTGACTAAAATTCAGACCTGTGATTAAACTTCATCATTTTTTATTTTTTTATAAGATTACACTTCTTTTAAAACTGATCAGTGATTTATTTTATTTCACAACTTTCAAATATTATAAATTTGTTTACCTTTGTAAGTGTAATCAGATGGTCCAAAGATTGTCCCCTGTTCATGATTCTGGTAATATTCTTAGAAGTGACTCCGGGAAGCTTCTGTACAAAGTCGTGGACCAGTATATTGTATCGTTCGTACCACATGTCATCCGCTGTGTTGTCACTGCTCAGAGCTATGGCCTCATCTACGTTGGGATTCTTTCTGCCTTGCTATAAAAAAATAATTGAAGATTATGGATTTATTTCTAAAGACAAGTACCAACTTAAGGTTTTCATCGCCATTAAAACAACTGATAAGAATATGTTCCCTTTCAGTCAAGAGATATATTGACATAGTAATAAATTAATATGTCAATATACATCTACTCACACTTTTATATGACAATTTGTATTTATTCCTTGTTTCAAATAAATGTATCAATATTTAACCATAAAAACTTACCTTGAGTTCATAGAACAATTCAGCGGTAGCGTATGGACTTGGAGACCAGACAAGCTTCAATCGGGGGAAGTGTATGGTGAGCAGCTGCAGCTTCTGCTGGATCTCCGCCCCAGACAGGTCAGTCGACACCACAAAACTACCCTGTTCATATCTTACTAATATTATAAATGCGAATGCTTAGAGGGATGGATATTTGTTTGAAAGTATCTTCGGAACAGTTCAATGAATCTCGCTGAAATTAGACTTAGATGTAAAGGTAGTCTGGAAGAACACATAGGCTACTTTTTTTAATTCCAGGCAGATGGAATCGCGGGCGACAGGAAGTAATGTTTTATTATGCAACCATAATAACTCTGCAATATATAGAACACAGTAGTAATTGATTAATTGGAAGGCCCAACGGGAAACGCTTTTTTTAATTATTTTTTTTTTTAAATTTCAAATAATTAAACATGTTTGTCTGGTAAGCTTACTTGTAAATGGAATGGTTTCTTCTGATCAAACTCAATGAGCAGTATGGGGCGGCTGTAGTTGCGGCACATTTGTGTGCACTGAGTGTACAGACGTCCGGAGTTCAAGGACCCGATCAGGTCAGATATGGACTTGCGCTCCACACATATGTCCGGAGTTAAGATGTAGTCACCAATCTATAGACAAGAGCTCCTGTTAATTCTATTAAATATTGTTAATCTAGTTTAAATTAATCTACAATCTGTTGACATTTCAAAAGTATAAATTCTTTAAAAAAAACCTTAAAAGGCTTAGTGCCACCAATGGTCTTTGTCGGAATGTCTAATTTTTATTTAATCTAGAAATATATCCTGATTTAAATCATATAACTTACAGTAATTGTGACAGGTTCTATATTGATTCCTTTCTTATGCAACAACGAGGGAAGATCGGAGCGAAACTCTCTCATGTCCACTATGACTAATGGTTTCTCTTTATTCAGAGTCTGCCCACCTATAAATTTAATAAATAAATGCAACAGTAATAACTTTTTAAATTGAATTATCTGTTTAACTTAATGGTACATTATCTTCCAGTTACTAAATATTTTCTCGCCATTAACAAATAAAAAAATTCTTAATTTAAATTACCTGCTTTTCGGGTATCAATTACATTTTCTTCTGGTTCAATATTAAGGTTAAAATATTCATCAGTTTTTCCATCTTGATATGAAGGTATCACCATTACCTGAATAAAATGTAAAATAGTTAAATATTTATTTTTAAGTAAATATACTTTTTAAGTATATAGCATATATTTACTTACACCTTTAGTTTCAATAAGCAGTTCAAAAGCCAGTTTTTCCCGTTTCAATGACGTTAAATACGCTTGCTCTTCAACAGTTTTATCATGAATAATAAAATAAACTTTTGCCTTTGGCTCTTCAGCTTTCTTCCTGCATTCAAACAATTCTATTTGTCGTACAGCTGACATGTCGCTGTGGTACAAAATTATATATTCAGGACGTAATGTTTCCAATGTTATCCCCAATGAAAACACATTGCCATTTTGTTTGAAAGTTTGAATACATATCAAAGGTTTTTCAGTTTCGATTTGTGTTAAATTTAAATCATCCAACTGTAAAATAGAACAATGATAAAAACAAAAAATACAAAAAAAAAACAGACGAATTGATAACCTCCTTCTTTTTGAAGTGGTTAAAAAATAATAAAAATTGTCAAGAAATAAAAAGTACAGGAGGGAAATATCCTAGGCAAAGACATAGAAAATTATGAGTTTATTAAAGTGAATTAAAAAAATTGAGCTAAATTTCCATATTTAAAAACAGTATCATATTATTAACATACCTGTGATAATGGTTCAAAAATACTTTCATCTGCAGATTTATCTGCCTTAACAGGTAACTGGCTCAATGTCAGCACATAGTTTGATTTGATTGTCTCATCACCATTACAACTTTCATCATCTCCATCATTCTTTTCATCACCTACAGAACTGCTATTTGGTTTAATCTCCGTTTTCAATGGTAAAGACTTCTTTGCATTATTATATTTAGAACACACTGTATTTATTGTTAAATCTCTTCTGAATGCTGTATACAATAAATATTTATTTGGACCCATCAAGAGATAGTTATTTAATTGACAGCATGTCTTATTATCTTGGCAGAGGATTAAGACTTTAGTACTATTTAATTTTCCTTTGCCCTTTTTCTTTACTTCTCCGGGTATTTCTTGGGTTAGTAGATCACTCAGACATTTCCATTTTGGACAGTGTTCTGGATCAAATTCTAAAATGAATAAAAAAGAAAACTTTAATATGATAAATTATATCCCTTAATACCTTGTTTTTGAAGTAACTTATTTACCCAGAAGACAATAACATCCCATCCCAATATCAAACATTTAACCACTTTTACCACCAGAATTCACCTTTAACTTTGTAAATTTTACAATAATCAAATTATAATAGCTTTTGTCTATCATAAGACACTAAGATTTACATTAAAAAGTTTTTGTGCTTCAATAATAGACAGTATATTATAAAATTACCATTTCTACTGTTATAAACTCTTCCTCTTGCGGCTCCAAACAATTGGTCAGCTGAATCAAGCAGTATCCATCCAGAGTTAACTTTAGCATACTCCGGAGTTCTATATTTACTGACTAGAGCATAAAACGACACTGGATCATCATGTATCAAGTTGCTAAAAAAAGAATTAACTGTCTAATTCTTCTTACTATGGCTTTTCACTTATAAAACATTAGAAAACTAAAGTTCTCTCATTGTTTCTATGGAAACTTATTTTTTTTTTAATAAATTATGTTGTAATAGTTTTTAACATATGTAAGAGTAATAGAAATATTTTTTTTAAATTGGAAGTTTTGTATTTTTAAATTAGTTTATATAATATATAAAAGGTAAACAAACTTATTTACCCACATAATCATGCCTCTCAATACTTTTAAATCTTGAATGTACTCCTTTGTTCTGGTGCTAAGCTGATGCCAAATACAGTCAAGTTGCGATTGTAGTATTTTATGAAACTTTTTTGTTATACAATTTTCCATTGTTATTTCCTAAAAAGGAGAGATGTTATGTATTCTTAAATCTAAATATTAGCTGTAAACAGTTATATGAATATAGCAGAAAATATTCTCTATATAGTAGAAGGAATTAAATAAGATAGAAAAATCTTGAAATATATTTACCTGCATATCAAGTGTCCTGTTAATACTTTTCAATTGTTTAACAGTGGAATTCATTATGTCCAAGAGGCACATTTGTATTTGAGCCGCCTTCGCCGAGAGAGGTATTTGTAGCTCCACAACTTCAGCCTGTCTACTTTTAAGGCTTTTTATTATGATACCATGAAACCTGCCAGTTAGAAAAATTAAATATAAAGTAAACATAAATTTTCTTAAATCAGAAAAATTATATTTGACTAAAGTTCCATCCAAACCTCTTTAATGGTTTCAACTGAATAGGTGACAAATTTACAAACAAGATTTATGTTAGAAGCTATACTTTAAATAGAAGTTGGATATTAAATTCCTCACCTTGGCCATAGGAAAAGTTCTGTCACAAAGAGTGCTCTCATAACTTTTTCAACTTGACTGTATCCAAATGTAAATGATATTGGTGAATTAGAAAATGCTTTTATAAACCCTGTCTGTAAAATGAAAATTTATGTACATATTTCATACTGAATTGTAAAAGTACTAAATATACTTTCAGTTACATAAATGTATTTTGTTAGTTTATTAAATTAGAACATATATTACACAGAATTATATACTTACTTTATTTTTTTGTCTGTACAATCTAAGCACAAATGCCTCTTGACATGATTCTAAAACTGTATGTGCTCTTAAAACAATAATGCCAGTGATGTGATTAACAGGTACTCTATTCTTTAATAAATCAACTACCAAGATTCGAGTGGATACAAAAAATACTCCTCCTTCTAAGTATGTCTTTTCTCTAAAAAAAAAAAAAAACTAAGACTAACCATAATAAATAAACAAATGGATTTAATTTTAATACATTTTACCTTTCAGTACCAATATTTGGAAGTGAAGGTAGATTGAATTGTGTTGTGAACAACTTCTCTTCATCATCACTGCTGTTCAGAACTAAAACTAAATTACCAGGATCATTGTAAACCCAAATAATGTTGGCTAAAACTTTGTCATAATTTATTCCTCTGTAAATAAAGTGGTATTTAGTACATATAAATATTCTTCGTAGTTAAACAATGCCTACAAGAGTAAAAATTACTTTGCCATGATTAGTAGAGCATCCTTTTCTTGAACATCGATAAAAATTTGTTTCTCAAATGGCAGCAATGGATATTTAGTTTCGACGTCTATATCTAAAGTTTGATCTTCGTCATTATGACTGTCCATGTTTACTAATAATACTTATATTAGAGATTAATTTCTACACTTTCTCAAGTGCTCTAATTTTTTTAAAATTTATTAAGTATTAATATTATTTAGTATTTATCAACAACCCATAGATTTAAATTTAATTTAAAGCTGAGGCAGGTTGTTTAGTTTTTATATTATAAAATAAATCAGAGTTTTCGTAAATCCTGACCTAAAACCTAACCTTTGAGTTTGACAATGACATTGACAATCATACAGTGTCGTTGACATTTTTGTTTAAAAATGAAAACCTTTTACTTCTTTTAATTCTGATGCTTTGATTGCTAATTTAAAATGTCGATAACTATTTATTAAAGGTTCAGTCGAGGGTGAGTTTCAATAATTTTTCCTACCGACGATGATAGCGAGATTTCCTCTCCATCATATCAAGTAAGGTATACATTACAGTATTTAGATGCTGCAAGAAATTATTTTAAAATACAAGAGGTAAATGAAAATCATCTTCCAGAATCTAGGGCATGAGTGTATGATTTTACCACGGGTAAAATAAATAAACCTTTTGACATCATAGTTTTAAATTCGTAAGTTAATATATCTTGTTGCGTATAATGGAACCACTAGAAAAAGGACGCAAACTGACTTCCTCTTCCTTCCTTAGCCGTTCGCTCCGCCATTTTGAGTCTTGTTACTTTTTCTTTCGTGAAGTCGTGAATGCGTGTAGTGCGTTTTTCAATATTTTCCGGATTTACTTTATACTGAAAACGTTATTGTGCTGTAAATGTTTCTACCTATTGTATAGTTTATTGTATTGATAATTTTTATTGTTTGCTTTTTGTGATTGAAATAATTCGGAACTTTTTACTATGCAAATGCAAGGGATGAATCAATTTGGAAATAGAGGATACGGCGGACCCCCACAGCCGCAGCGTCAAGGGGGTCGCCGAGGAAATAACCGCGGAGGTTTTCGTAATTCTAGATTTGAACACAACAATCAAAATCAAAGAAATCAAAATCATGGACAAGGAGGTCAACGACCTAATATTGAGGTAAATAGATTTAACGTATTTCCCTGTCTGACATATATTTCCCTATTGGTTCAGTGCTATTATAAAACTAGCTATTTGAATATGATGCATTAAGATAATAAAGTTGCTACTGTACAATATAAGCTTGTCCCGTTAGAACGCTGACCGCCATTTTGTGTAACGCAAGCATCATACCGCTGTATTATAAAATCAATCGCATAAAAGACGTTCTTCAAGCATATTTCAAAATTTGTAATAGGGTATATCTTGTTTTTGTCTATTTCTTTTTGATGGCAAGTGTCCACTCAAAAGTATATTGTCACATTTTGTACTGTGTACAATAATTAACAAGGTTTTATTTTCAGCTATTGCATTTATTTATAAATTGTGTATAATGTGAACTTTATATTTTTATATGTATAAAATTATATTTTAGCCAGTGAAACAGGTTGTGCCTGAAAAGCAACCGCCACCGACAACACAGCAGCCGAAAGAGAAACCTAACGAGGAGGTGCAGCAGGCACCAGCGGCAGCTTCCACGCCAGCACCACCTCAGGTACAACAACAAAACAATAGACCGCAACAACAAAGCCAGAGGCCACAGCAAAACCAGCGTGGGCCACAACAAGGCCAGCAACAGAACCAGCGGCCTCAGAATCAACAACAACCACAACAATCACCACAACAACAGCCTCAACAACAACAATTAAACCAGCAGCAGCAACAAAAATTGAACCAGTCCAAATCCCAGGATGATGTTGACAAGTCTATTGGTAGTGAAAAAAATACACAAGGACCTAGTCCTAACCAGAACCAATTTCATAAGGTATGTTTTCATTTTTTTGTGACTTTTCATTTGTGTTCTATAATTTCACAACCATTTTGGAATGAATCCACCATTTTTAATAAGGTGGTAATTTAGATTTACTGTGTATTTATAAGGTCCCTTAAGTGTAGAATTTACTTAACATATATAATTTTTAGAATATCAATGGAAACTTTGGTGGGGGAAACAAAGCAGGTGGAACATGGAGTCAAGGTGGTCCTGGCAACAGGCAGAATCAGAACCAAAACCAAAAGCAGTTTGGCCCTAAACAGCAAGGTGTTGGTGGTGGCCCAGCTCGCAACCAGCGTCACAGCATGAGGGGCCAGCCGGATGGGAAGGCAGTGCAACGTGAGGTATGGTATAGATGTTGTGCTATACTTTGTGGCCGGAATATTAAAGGAGTCTCTAGACTGTGTTAATGAACCTAGAGTCACCAAGATATTTAAAAATATATACAAACAATATAACGGTTAAAGTATTTTGGGGCAATTATTATTGAAATATTATGTGACACTGATTTGTATTTCACAGGACCATTTCTTGTTAAACAAACTCAAAGAGCTTGGTGGACCTTTGATAGATTTGCCTCAAATTGACCAAACGGAACTTAAATTTAATGGTAGAAGCAGACTTTACATTGGTAATCTAACATCTGATGTAACTGAAGAGGAAATTATGAATTTATTTGGCCAGTTTGGTGAAGCTGCAGAATTGTTTCTTAACAAAGAAAAGAACTTTGGATTTATTAAAATGGTAAGCATATTTAAATTATTAAGATGGAAATGATAATTTATGAAAGATTATAAACTAATATCATTTTATCTTTTTAGGACTACAGAGTTAATGCAGAAAAGGCAAAAAGGGAGCTTGATGGTAAAATGAGGAATGGTCGTTCTCTGAGAGTGAGATTTGCCCCACATAATTGTGCTGTCAGAGTTAAAAATTTGCCTCCATTTGTATCAAATGAACTTCTCTTTAAAGCATTTGAAATATTTGGAAAAATTGAAAGAGCTTATGTAAGAGTTGATGAAAGAGGAAAAACTTTAGGAGAGGGAGTTGTGGAGTTTGCCCGCAAACCCAGTGCTTTGTCTGCAATTAGGAATTGTACTGAGAAGTGTTTCTTCTTAACATCGTAAGTTTATTGATAAATTATATTTCAACACTAATATTTTTTAAAATGCCTTCAAAATAAATAATTTGCCATTTTTTAATAGGTCCCTGCGCCCAGTAATTGTTGAAAGTTATGAGGAACCGGATGAGTTTGATGGCTATCCAGAAAAGAATTTACCCAAGAAACATCCAGAATTTCTTCGTGCTCGTGAGGTAAATTTAATAATAATCGAACACTAACTTTGATCTTTAGTATTTTTTCTTTTAGTGGAATTTCTAATTTTTTTGTCCAATATTCAAGGTTGGACCCCGTTTCTCTGAGCCAAATAGCTTCGAACATGAATATGGTACCAGGTGGAAACAATTGCATGAACTTCACCGACAGAAAGAAGAAGCACTCAAAAAGGAGTTGGCTGCTGAAGAAGAGAAGCTTGAAGCTCAAATGGAATATGCCAAGTAAGTTTGACAAAAGTGCCAATATTGTGAATTTTTTACACTTTATGAATGTTTTATGGAATTTCTACATTTAGGGCAGTAATGTTTTACTGGAATTAAATAGTAAAAAAAATAAAAAGATATGATGCAATGGTATGGTGTTTGTTGTAGATACGAGCACGAGACGGAGTTGTTACGCGAGCAGCTGCGCCAACGCGAGCAGGACCGCGAGCGACAGAAGCGCAGCTGGGAGATGGCGGAGCGCGCGGCGGACGAGCGGCGCGAGGCGGAGCGCGCTCAGCTGCTGCGACAGGAGGAGGAGCTCTCGCAGCGCATGCGTCTGCAGGACGACGAGCTGCGTCGCCGCCAGCAGGAGAACACGCTCTTTGTACAGGTCACCTATTATACTTAGTGTAGATTTTCATATTGCACCTAAACTAAGGGGAACCACTTTAGAAGTGAGTGCAGCGGTTAATGTTTCGTTATGTATTAGTGTGGGTCATGGGATGCATTAATTTTAGTTTTCTCATCCATCAGGCAGCAGCACCGTTGGTTTCAAGGTTTTTTTTTATTTACAAACTGTAATATACTCAATAATATAAAAATATTAATATTATTTAAGGTTATTTAATTTATATTAATAACATTTAATATAAATTAATCAATCATAAATATCTGTGCGGGGGGTGGTATGGTTTATTTTTATAATATGTGATGTTTTAAAATTTCTCTATTGTCCACAGGCACAAAGATTGAACTCAATGTTGGACAGACAAGAACAGGGGATGTTTGATCAACAACAGCCAATGGTAAGTCATTTTGCATGTTTTACATTGACATAAAGTATAGCGGCAACATTTGCACACTGTTTGCAAGGTGATATTATATTGATATTTATTTCATTAATACTTTTTGCTGAAAGTAATCATTCTATTACACATTGCCAATGAAGTAATGGTTCAAGAAGATGATAATCAGTGCAATATAAAAAGGATCGTTGTCTATGACGTAGGCTTGCTATATATAAAAAAAACACGCTGAAAAATCTTAGAATATTTGGTAATATAAGCATAATATGATGTTATTTATATCTTTGACAGTATATTACGAGCAATAACCTATGTTTTCATTGAATTTTCGCTTTAACATAAGGTCTATGCTTCAAATTTAACTCGAAGGAAAAACAAATGCTATTACACTTTAAAATTAGATTGGTATTACATGTAAAAAAAAAGGTTCCTAGAACTATATCATGTACTATAATTAACATAATAATGCAACCAGCCATTGTTGCTGTTCTTTATTGTCGTCTATCAATAGTCAATTTATTATTTACTTATTATTATTGAAAATCTTTTACCGATCTTCTTTAAATTTCGCGCGCACTTGCTTACGATAGAAGAAGAAATGTATATACAATGAAGTAAGCAATGTGAAACAAAAGATAATTGCATCTGTATCTAAAACAATAGAGAAAGCTTTCAGGATATATATTTTTTGCTTGTTAAAAGATATCGTAATATCATGATCTCGCTAATTTGAAAACTCTACACCACAATTTGTTGACAAATGAGAGTGCAATGAATTCCATTTTGAAAATGATATACCGGGGGCTAGCACAAACGTATTTCAAATTCCTAAGTTTAATCTATCAAGTATTTTAACCGAAAGGTCCGAAAATTTAATTAAATCGTAAAAAATGGAACTAAAACCTTTAAGTATACAGCATGTTACAAAACACGTTTTTTGCTATAGAAAAAGAATACGAGATTTTAAATCTTATTTTTTTACGTCATAAATTTAACTGTAGGTTTCTGAGACCAAAATCCCCGTTTAAAACATATTGTTATCTCTGATTTCTCAAAGATAATGATAAGGATGACGATATGTTTATACGGCGATTTTGGTGTCAGAAACCCACAGTAAGAGAGAAAATATTCGACAATGCTCGATAGCCAGCCGTCAGAATGTACTTCACCGCAAAGTTCCTTAGTTACATTGTCGCCCAATAGGGGCGATGCACAAACTTGTACAAAAATTTGTCAACGTCGATACGAATACTTTTCTCAAATATATCATGCTAGCCGCCTGGTTCAAAAAAATCCATTGTGTGGATGATTTAGGAAATATGTTATTGTGCTATCTTCTGATATACAATTTAGTAACGGAATCTTTTACATTGATATTAAAAACATTTGTTTAAATGTTACAATGATCTTTATGAATTGACGATGTTATTTTATCTACATTGGTTAATTATATCTGATCTTATTGTACTTAATGAAAACAAGTTTTTATCCTATTATTCTTGGCTACTATCATTTTGTTAGTTTGTGACAGAATTAGTCACACTTTAGGTTTTTAAAAAGATCATGAACCATGAATTTATGTGTTGGTACGATTGAGATTTTTAGATAAACATGTGTGTTCACATATAAAGCACTATTAAACTTACCTTAAGGACATAAAATACATTCATAGGTATTACAAGATAAACTATCGCCATAATATTATGCCTATCATTGCGATGAACATTGCTATCGCCTTATAAAAAAGAGAAATAATATATAGAACAATATATTCGTAGCTAACATTTTTAATTAAATTTTAAGGAATTTTTAGTGATATAGTGTGTGCTGTAACAAAGGTTTTTAACTTAAAGGGCTATCTGAGACTTTGTTTTATTGCTTCAAATGACATACTTGTTGGAAATCAGCTGAAAATTATGAAAATGACGAAGATGCATATTTTTTCTATTTCTTTAAAACTATGTTCTTCTCAATTGCGTACGCCAAACTTAACATTAAAATGTAAGATTTGAGCAAAAATGTTTTACGTATAATTTATATCGACTACTATTTTCATCCGTGAAATTGCTGCTGTGTGTGTTCACAGTTCGGAGGTTTTTGGCCATTACATGTGTACAAATTAATTTGATTAAAGATGGTTAATTTGTTTATTTTCTGAATTGTTGGAGTTGATTCAACTCTTGGAGTGTAATCTTATGATACGGTGTGGAGTGAAATGATTGACAGCTTTGGAGTATCGTGTATTTTCCTATTCTTGTTGTGTGCTTCGAAAATTTATTTCAGATTTTTTACCATGACTGGATAAAATAAGACTACACATAACAAGAATCAATAGCTATCAGAACTATTTATTTTTAATTCGTCGACCAAACGAAATTCTATTCTAAATCACACACATATGGAGTAGGTCTAGTAAGACATCAGCGTTGTGCCAATAAATCAAAAACCAAAATACTAATAAAATTACCTCATAGTAGGTTTTAGATGTTTGCATAAAAAGTCAAACAAGATGTTGTAGTGGCGTGTAAGTTAGGTATATTGACTTTTCTACATTTTCTCCGATGGAGTGTTTGCCCTCCTTTCTGAATCTTTTTCACAGGTTGGATTGCAACCTCCATAATAACGAGTTAATAAATCAGAATAAGTTCAGTAACGTTTGACAATGATGAGTAAAAATCATATTTATCGTCTCAGATAGCCCCATGTTGTAATACACCTTCTGTTGTTCATCATTGTATCACTTTTAGTCATAAGAATTTTTGGTGACAAAAAGAAATATTGGCCACATTTATAATTGCCCACTTTAGGAAGGAGGCTTCAGAGAGCAGTACGACATGCCGCGCGGGGGCTATGACGACATGCCGCCGCAAACCCGCGGTTGGGACGGGCCCCGCCATATGGACGATTATCCTAACAAACGCCGTCGGTTCTAACCGCTTCCTTCCCACGTGACGGCACAAAAAACGTCACATTTGACTGCATGAGCAGTCTTAAATCCCGTGTCTTTAACCATTCGGTTAGCCACGATTAAAAATTAATTATTATTTTATTTTATAAGAGCTGCGTCAACAGAAATTCTCTTCTGTGAACTAGTACTTCGCTATTGCATATTGCGATTTCGCAACATTTGTACTAGGTGATTACCGAACCGAGTGCACGCAAGCAAGGCAAGTCGAAAGCGCTTACAACTTGCCCATACGATTTCCCTGTTATTTTTACCCGACTGACTCGAAAAGTGTGTTTTTATTAATTTAATATTTAGTAATATATAATTTTTATTGCCGAAATGATACAACTAAATGTTTTAAGCGGTTTTGCGTAAAAATACAATTTAGTTCAGTCAATCCTAATCCTACTTTGTAAAGTGGACGAGGTAAAATCTAAAGCTAAGCATCATAGCTATAATGTGTGCCGCAAATACAGGAAATTTGAATGTTAGTAGTGCACTTAGTCGGTATGTAGTTTAGTTATTCGAAATATAAGAAAACATCTAATATTATAAACTTTTTAATTGTTATTTGCAGTATGATAAATTATAAGATTATTTGATAGTTTAAAAAATCATTTATTTATCTTTTACTTAACCTACTTAAACGTGGGAAAATAGACAATGATAACTAAAAATGTTTCTCTCTTAAAGTTATATTAGGAAATTGTAAGTTTCGCTTAAGTCCATATAGTAATAAATCAATTATTTAACAAAGTTATAAAAAATCTTCACAATATAAAACTCAGAATGAAATTTAAGGCATCTTATCTTTATTGTGAAAATTAGTAATAGATTCTCCATCAAGAAAGACAATTTATCTTGTATCCTGAGACAAAATTTAAACTTCTTAATTGCACTTATCAGATTTTTTAAATATTTTTTTCGTCAATATAAAGATGAATAGTTCATATTGACGAAAAGAACATTTTTATTCTTAGCAAAGTAGAGTTGAACAGCCTTTAACTTTCCTAATTTTTTTTTTAACTTATATAAAGTTATATCGAAGCTAAAATGCCATTTACAAAAAAAAAACTATTTAATCAGTTGAGAAAAGATTGATTTTCAAATGTGGTCATGTATTTAGCGCAATTTTTTTGCAACCATTTTTGTTTGTTTTCACTTTACTCACTGAAACAGAAGAGAATTTTATTTTAGTATTCTCGTAAATATAAATTAATTTTATTTTAACTTTTATGATTTCCCTCTTGCATGTTGTCTGCAACATTACATTATTCTGTAATGATATGAGGAAGCTAAAAATGCAAAAACCATCGATTCAGCTGCTTGGGACTGATTTCTCACACACATAGAGACGTAACAAATATTTCTAATGAAAAAATCAAACAGTAAAAGGCAGGTTATTTCTCAAATAAAATAACTAGTGTAAACATTACACACTCAATATGCATATTTTTGAAGTATTTGCTACGTCGCTGTGGTGAGAATGTCCAGGAGAAAGCTACTTTGTAATAAACTTATTTTGTCAAGTATCGCAATGCTATTCAGAACTTGTGAATTTCTTACCAATAAACCCATAAAGAGTGTTTTTTGGTAATTAATTTGCAGGTTATGAATCGCTTACGAAGTTTGCTGCGTAGTTATTGAAATCGATGAAAATTAGCATCGTGTTATTATTGTAATGTCTAAAGAATTTTCATAAATAAATGTTTTAGATCTAAGCTCTAATACTTCGATTCATTTATAAACTACACATACCTATACACCATTCACTATTTAATTAACATTATGTTAACAATATTGATTTTTCAATCCTTCAATTTCAACATTAATCTTGTCAGTTCAAACAAATCTTCTTATGATACGGGCCTTTATTCAGAGCCCAAAAAGGTCATGGGCATTTTCGTACGTGGTGGATAACAAAAAAGTTAAACCCTATAGCTACTCTATAAATTAATAAAGACAATTGGCTATCACTATATATTTTACGTTTGTTTATTCACTGAGTCAGTCAAGATTTTCATGTACGCCGATAGATAGAAACCCACCGATCCGTTTTAAAAAAGTTAATTACTTCTAACTTATTTTTAGCAAGCCATCCATTACCAGACTTACAATTATGATAGTGAATAATTCGGCAGGGAATGTAATTGTAATCGACGACGAGGTCACAGAAAGACAGCTAGTAAGCGATAAACATATCGCGGTCCCTTGGACTTTCGTCTATCCAGGTTAAAATAGTATTTTTTTCTACTTTAGTACCATTACATCAAAAGAAGGGTATGTCTTTAATCTAAATCTTGTAAAGACCTACATATCTACAGATGTCCACCTATCCATCTAGTTAGTAATTCTATAGCATTCCATGCATTCGTTTTTATACATCCTTTATTTTCTTTTTCTAGATATACTAGTTCATTGTTTCTCATACTTTTTGGTGTACTACGCAGTTTAGGAAAAGTTTACCTCGTAACGCCCCCATTATAAACTTCAGAAAAATCTCACTATTGCGGTACCTATTCTTGCCATTGCTCAATTTCATTTAGCGACCCCCTGACTTCAAGCAAAGTTATATTTACATGATCTTTCGTATTCACTGCACTTTGAGAAAGATCCTTGTATATTTTTGCTATGTATCTGTTTATCTAGATGCTAGAGCGATGTTTTTTTTAAATTATTTTAGACCAAATGGCTATAATTATAAGTAAAATCAGGTAAGTGCTTTTATAAATGTCTATTGAGAGTACAAATTCTGTTAACACGTTTGACTGATTGATCGAATCTGATTGCACTTTGTATGATTTTTTATTTTACCTTTTTCTTATACTTATAAGATAAGGAATGATCGAAGAAAATATTGAGGGAGTGCGTGAAAGAGTATATGTTTTAAAAAGAAAATTCAGATTTGACAGCTGATAAACATTGTATAGAAGAGCAGTACATACTGCCGACTCACCGTATATGAGGTTTTTGCCATGTCTTGTTTCGTGAAGTTGAGAGTTTAATATTTGCGGGAACTTTGAGTGTGATACAATGCTATGAACATTTTTCTTATTCATAATGTCAAAAGAACTATCTAGCTATCTTTTAATATAGAGTTGTTTTGACTCTTGTTCAGATTATTTGTCCTTAGCTTAATTTAAGTCCAGCTCAGATTTTGTAAAAATGCTAAAGATAATGGGAACTAAGCTTTGCCAAGGCTCTCTGCTACTTACTGCTGACCTCAAAAGAATAGCGAACGTAATCACGCATGCCGAGGAATAAAGGACAAGGCCATCGAAAACCAAACCCAATTCCCAAGGGTTAAACAGAAGAAAAGACGTCATCAAAGGTTATAATGGACTGAAGTGATCGATTAACATAGTCCAAAAGATTTATTCATAATATATTGAATAAAATATGAAATATGAAGTAAATTAAAATCAGCAGTTGGCTACTACTGAAGTCTTAAAGATTCGATTCTACAGTAATAGTAGATCCGACGGACAAGCAAGAATCAAGGTATATATGGTAAGTTTTAAAGGTGCTAACACAGGATGAGCAATAACTATAAAACGCACTTGAATGAAACGTAGACGTACAAATTCATATAATTAAGCTTTTCAAATAAAGCTGTCTTCAAAGAATGCGTTAATAATATTTGTTTCCTCAACAACGTATTTTGGACTTATTTGTTTTTACTAATATAATATACAATTCAATATTGTCTAGAAATTTTGAAATCTCAGTAGTGCCTGTGTTAGCATAGACATGACAGGTTAAGCTGTCTTATAAAGTTACTAATATTAAAATGTTTTGACTTATGAACATAAATATTTATTTATAGAAAATCTATCATAGTTTGCAAGTGTGGTGATCTCATCTACATTGAATTACAGAAGTTGAACTGTATACTTTTTGATGAATATTCTGAAATGCATTATATGAAAATCTTATCATACAAATCTATATTTCGACTAACACGCGAAATATTAATTTATTTAATGACATCTTTATGACTTTCCTTGCAGGTGTTTTTTACAGTGATAATCCCGTTTAAATCGAGAAGAGTTTGCATAGATTGTGTTCTTCTGATTCGCTCGATCCTAACACAAATTTTATTTCGCGTATACAATTATCCTTTGACTAATTCGATTTCTCGATAATATATCATCTATATTTTCTGTTGTTCCAAATTCAGTTGTCTACTTTCAGTAAACTTTCAGTCGTTGAACTAAAGAAACACCCATTGATTTGTATCCTTACGAAATTAAAAGAAAAATAATAAAATGGCTTCCAGTGACTCGATGTCCATGGACGTCTACTTTTAACCTTCAAATGTTTATTTGTCCCCGCCCCTCATTAATAAAAAACTTGTACCCCTAAATCCTTTACGGATGACAAAATATGGCGCCTCGTGACATGTCGCACAGTCTGATCGGCTGTCGTTGTACCGTCACTGCCCATTATTACTACACATTGAATATGTACCATATAAAGGTGAAGAGGGTGCAGCCACAGTTTGTTTACCACCTTTTTGTCAGTACATCAGGACAAACTTGCTTGTCAAAAGATTGTATTTCCTTGTACTGCCGTGAGCAGATATATTTAATATTGCTTCATTGTCATAACGTTGTATCCTCTGGTCTTACTCCGTTTCCTTTGATTGTAATACGAATACGTACGAATCCAGTAATGTTCTACTTCAATTTAAATAATACCAGAACTATATAACCAGATATTTTTAAAACTTTGTCCCATGTTTCTTTCAGCATCATTTTTTTTTCTCGAGAAGTATTTCTCAAATAGTAAACGTTCGGAAATATTGCTTGAAGAATTTTTTTTAGCCTACGGTACTATTTAATATTCAGGAAATAAGAAGATTCAAGAAAGAAGATATGAGTCGATCTCCCTTGCTGGGAGGAAAATGTTTAGGTGGGTACTGTCGCAGAACTTATGCTTTGTAGTTCTGAGGGTTAGGAAGAGTAATTTTAAACTATTAAGTAGTTCCAAAAACAAGTTAATGGTTAATAACAACGGTTTAAACAAGTTTGACAAAAACATGAATAGCTGTGACAAATTTTCACTTTTCGCAGATTTTTCTAGTGGAAGCAATATGGATTTGGTATCATTTTTTAAATTATTTTTTTTGCAATTTGCGCAAAAATGAACCAAGCGTTGTAATTTTCGTTTTAATTTCCTTTATCTTAAAAGCCTATTTTTGAGACAGAGTTTTCCTCGCGTTTCGGTACGAGAAAGTGTACGCAGTTCGCAGAGATAAAAATCGTCATAATAACACATCAAAATGTTTACATAAGGACGAGCACTAAATTCTGATCTAGAAATTCCAACTTTATTGAAACAAAAAAGAAAAGTACAAATGCATACAGTGGAGTCCCCTCAGCTCATGAACTAACGTTGATCTGTTTCTCATGAGCCAACGATTGTCATACGTGATAAGCAAGGCACTTATTGCGAGGCGTTAATTTCTTGTGCCTGTTTGTACATTCTTTAGAGAATCTCGACGTGTAAAACGTGATCTCGTACGAAGGTTGGAACAGTTTTCAGTGCGAGATTTGTCATTCGAGTTCAACGGTACTAAGAATGCTTACACGGATACAATCAATATTTTATTTGCTAGGCAATTATCGCCAAAGTAGAAGAATCAGCGGGGCTAGACAAAGTGCATTCACTACGAAGCGATATTTGGAACAAAAGTTAAAGTCTACAATCCTAAGTTTTACATGTTTAGTCGTGAGTAAAATTTTATGTTAAGGATTTAAAAAAAATAATAAGCTTTGTAATTCACCTTAAACTTTGAGGGAAGTTGTAGAGGAGGTTAATTTTTTACATTGTATTTAACAGCTAATGAATTTTTGATTTTACAGGAATGTTAAACGCCTTCTATGGAATAGTTGAAAGGATTTAATTTGCTACATCCCCACTTTCCAATTCTTTGACGTTTATTGATTTATATAATAACTTCCTAATAACAATTCCTAATAATAACTATAGGATCTTCCGTTTATCACGCGAAGCTCAAAAGGATGGAATTTTCGAGATATATTGACGGAATATCACAATGAAGGGGGGAATATAATGTGATATCACGTGTGTTTTCACATATAATTTATTTTCTGTCATATAACGAAATCTATTCTTAAGAATCTTTAGAATAGATTTCGTTGTTTCACAGAAAATATGAGGTTTACCTCATTACACATCAACAGCGGGGGAAGCGGTAAATAATTGTTGATTGACATCGCGAGATTAATGGTAAATCCTTTACAGTGAATTTTAACTGTCTTGACACTTATATAATATAATTGTCATTTTTATTTATTTCAATGAGAATGAGAGCGATGGCAACATTGTTATTTAGGACACATGTATTACGACAGTGGAAACACACCGTGCGTAGCGCGAACTGCATTTAACGTGACCCGTGTGCAGCAAACAGCATGTCACCTTTTCATACTGCTTCTTCGTAATTAGAAATGAACGACCATCTGTATTTGTAAGTTATAATCTACATATTTAAAGGTAGATTTTTTAATTGAATAACTACATGGATTATTTGTTCACGAACTGCATGTCTGCGGCGTTTTAACCGTGATCCTAATTACTCCAGAATAATCTACAAATACAAAAGGTAGATAAAACATAAGAGAGAGACAGAGATATATTAAGCTTTGACTAATTGAGAGCTTAAATAATAATTAGATTCTCACCTGTATCAATTATTGATGTTGAAAGAATAGAATACCTCCGATGTAAGTCTGTGATGGGCAATGATGTCAGTATTTCTCTAATTATTAATTTAGTAAATAATATTTATATGTGATCAAAAACTTTGGGGAGTAAGTGGCCTGTTTTTTTGGGATATTTCCGCCTCTAAAGTGTTTCGCCTGCCCGTTTGAGTCTAAATAATAGTTGGGGATAATAAATTAATGCAAAAGTTGGGGGTACGGTAAAAATCTAATTCGCATTTGTTATATTCGAGATTACTAAATTTACATTCAAAACAAATAATTCAATATCTAGCTAATTATTATATCTTAAAATTACCAATTACTGAATGTGTTTATTTACCATTGTGCAGACAAAATGTGACATTTTACAAATTTAAACTGACATAGTCATGTTGCTAGATATTATATTTCAATTAAATGCTTCTATATTAATCTTTAGTACGTAAGTATTTATTTATGAAGTTAAATACGTTGAAAGTTCGTTGAGTAGGCGTCACTTACCTTTTGTTCGCTTTGAAATATATTGGTAGGTTTACGATGATGTCTACTTTGTTAAAAACTTATGAATTTGCTTATCTTTTCAATTTTCTTCTTTGTAATGCTGTTATATTGTTTCGTGTTGATTCTATTATAATAACTAAATGAGATCGAAACTTTATTACCTATTTTCTATAAATACTAGTACAGGATTAAATTAATAATTTTTACCACGTTCAGTGCCACTGTTTTGCATTATTAAAGTGAATCTGCAACCTGGTGGCATTGAATGTGTTAATCATTCCATTTTGTCTTTTATTTATATAAATCTGACATAAACATTATGTTCACAGGTATCGGTGTATAGCTAAGGGAGACCTGTCGTCATCCTCTACTACAGGTAATTACATCTTTTATACTCAATATTAGATTCACATTTATAATATTATTAAGATGATAAAAGAGAGCGTCGGTGGCTCAGGTGTTAAAGCACTTGACTTGCAATCTGCAGGTCCTGGGTTCGAAAGTTCTTACGGTGGGGGAAAACATCGTGATGCAACCTGCACATATCTGAGACGAAATTCAAAGATATGTGTGAAGTCAACCAACCCGCACTGAACCAGCGTGGTTGACTATGGCCTAATCACATAGTTTAGGGTAGGCTCCGAGCCCCTCAGGACTTATAGTGAGTTAATGATGAATGATAAAACATAATTATAACTGCATAAATAACAACAAACAACAATCTTGCCGTGATAACTGTTTAAAATAAAATTGTAGAAGTTTGTCATATCTCTATATAAGTGTAAAATAATCTCTTTGTTCTAGGTGGATGTATCGCTTCTAGCGATTGTCGTATAACGTACCCGAAGCAATTATTTAAGCAAGGTATGGATAACTCTAATTTTCGTTTTAAATAATTTGAATCAAATGTTTTGGTATAATGATGATTACGATACATTTTGTCTTCTTTTCCCGACGGATGCACAATGACGCATAACTTATAATTTCTGAAAATACAATATGATCTTCAAAGTAAATTGTCTGTTTAAATTTTTGCTATACATAACAAATAAAAGAAAAATATAAATTTTGCTTTGTTAACAGCTCCAAGATACAGTTTACAAAATAGAAATGTAAACATTTGTGGTTCGTTTAACAAACGAAAACCATATATTTAATTTTTTAATAGCAAATATTTCTGTGTAGAATGTGCTATTATAAATTAGTAGGATAATTGTGGATTTTGATAAAAGTCATGTCAGTTTGTAAATAAGAATCTTTGAAGTTCATATTGAGATTTAGTTATTTAGAAATAATTATGTTCAATCAATGAAACGTAGTAAAGCTGTTATTTTTGTTGCAGAGGCTGTCCGGTGTGGGGCGCAGTCGGGAACGTTCATACGCATGGCTGTAAATTGCTAATCATCGTCTTATATAACATAATTAACATATACAGAATAAATATCTTTAGTGGAGTATGTTATGAGTTTACACTGTACAAAAAACTGTTAAGCCGCTCATTCTCAAAAAAATAGAGATGTTTTTGTATAAGTGTTGAAGCAGTGAAAACTATAGCTAGTTGATAAACATGTTTTAGAAATTTCTATTTAGTAGATGAAGCGTTTTTAAAATACGCTCAAAAGATCTTAAAATATTTGTGTAAAAATAAATATAAATTTTCGCTTATAAATGTACATTAAATGAATCAAGGTCCATGTTTATAGGAATAATACTATTTTTAATATACTACAAAGTTAAACAATTTTTCTAATAGACTAATAACCTACTAATAATAGTAGCAAGTATTAAGTATATTCTACTATTAATATATGTGTATTATTTTGAATTCTAAGCAGGGCCACAATTAAACTGTTTGTCTTTCCAGTTGTAACAACCGTAGATAGAATAACCTACTTTGGTGTCAGCTTTAGTTATGTTTTTATTGGTGAGTTTATATGTACTATTTTTTGATAGATAATTTTACTAAATTAAAAGTAACCTATAAACATTATCAACGTTCTCAAAGTTTAATATTAAGTGTATCTGACTTACCGTGGGATTCCATCGTTGAAACATCCGTATAAAAACATTGTTTTTTCTCTCATTCTCTTCAATTTGTCTTAGATACTTAATCCGGACCACAAAAGTAAAAGGCCTCAGAAAGGTTTTTTTTTAAATTCCCAAGTGTTTTTTACATTTTGAAAATCGGCTCGATTAGATGTCAATGTTATATAAAGCACTCCACATATCTATGGTACAGCAGTTTCCAGTGGAAACCCGCGGTGACGTTAAAATTAATTTAATAAAACAAAAATATTTATGTGATGGTTGTTACAAATTGTTAATATGATGATTCACTTTTATTTGTCTTCTTTTCCCGACTGATGCATTATGACGCATAACATCTTACTTTCTGACATTTTATTGAGAGAAGCAATTTATTTGAACTTTAGTGTCATTTTCTTATTTTTTTTTACTTTTTGTTTCAGATTGTTTCTAAACGAAGATTTAAAAATAAACTGTGATTTTTCCTTTCACTTACTTTATAATGTTTTTAAATGAATTGTTATTTGTGTTGTTGGTGTAGATATAAGTATGTCTGATCTCTATTGTAAATGTATCTTAAAATAAGACAATAAAATCATATCACTTTCTGAACTCACTGTGTTTTATTTTTTTTAAGCATGTTTTTTAGGAAAAAGGTAATATAGTCCCTCTCCGCGAGCAAGAACCTTAACAATGAGTTGAAAATTTTGTGCCAAGTCTATTGTGGCGCTATGGTGGCCAATATTATTGCTTGAATGTAAAAACCGACCATAAACAAGCAAAAATAATTCGCTTATTGCCAACTTATATTTCTAAAAATTAATACAATTGTTTATATATAATTAACGTCTTCTATTGCATACGGTGGGGCGCTATTTGTGCGAAGATAGTAATCTCCTCTACTATCCGGGGAGGCGAGATATCCCATTATTGTTTTATTCTTTCTGCAAAGACCCATTTTAAAATTTTCCCAGATATCGCAAGGGTAAGCCTTGAATCCTCTACCATGCGGATATCCTATCGATTCTGCGAAATAAATTGCGGCGCGTCCGTGGCTGCAGCTATCTGTAATATATTGATAAAGACCTCTAAAGTATTATCTAGCCGTAATGATATACCAGGATGCTTTTTAATGTCAAGTTTTGTAACAAATATTTTATTTAGTCATCAGAATTATATTTAACTTCCTAGCTTTTTCTTATGGAAGGTCTCAAAATAAATGTCTTTATTTACGTTACAAAATACCGGACTCAGATTTGCAATGAGTTAGACCTGTAACATCTTATTCTTGTGTATATGTAGGCTTATCTGTTTGACTTAATTTGATAATCAAACAACTGCTTATCCAAGGGAGTAAAAAACAACCTAATAGTTCCCGTTTTGGTGGACATCCAGGCTGATCAGTGGTGCCTTCGTTGGGATAAAAGTCAGCGTGACCGTAACTATCCTCGTAACCAAACAGTCCGGCGCACGTATGAATTATATCCACAAAGTGCGCGTCGCTTTCGTCTAAACGAAATTCTGTTGGCAATAGAGGTAATTCAAACAATGGTCTTGCTGGATCTAGACCTGAAATTATTTGCATATGTAAATAATAGGTTAACTAATTTTTTTAATGATCCTTAAATTTAACACGAGAGTTCATAATCAATTATAAATTTATATACTAGTAATTTAAGTGAAAAATTGAATGATTTTGTGTTAATTTAGCCATACCTACCAGTTATTCTGTGCACTTCACTATTTAAAAACATGCCAGCATACCCCATGACTTGAGCTCCTAGACTATGCCCGATCAGATGCATGCGGTGACGACCTACACCATAGGTGTTTGTGCATGCATCAAGCAACTTCGCCGTTTGTTTACCCACGAACCGAGTAATTAAGGCTGACCATGGATATATCGGATTTTTAGCGAGATACGCCCAGTCAATAGTTATTACATTTAAATCGTAATGTTGTAAGAGTGTATCTTTTATACTTTGCAGCCAGCCGACCTGGTAGTCTGACATCCAGCCGTGTGTCACAACTCTAATATCATTGGAACCATTGAAGTATATACTCTTCAAATACTCTTCATCATTAGGAATAAACAACACTTCTGGATCTTCTCTATTGTTCCTACGTGAGATGGAAGATAATTAGATTAATGTCAACCTTAAAGTTTACAAAGGCGATGTAAAGTTTACCTAGTGTATAAGTAAAAGACAGGCTTCCCATAGCGTATGCCATGAGAGGGTAGAACGGAGAAATTCAACAGGTGCCGATTTAAGGCTTCGTCGACTAACATCAGCCAGCTGTACCCGTAGCCGTCTTTCATATCATCTTGACACTCTATCGAACCTAAGCAGGCAACTAAAAACAATATTAAATTTAATTACGATATATGTACATACTTCTTTAAAAATAGATGGTTACCTTCAGTCAAAACTTTACAGAGTAATAATAAATTTGTCTTGGGTCGGTTCCCGAGTTTTATTTTTGTAATCTTTGGGCTTAGAATGAAAATTCTTCACCTCAGGGATAATAAAATATTGGTAAAAAAATATTTACCGAACAAAAAAACGATGTAAATATGGCACCATCGCCGGAGCATCGTTAGCGTGTGCACACATGCCTACTTTGCCCTGTCTTATTACTAGCCTGAGTAAATTAAAATTATGCAAATATCCTATACTTAGTACTTTTATACTTTTTAGGTAAACGACGATTAACAAAGTAATTTCCGTTAAACAAGTCCTAAACTTGTCCTTCTTTGTGACCTAGTTACTGACGTTCAAGATAAATGTAATATTTCATGTTGATACTTATGTCTAGTTAAAATATTGTTTACAGTTTATTTACAGACAGTGTCAATGTAATTTACTTGATAGAAGAGGCTTGCTCTAATTCTTTTGATGTAATAAAATATATTAGCTTCATTATAAGGTCACTGTATAACGATAGGCCTTGGTTATGATATAACTGAAAGATGTGAGCAAAAAGTCAACTTGCGCCTGAAAACCGTAACTACCTACAATAAAAAAAAGATAATGTTAATTGTCAATCTTAATTGAAATTGCAAATGATGAACGGAGAAGATACAAATAGAGGATATTTTACGATCCTATGCGTCTCCTCTTCCGCATAATCTACGTCCTCTACCTAACATTTTCTGGTAAGAAAAATTCCGCCACACACTTATCAGACTAATTTAAAGAATGTAAGATAATTGAGAACCGATATTAACAATTTTTCTTCTTAACTTCAGTTAATTTATCATTGATTTTCAAGTTCCATTTTATTAGAGTTTTGAAGTTTCGACAACATAAACGTGACATGCAAAGATTAATTGGGGTTTGGGGTAATAAAAATGAGACACATTTTAAATCATAGCAACGTTATTGTATTTTCTTTTCTGAATTGAATCCTTTGTGTGCTTACACAGTAAACACTGATTTCAACACTTACAACTAAAAATATTCTATAAAACAAAAGTAAATGTATACATTATTGAGTTTTATAGAAGTCTGGCTTGTGCAATTCTTTATTCTTCATTAAGGCAAACTTAGGTATCGAGATACGAGTGAGTAAAGTGTAAAGTGCGCGGTAGGATGCATTGTACGCTCGAATGTGTGTTGTGCTCAGTTACTGTGCAGGACAAAGATTCGGCGCTCCCGCGGCCCACACGCAGCCTACCCGCGGCGTACGCGCGGCTCATCCGCGGCCACGGCGCAGCGCCGACGTGCACCAAACACTCTTTACTTACTTCCATTATACAAACTGATATATATTTAGTTACATTATTCTAATAATATTGCTATCTTTTTCATTTTAGTCTATAGAAATGACAAAAAACTTGCAAAGTGCTTTATTTCCATATTTAAAATTAAGTTACAGGAAGTCTCAGCTTTTAGAATATCTAAATTGAATATTTAACTCAAATAACAAATTGTTAGATCGTGAACCATTCAAATTGTAATTTTCAATAGTAAATTTTAGTTGTTGGAAGATGAAAGAAAAGGACTAGTTATCACATGATTTTATGTTTTTGAGCCATATTTGTACCTTTATTCATTATTATAGTTACAGAACAACATTACAAGTACAAATGAGGAATAAATTACAGAAAAATGAAAATAGAATTTAACACATTTCTTTTGGTTGGTACGCTTGATATGACTCTGAGTTTTATTTATGACACGGCATGTTTTTGTAAAATCCTTTGCACACAGCTGAATCTGGCTTTAACGGTTTATTGAACACACTTAATGGTAAAAAATAGCACAGTTATTTATAATTTAATTCTTTTCGGTCCCATTAGAACTTTTTCTAGACACTTTTCTATTTTCAATAACGATAGACCCTTTCCACTTCAACTATTACTACTTGTAACTTAGTTAAAGTTTGCCTTTAAGAGCTTAGTTCGACTGACCGTGAATTTCTGATACCAAAATCCCCGTTTAACATATATTGTCATCTGTTTTTGTCAAAGATGACAGGGATGACCATACATTTTATACAGAGATTTTGCTGTCAGAAAGGCACGGTAAGCCATCGAAATGATGATACCAAATGAACTGATTATTCGCACCATGAATATAAGATGTGTGCAAAAGTTTTTACTTTTTTTCAATTCAAATAATGTTTTCAATATATCCGTATTTTACCGAATTGTATCATATTTCTTACATAGGAAGACTTGCGGGTAAAATGTTATTATCAAAAATTGCTACATTCAATAGCAACGGCTCTTCAGTCAAAATGTAAGAAATGTTTTCAGTAACAAAGGATCATATTAAATACATCGTTTCCGTACTATTGCCTTGTGATAACAATAATATATTGGAATGCGTTTGATCAAATAGAAATTATCAAAATTCTTGCTCCTTTATATCACAGAAGACCGTTTATCTATCTATCTTCTGTTCATCTTTCCTTGTATTGTATTCATTCGCAATTTTATAATAAGAAAACAAAGAATTTGAAATATCCAATAATTATTTAAGATGTCGATGTATATTTTGTTGTATTGCTGATGAATACAATAAAAGGTCAAGTTCAATTTGTTTGCACCGACGGTATCCTTTACGATTATTCGTATAAATTATATCACTCGTAGAATTATACATCTATATTCATTTTATATTGTTTTGTGATATGCGCAATGTAAACGTTCCGTGAGACGCATATTTCAAATAATTGTAAAAAACTACTTCCAAAAAAATCGATCTTTAAGAAATACAACAAAATCGTTTACAGAAGTAAAGGAAGAAAATAAGTTCAAGAAGTAATAAATCGACAAAAAAATCTTATATTATATACGTTCTTGACTCGAAATTTACAATTGGTCAGTCGAAAAAATTGAGCACACGATATTCCAATAATTACACAAAACAGTGGATAACTTATTGCACAAATTGCGGTCACTAACGATCTAAAAATTTACGCTAACGCGGACGCGCCTAGATGTAGGTGGAGACCGAAACCTATTGTACGTGTTTAAAGTAACGCTCCGCGACTTAACTCTACTTGTTCTTCTTCGGCAGTGAACTAAATGATGCTTTCTGACTTGTGTGTCGCCATTTGACGACAGCCTGCGACACTAGCGCCATTGCCTCGCGACGCATCGCGCAGGCACTAACTGCACCTTAACATACCTACCTATCTATATATTAATATCGAGTTATTTATTCCGATTTATTTAAAGCGTACATTTTATACTTATATCGAGGTCCTTAGTATTCCAATGTCGTAGTCTCAAAAAATAAATCGACTTACAAAAATTGAAATGATATGAAACATGTTACGTGCATATTGCGTGTAAAAAATCCATAAAAAACACTGTAATCTGTACCGAGTTTAAATCTATCAACAAAATAATAACTAAACAGTCTTCACGTTGACTGGTCACCTACTTATAAGTTATAACGAGTGTTCAGGTGGGATTCATAAAGGAACCGAGAGGTAAAACGTACTCAATATAACATCACCATAAATTTATAAACGGCAATACGTGGATTCACATTCGTAAAACATAACCTCGATGAAGTGAGGCCATCACATCCCCGCCGGTCGCTTGCAATGGAAACAAGAAAGCGGAAAACGAACAAAATATAAATTATCAAACCATAACCATTCATAAATGACAAAAACAACTTTAGAACCTCGGTCGTTAATTATTTAAATAAATAGACCATATCTAATGTGTTACTTTACATATGTACAGTTCAAATAAAATATACAAAGGTACACAATAAAATAAAATTAATAATTTGTACTTGGAAAAGAAAATCTGTCTCGTAACATTAAACAAATATCCTTTTATCATCTGCCCGATCTATATTATGCCTAAGTCTACCTAAGATTATTTTGTCTTTTTATATTATTACAATACGTCGCGCGGCCGTGGCCGGTGTCAGGACCGGCGCGTTTGCAATGTACGTTTGCAATGTGGCAAGAGGAAGCGTCGCGGTAACACGGGCCGCGGTCGCGCGCTCTCTAAACTTTATTCGTAAATAGTTAATATTAACTACAATATAATGTTGGTATGAGCGGTGTCGTGGATGCTATCCCGCTCATACCTAAAGCGTTTAGGAGAACGTGTTCCCGCACTGCCTGCCCGCCATATAACATAACACTCACAACGCATTACATTCTCGTTACTCCCCATCATTCGTGCTTTCTGGTCTCCTAGTACAGCATCGTCGTTACACTTGAAGTAATTCGACGTACTTTGATCATAACCTATGCGATGTCTTGCAAGTACATTGTATAATTAATTGACATTCATATAGAATAAACAAAGCAGGCAGTGCGAACGCAAAACGCCACGGCATCCACATTTTATATCTAAGTATAATATTATACATTAATATTATTACAGTCAAACAGTTTCACGACGTGAAGTCCTTCTGGCTAAGTACTTATGTGTGTAGGTCGTCGCCAGCGCCACTGGCTGGCGGCGGAGGTGGGATTTATATAAAACTAAATAAACAATAACGTAACAAAATCTATTTCATAAACAAATGCAACGACCACCAAAGTTCATCAAATCATTATTAATTTGCGCGAATACGCAATATAAAAATAATAAATACGAATTACAAATGTGTCACATTGTACATTCAAAATGAATATGTACTAGGTGTGTCCTGTGGGCCGTCTAGGCTCGTTGCAGCTACACCACTGCGCTTGCATCTAGCGGTCTGTGCGACACTAACTTCTTCCTCGCCCTCTTCCTTTCTATTTCGAAACTTCTAGTGTGGCACAACCCTATATGCAAAACAGGTTCTAATATACCTATACGTGAAACAAAACATACTTTCACTGAGTTTCCATAAAATGTTTGTAGAAAATCTACGATTCTCAAACTAACTCGTTGGGGTTTTTGAGAATTTCTATGCAAGGTATTAATTGTGCACCAATGTGATTTAAAAATTAATTTAATCGCGCATTATATTTCGACAACCCTATTAAGACTTCGGAACGCTACGAGTTAGGAATTTCTACGATATCGTAATTATCGAGTAAAAAGTCATATCGAATATTAAAGTTGGTTCCTCGGTTCCAGAAAACGGAAAAGAAAAGGTTTCAATAAACTGATTCGGTGTAAGCCGATAGCTAACGAAAGTATGCAGGAGAGCCGAGTCCACCGTTATATTTTAGGAGTGTAGGAATATAATCCAAATGCAAGATTATTCTAAGCCGTCCCAGGGAATGCGGTGCGATGATTATTTTCAGCAGACGGTTTCTGCGGGGGCGGGCGGTGACAGGGGAGAGAGAGGTGACAGCGTAGAGAGCGTCGCCAGGGGAGAGAGCGGAGAGAGGGGCGGAGGCGGCGCCAAGGGCTCCGGAGAGCGGCGCCGCAGCGCCTGTCGCTTGCGGAACTCCAGGAACTCCTCCTTCATTGCCCGCACTCTCGCCTCCACGTCGTCCCGCGAGGGCCGCGTGCGCGTGCGCTCCGGCGTAGAGGGCGTGGGCGTGCGCGTGGCGCGGTCCCACTCGTAGTGCACGTCCACGGAGCCCGCGTCGGCCGCCTCGCCGGAGGGAGGGCGCGCTGGCGCGGGCGGCGGCGGTCGGTAGGGCGGCGGCCGCCACTCCGCCAGACTCCCCGTGCGACTGCTGCGGTTGTGCTGCGAGGACGCATTCTTGCTACCGAAGCCGCTGGAGGAGGAGCGGCTTTCCGGCGAGGCCTCGTGCGGCGGCGGCGCATCGGGACGCAGCCGGCCGTGGCGCCGAGGGCGGGCGACGGCGCGGAACGCCAGCTCATGCGGCGGCAGAGCTTTCAGGAAGGAGGGGGGAGTGGGGAAGGAGCCGTCGGCGGAGCTGGGAAAGGGCACGGAGCTGAGGTCGGAGACGTGCAGTGGCGACCAGGGCGCCCAGGCGGGCCAGAGGGGCCAGGGCGGCCAGGCGGGCCAGTGTAGGGCGAGCGCGGGCGAGGAGGCGCGGAAAGGCGCTACGGGCGCCGGCGCGGGGCGGGGCAGGAAGCCGCCGTCGTCGGAGGAGGAGGGCGCCGGGGAGGGCGCGGCGGCGGAGGAGGGCGCGGGAGAGACGCGCCGCACCACGCCCCAGTAGCGCGCCTCCTCGCCGCACCGCGTCGCCGGCCAGATCCAGTTGGCGGTGAAGCGCAGACACTCCACTACACTCGATATTCCGCGTTCACTAAATCTGAACAAGATTAAAAACTGTTTATGTCACGTATTTTTTATAATGGCATTTCGCTTATTTATGTCATCTTAGATAAACTTACCTGATTTCCTGTATAAAGAGCAGCATGTATGTAAACAAAGCGGTTCAATTATCGAAGTTAAAGGATCTGATTATTATACAATCAATATAACTAGGACTTACTTTTTAAAAGGCACTTGAGTGCTGTCGGCGGCGCGCAGGTCCGTGAGGCGCGCGGCTACCATGTTGTATGCTGCAAGCGAATTATTTCTGAACATTAACGCAGTGCCAACTGCCGCAGCGCGCCGCGCCTCGGCCGCCGCCCGCCACCGCCCACGCCCACGACCTCGCCCACTCTAACCCCACACCAATACCCACGCCCACGCCCACACCCAAACTCACACCATATTGTCAATTTAAAAGCGCAAGTGAGAAGCGTCATGAAGTGGAATTTACGAAACAAATATTAAATTATACTGATTTAATGCTGATCATATAGAACAAATATAAAGTAATCGAACAAAACACTGGTTAGTAATTACCATTGTATTGCAATGAGTTATAACAATAAATAATATGTAAATGTATATACTTTTCAATAAAAATTTTAAGAGTAATAATATAATCAAAAATCAAAGCAAATAATTTAGCATAATTAAAAACAAACTAGCATTTAAGCACACGATATGTAAAGCATTTCAAAAAATTAAATACATACAAAAAAAACGATTAATAAACAAAAGCAAAACACACAAGCAGCTAGGAATTAATAATACTATAAAAAAATTAACGAATGCTTAATCAAACGATGGGGTGAAAACATGAATTGTAAATTGCTTTATCACCGACAATATGGTTGATAAAGATAAAAACACGTCTAAGAGTAAAATGAATTTTTACGTCTAATTTTCTAAAGATAAAAAAACTTGAAATCGATATATCTAAATGTGTAACAGTCCGAGTAGATACTCGTATATGTTTAGTGGGACTTTACTAGATCAGGGATCGAAAGCCGGGCTAGCGGCTAGCGGGCTAGCGGCCTCTGCAGCTAAACGGGCTCACCTTTCTCTTGTTTACGTCGCTTCCGTTTGTTGCATATCTTGACCGCGCACACGGACAGTATGATGGCGACTATGAAGAAGAGAATGCCTCCGACCACCCCCGCTGTGATCGCTTTGTGCTTCACCCGCGCCGGCACTGGGAACTTAACCTCTTCCGAACTCTCGTAACTCGTCGCGGAGTTCGCCAGCACTCGGAAGTAATACGTCCTTCCGCCGACAAGGTTCTTAACTGTAAATGACACGAGTTTTATGTCTACACAATTTTATAATAGCTGCTAACTGTTAGAACTATGTCTACAATTTTTTTAAGTGAAAGGTGTTGACGCAAATGACATAAGATTTGCCTATTAGCATAAGCTGACGCGTGTCTCGAAACTCGTCAGGCGAGTTTTTTTTTGCAAACGGTTGTAAAGTTTTCGCGTATTGTGTTATCAATGTGAAATTAAATGTTAGATTTATATTCTGTTTTTTTTTAATATTACTTTTGAATTTAAGTATAAAATATCAGAGACTATTAATTATTATACTTGGTTTATATAATTTGTATTTTTAAAGTACTTTCTTTATTAGGTGGAATAAAACCACCATGCCCAATAACAAGTAGATAGGTGGATCTATGCATAAAATATCTCAATAGTTAACATTCGATAAAGGAAACATTTGGGGGACGTTGCGGTCTTGTTAGTTACCTAAGTAACTGGTCTCCTCTGGTCGGATCTGTCCCCTATTGAGCGTCTTCCACTGTGCGTCGGTGCGGTACTTGATGGTGTAGTAGTGAACGAGTGATGCTCGCTCGAGCGGCGCCTGCCACGTGATCAGGAACCCGTTGTGCACCTCCGTCACCGTCAGATTACGTGGAGGACCCGGCTTCGGACCTATACAACATACTCACAATTTTGTTTTTCTACACATTTCATTGACACCGGGAGAGTATAATAAAAAACAATGATACTTCTCGTAGGCTTCTCAAATCCACTACATAGTACAATACCCCTCAGGGGGTCATTGTTAAAAAGATCTTTTGATAATTTCACAGTCGTCATTTTAGAAATTTAATTTTACACAACTACTTCCTTGAAGGATATTATAACTAACCAAAAAGCCTCTTATGTAATATTATGATTTAAAGAAAATTGTTTAAAAAAAAACACCATATTGAAATGTAAAATATTTATTCTTTAAGATAGAAAAAATAAACAAAACCCATTACCATATTAAATATAAATGTACACAAAGTTATTTACGTAACTAAATAGCAACTACAAAAGGAAGGAAACAATAATCATAACTACATGTTATTAAGCAGTGAAAAGTTAATGAAGGTGCAAAGAGAAAGTACCAGAGCCTTCGGGAGCGTTCTGAAAAATCTTTTCGTCTACTGGGCCCGCCGCTGTGGGCGCCGCCTTCATTCTGGCGCCTACATCTACAAACACCAACACAATGTTAATTATACATATTTATATACACCCAGACCACACCAACACAAGTGTCAATTACATATACGTGATAAATATATAATGACTGAATAAGAAGTTATGACTACAGTTATTTACAAGTATTTTTAAAGTTCGTAAAAACTGTTGTCTCCGGTCTATTACCAACTTTTAGACATTATTAGTTAGAATCATTTAGAGTGAATGGCGCGCTTTCGTTATCAAAGTGTCAGATTGATTAGTGGGGACATAAAACGTTGGTATTTAATAAGGCTAGTATTGCGCTGATACACCGGCACAGTATCGGATTTTCTTCCAAACACAACTAACAACTGATCTATTCTATTGATTATATACAATGTTACTTCACTGGACATAAAATTGCAACAATTGAAGAAAATAAAATAGTCTTCCATAGTAACGTTTACTTATTTCTCTGATTGTTTGTGAACACATTCATTCCGAAATCATTTGGTCGTAAATATTATATTATACATAAACATTTTAATATTCGACATGAAAAAGTTCTTACAGGCGACAGTTAGATATTGACGTAAAAGAGGTTATGTTATAAGATGGTGTTCGGCTAAAAGGTTTTTTATGGGAATTTCTGTACGGTTAACCTTAAGTAGTATTAATCTCCGTCACTGCATGTTGTACAAAGTTAATATAGTAAAACTATATTAATAGCGTTAATTTAAGTATTGGCGACAATAATTAAAGATACAAAGATACTTTGCAGAAATTGCAATTTTATAGAGGACAAATTCTTTGTCATAATTAGTATGAATAGATAAAATAATTATTAGGTTAAGAATTTTTTCCAAATTTGGATTTTTAATAAAATTTTCAGGAATTGGAACATATTGTAATATTAATCTAGAGTCATCAAGCTTGAATAAATATTAATAATATTAGTATATTAGGTATTAGTATTGTTGTATGTACGTAGTGACTTACCCAATGTCCTGATAGTGATAGCTTTACTCATCATGCCCTCTCCTATCGTGTTCTTGCTGTTCACCTGGAACTCGTACGTGGTGCCCGGCTGCAGACGATTTATCGTTACCTGTAAATAATCTTCTTTCAGTTAAAAAGTTCGTTTTTCTCATTTTCTAGACTTCTATGTGTTTTCATTAACAGTATATAACCTATGTTTAAATAAAACGATGTTGTAGCAACTTAAATTACGTTTTATCAAAGTTTAATAAAAATGAACAAATAGATACTCACGGAAGTGGCGCCGGAGGGTGTGACGGGCACCTTGGTCCAGTCGGAGTATCCGGCCTCACGGTACCAGATGGTGTAGTCCTGCTTGTAGTCGGGCCCGCCCGCGTACCCTGGCTGCCAGCGCAGCGTCACCTGGAACTCCGTCGCCGCGCCCGACACGTTGTACGGCGCGTGCGGCTGCGTGCCCTCGATCACCAGCTGCGTGTCCGCCACTATCGTCGCCACCTGACGCACCGCACCAAACATTCCACTTCACTCACATACTAATATAACCATTAACGTGTCGGCAGAGACAATGCTTTACGGAAAGGGTAGTGAAGAATCTCTTTTCACAGTGTGCAATATTTATGGCAGATCAATATTGATGCAAGTTAAAGATCAAAGAACAAATTTTGCTTCAATTTGGAACTAATGTTGCATTATGTTGGTTCATGTTTGATGAATATTGGTCTATGTTTGGAATAATGTCGGTAGTGACGTAGCGTGTCGTAGCGGACCTCGTTGGAGGCGACACACTGGTAGATGCCGAAGTCCTGTCGGCGCAGCGTGTCAATGGTGATGTTGCCGGCGAGCGCGCGCACGCGACTCTTCTGCAGCGGCAGGCCGTCACGCCGCCGCCACGTCACGCTCGGCCGCTGCGTGCCCTCCGCCTCCTGCGCCTCGCAGTGCATCTCCACGCTCTCCCCCACCTTACAGTCAACATCGGCTTATTCATAACACTTCTAAAATATACTCTATTCGTAAGCAAGGAAAGTTTCATTTCGAGGGAGTTGTTCGGTTTATTTCACTTTTTAATTAGGTGTAATCTAGAGCAATTGTGGTCGTTTTTAAATATGCTTCAAAGTATTATTAAAAATGACTAGCCTTGCGCCACATCGATTAACATATTATGTTTTTGCAAAAACTTACTTTTCTCTGATACAAAGGCTCCGGCTCCACAGTAAAGACAGGCGGCTTCCGGACCAACACTTCCATCGGACCTATAAAAAACCAAAAATACTTATTAC